TAACGTTAAGTATACAAAGCATTTAATATCAAGGTCCATAACTCTGGAAGTAATTATCGGAAATCATTGAAAATCAATGATTCTTCGTCACATGATCTTAATTGTTTACAAATTTAAAGTCAATCGGACACTTTAGCCTCCAGAGCGTGGACACCGGACGGACGGACAGGCAGGCGGGGGTAACGATAGGCTTAAAGATGCCTTCCCGCGTACAAACTGGTTGATTTGGTGATATATTTGGTCTAAAACATATACAAACTAATTATTCTATCCAAAATTTGCTTCCAATCTCTCTCATAACATTGTATTCGCGAGGAAATACCCCAAGATATAAAAAATCTTTTTTTAGAAGCCATGTTTGTTATGTAACTTGAATAAGGAAGGGTCCATTTTCAGAATGTATTTGTCGTTAGACATTACTTACTGTATAGTTGCTATACATATTGAAGTCTAAGTAAATTCTTGGATTATCTTCTGCCAACTTTCCGCCGTTAATTGCAGAGTCTGCTGTGGCCTACGTTTAAATCCATCTATGATTCCAAAACCATCTAACCATTCGATCAAGAAATAACAACTGCCCTATTGGCAAACAATAAGCCGTCGAGTTGCCAATTAGTGATACCCTGACATTTTTTGTACAGTGCTCCCCTCATGGATGTTTTCAGGGAATCCGGTATTTTGCTAGTAAGATAGGGCATCTCTACTTTCCATTTATATCAAATTTTCCATACTATTATTGGGAATAACTACCCTATAAATACGTTCGTGGGAATGTATGTTTATCTGTATACCAATCCAGATTTCTTAAAATTGTATTTCAAAAACATGACACTGGAATGATCTGATTTGTTTGTATCTCAAATAAACAGGTATAAACGTGATATATTGTTGTTAACTCAGCAGATTGGGGGGGGGGGGGCGGGTCAATAACCTGAATATAGCATGTTTATACTTCTTACACAAACAAAGAAGCCAGTGTGTTAGCCAGTTACCGACCTCGACCTCGGGCTCAAGTTGGAAAAACATCCGCGCTCGTGCATTGTACACAACTTTGCACGAGCCAAGGTGTTCATTTAACTTGAACCATTCTGTGCCACTCGATAACTCTTACTTATTTATTAATGGTACAAAATCTTTTTAGAGCTGATTTGGGGGAACCTTTAATATTGAGACTCCTGGTTGCAGCACAGTCAGCCCACCCCTTCCCTATAATCCGGCCCTGGTGTACTTACGTCATTATGACGTAAGAGACAAATGACCACCTAGGCTCATACTCTATAAAATCGCATGATTTGGGGTTAAATCAACAGCTGTCGGGTATATGGGAATCAGGAATGTTGAAGGCAATTTCCGACGAAAATATACAAGCTTAACAGTGCAGAAATTTTGTTCTCTCTTTATTCAAGTTTATTGATAGGATGTGTTCTGGTGGTCCTATAAATAAAATCAGAAGAAAATAAAAAGACAGCCAGTTTAATTAAAGAGTCTTCTGATACATAAAGAGAAATACGATACGTAAAAATACTTGTTTATGATTTTTCCTGTACTATTTCCCAAAATAATAGGAACCCACTGCCCTATTAGAACGTGATGTATTAATACAGACGTTTAATAGATTAAATCTATTACTTAAGGTCAAACACGAAAAAAATCCCACCCAATAAAAAATTTCGGGGTATTAAAGGAAGAGTTTCAGATATACCCTAGTGATGGAAATGGTTAAATCTGCGAGAAAGTATCTTAAAAATAAAATACAAACTTTCAGTTTCTATATATGGTTGTGAATGAGTTCTCGGCAGGGGCGTGGTGACCCATGATTTTGCATAAGGAACAAGATCCCGTCCGCCCCCCCCCCCCCCCCAAAAAAAAAAAAAAATTTATTTGTATGCGGGGGTCCTTCCCAGTGTTGCTATTAATTAGACATTTATTAACATGGCAAGACAATAATCAATTATCGATGCCACCCATGGCTCCGATTTAAAGCAGGTTAGAACGGTTCGGCCATTACCGTGAAAATGGTGTAGAGAGGCTTAGCCTCGAACAACCAGTACGGTGGTTACAATCAGTGCACCCATCTTGTCAAACCATCAAAGGCTAATATCTTCGGTCAGAATAAAGTAATTTGAATGAAATTTCAATATATTCATTTTGTATTATCAGTTTTTGAACTATTGTAGCTCTTCATCTAAATCTTACATAATGTCTCTTTAATACATCAAACTGAATGACATGATAAATATCCGCGTACAAAGGAATTTTCTTACCCAAGCAACAATAAACCGCCCAAAGAGGCTTTAAAATGATTAAATCTTTGGGCTTACAAGGAAGCTAGAGAAATGAATTGAGGAAACTAGACAAATTAAATTAATTATATGGTGAGTGGTTTGATCTGTCGAGACTCGAGACATATTTTATACCTACATTTACGTATATTTGCACTAAGATAAGATACCTCAACTCTGGACCCTGCGTGTCTTCAAACACATCTCAACGTTTTAGTTAAAAACATACCAAAATTATACATTTCCGATTAGTATTGTTGATTCGTCCAGTAATCTAGACAGTTCGATAGTAGTATATGGGCGGAGGTGTCATTAGCAACTGAGATCATTACAAAATTCTTTTGTGGGATAAACATTGAAGTTTATAGCTAGTAAGTTTTTTCCCGAACTCAAATGAATTATCTGTCTGATTCCTGTTATAGCATCAGATTTATCGTTCAGCACACTAGAAAGAGAAAACTTCGTGATCAGTCATATAGCCAGAGCTAAATGTACGTATATCTGCAAATGGCTGGCCAGGACTGTGAGATTTGATTAAACGTGCCAGGAGTTTCATTAAGTCATGTCGGGTATTATTGTGGCTGTGTGGGAGTAAGAGTTTTACCCTAGCAGTACTGATGGCAGATGTACATTCAAGCGTTACAAATAGATCCAATTTCACGGTTACAATCGTCCCCAGGTCAGATCTAACACCACAATTAGCTGCCCAGCAATTGCTCTATGAAGTATATATAAGAATCTCGGGCAGAGCTTAGGTGACCACAGGAGTCAGGTCTCCTCACACACAACTCCGAAAAAAAGAACAAAATATTTTTAAAAAGTAGATAGATGTACCCAGTGAGTTTTTAATGGTCTAGTAATAGAGATCGAGATGGTGGAAGGAATGTCCGTCTTCATTAGCCCAACAGTAGGTCATTAAACCCCATTTCATTTCATTTCATTTGGAAGGGTTGCAAAGTCCAGAAAGATGTCTCTAAACTTTTGAACTAATTTGCATTGTGTTATCAAACACCATGAGAAGAAATTGCCACAAAAGAGTTCTCTTTTTTGTCTCAGTGGTTACAACCTACATTATTGACAAGGGTGTCACCAATGTCAAATTCAGATCTGCAGATCACACAGTCATGTGTTTGATCGGATACTGTACATGTCAAGGAGTCGAGTCACATTCCTAACCTTTTGGGTATGAGTTCCTTCCATTTTGTCCACCTTCTAACAACCTCCACCCTGCTTTGCCCCGCATTGCTTCATCATAATACAGCACATTTGGTATTTGAAGTGAGGTTTTTCGGGACAATAATGTATCAACAACGGTATTGATATCACCATGCAAGAGGACTCTTATTTTTAGATTGGTACCTCAAATCACCCGAAAGAGTGTTGGTAAACTTAAGATTCATAATTTCTAAAATTTAAGTAGTTGTATAATATGATAAATAAAAAACTCCATTAACATTATAGAACAATACTATCTCATATTTTAAACTGCCGGCTTTACTATGTGTAATACAAATTAAGTCATAAATGGAATGCAATTTGGCGTGTAAAGTACCAATAATTGGTACACAGTGGGCTTCCCATACAATAGAACTAGAATAGAAATAAAAAAGCCTCATCCTTATTTCAATGACACCAAGTAGGCACCCCCGTGAGTGAGACAAAGTTCCCTCAGGCCCAGTCCCAAAAAATTAAAAGCTCAGTTATTTTAGGTCGCTATCTGAAATTTTTTCGCACCTACGCCGCTCGATTCAATAATATCATCATTCTTCCACTCCTCAATAGGTCTTATACTATCTTATCACTATCATATTCACGGTTATAGTGAATCCCGAAGTTATAGTACCACTAGTTAGTGGCTCATGGGGCGACAGGCTGTAAAATTAATGTTCAGTCAACGCTTACAAAGATTCTTTCCCATTTCTTATCCTCTCGTTCACAAGAATTTGCCCCACCAATGAACTCAAATGCCAGGAAATTCAGTGTTATAGCAACTGCCCCGAAGGTTTACAAAAAATTAATAACAAAATCCATAAAAATCATGACATAAACTTTATGTCAACCTGAATAAAATTACTTTCTAGCGAGATAACGATCGGCGAACAACTACATAGGCAATACGATCTATGTTCTACCGGGTCGCCCAGTATTAGAGCCAGTATTTTGTTGACATTCATTGTTGGCTGGGATTATGGATGGCGCCCAAGATTTGCCCCCCCCCCTTCCTATTCACAGCTTCTAGATAAGCTATTGGCCTTACCTTGAGGTTCGATGAATGTATACAAGTAAATAGTAAATGTGATGCAAACTATAGCCTAGCAAACTGAGATTGCGCTTATTTTAGCAAATGTTGCCCAGTGAATGAAATGCACCCTCATGTGTCTTAGAAATCATATAGACGACATCACTCTTCATTCTATGAAAAACAAATTGTTAAATAATTTCTTCCAGATCTATTTGCTTGTCTTGCTTCACTCATCTTCCATGACATCAGATTATTGGCCGTAGGGACCCAATGCATGGAGTCAGTTTAATGTGTCTCGTTGTAAAAATTGACGACTTTGTGCTTGTCTGAAGTTGTACCTTTGAAATGAAAATGGCTTAAAAACCTGAACTTTACCCTCAAAATTTGGGACTAACTGGTATTCCCCCCCCCCAATACCTTCTATTTGTCACCCACACATTCCCCATTTATCCTGAATAAATGTTGCAAACGACAAATTTGACTGTTGAGGAAATACTTCTGTTTATTGGACATGAAAATGCTTTTAAAAATGTTATTTAATTTCAATAATTTACAAAATATTCTTTAAAGCAAAAACTAAGAAGAATGCATTATATATACAAAATTTGCAGAAGAAAACAAATGAGAGTGGTAATTTACTTCTTTTTTTGCCTTAATTTGAAAATTTTAACAGCATAACCCCAACACAGGTTAAATATACAAATGATAGAAAATAATACCGGTAAGGCCATAATGTCTTTTTTGTGATTGTTATTTTGATCGGTAATAACCTGGAGAGAATTAGAAGACTTAAAAGGTTTTTAAGATTTTTCTCACAGGTTTTATTCCTGAAATACTAGAAGCAAACCCAAGATCTTCTGGTGCTAGCAAGCTTGGCTCTCTGTTTAAAAGCTGAATCATTTACCATTCCAGCGATACATATCTGATTTTCTAGCAGCATATTTATCCAAACAGGGCATCAATGGACATGCACTGCTGACACGTTCATGTAATATTGTCTTGGAGAAGGTAATAGTAATGTTTAGGATGCATGTTTGGAAAAGCGAATATTTAACTTTTTGATCAATGGTGTTTCAGAAGGGAATCTGAAATCAGACCAAAAATAGTGCCTTGTTGTACTGACTCTCTCCTGGCTCCAGCTCTCCAAGATACCCATTGAAAAAAATATAGAAAGAGTCTGCTATTTCAGACTAATAACAAGATTATGACACAATATTAAATAAAATTCACACAGTCAAATTCACATTTCCACTTTTTCACAAAAATCAATGATTAATATTAATCCTTCAAATTATACAATTATATCTGACAAATATACAAGTATTAGAGCTATACAAAAACATACAAAGATCTTAAATTTCACATCTAATGATATCTAAAATGAACTGATTCAATTTTTAAGAACAACCACTCCTACATAACATATAAAGAATAAATGCAAGTATATAGATAGAATGTTCATCTTGATAAGAGTTAACACCTGAAGTTTTAACATTTAGATAGTGTTGAAGTTCCATGACGTATACAGATCATGGTAAGAAATTAATATAAGTAATGCAAACATTAAGAAAGGCTGTAACACATGTTAAGATTTAGTGATCTGGGTACCATACTAGAAATGTTCAGACGAATATGCTTTTTTCTGGTAAAAGTGCTTTTTTATTGTGTAGGTTATATATTCCAGACCAAAAACAATGAAAGTAGTATTTCCAAATATCTTATTGGTCCAAAAATTATTGAAATTGATTAAATCTGACTAGTTCTGGATATCCAGAATTCATTGATTTCATGCCACCATCTATATAGACTCTTAAGGATAACTCATTTCTATCACCTAAATTACTAATATATTTCAAAAACAAGTTTTCAACACTTATTTTTGGTTGCTTTTAAATATAAGGAACATGATTACTGGACTTCTGGAACATTCAACACTATATTATAAAATTCTTCACTTAAAATTCCATCTGGTTGTCATTCAAAATTTGAAAGAAATAATTTACATATATATAAATATATTATATATCGACTATCTTCCTCCGCCCGCATTGGGATCTTGTGATGTGGCAATCATCATTAATATTACAACTGGTACTATATACATCCACTGAAATAGATCAACAGAAAACATGTATTAAACATACATTATTCAACACCTTTTGCAGGTCTTTCTTTAGGCCTTACATGTTATATAAATTATTAATTGGACATTTATTAGCATGGCAAGCCCATGATCGACTAGATTAGACAGTTTGTCCATTTAATGATTTATTAATTTAAAGATAGGTTTACGAGTAACAACCCATTTGGTTTCTAGTTCTGCCCTATTGTAACATTTAGCTCACATTACAAAACATTTAGTATCAATTGCCAGTAATTATCAAAAATCGTTGAAAATGATCAGACTTCTTCGTCTCATGACTTTCAACACTGTGTAAAATTTTAAAGTCAATCAGATATTAACTTTAGCGTCTAGAGCATCCACCAAATATTTCAAAGTTACCAAGTCCATAACTCTGGCAGTAACTGTCCACCACTTAAAAGGAATATCAGTGCAAAATGGTTCAATTATATAACAAATCTATCAAGTCTATATCAACAGAATATGGTCAAAACAAGCCGCCTCTGTTAAAATCGTTTGATGATTCTCTTTTTTTAACTGAATCTAAACCGAGAGATTATCTACCGTTGACATTTTGATTTTCTTTTCTTAATTTCAACATGTAAATAATCAAACAGACAACATCCTACTGTTCTGCTCCAACTAGGCCAATGAAGACGGGCATACGTAATAAGTGTGCTATGAGGGAAATTTTGCCCTGACAGCGGCCTTAAAGCCTACTCTTATATCGAATTCCAACTGCCAAGGAATATTTAAGCGCATACCAATGTGTACAAGGGACCTCTGTTTTTCGTCCTATCCAAATGACAACATGTTTTCCCTTTCCAGGCCCTCAAACTGCACCACTGACAAGGTGGAACCACACATGAACTTTCTCGGCTAACAAAGGAATCGAACATGGGGCCTCCATTTAGTGAACTAACGTCTTACGCACTAAGCCACCATGGCTCCAGAATACAAAGGACTATCAGTGGCTTTAACTATTTAATATCCTGGTTGACAAACAGCCTCTCGTCTTGTTGAAACAAGCCAACAGTGAGGCTGATGTTCCTCACCGAAATCCCAAAATAAATAGATGAAACATATTAATTAATCACACATTTATTTTTTTTCAAAAGTATCGAGCAATCAAACTATACATTAAGTTTCATCACTCTCTATCAGAAAATACTCATTATTGAACTTAGTCAAGGTACTGATGTAATGAAACTATACACCAAGTTTCATCACTCTAATTTAATTAAAACTAAAGTTATCGTGTCCCAAAGCATCTGCCAATCAAATTGCTTATCTCTGCTTAACCTAAGCAGAAAATTCTCATCTTCGAACTCCATCAAGGCATACACCAAGTTTGAACATTCTAGCTCAATTAAAAAGAGAGTTATTGTGTCCCAAAAAGTGTGGCGACAAGACGAACGGACGGACCGTCAGACGGACGAACCCATTTTAATAGTCCCCTGCTTTCTGCGAAAGGCGAGGGACAAATATCATATAAAGGGAGGGTCTGAGTACACAACTCATAGTTTGGTTCATGAGGTTCAAATGATATAACAAAACATGTCGACCACAGCTAAGTCGCATAAAGTTATCGCATTGTTAATCTTTAGTTACATGTAAATAAAAAGCAAATTCTTTATTTTGTATAAAAACATCATGGCCGCATAGACGATTCTATGACACAATAAAAGTGCACAAACTCTATAAGTAATTATCAGAAATTGTTGTAATTGTTATGCATATGGTGACTTTTGCTAGAAAATGATTGACTGCAATAACGAGATCTATAGAAGTAATAATAAAATTGTTTCAATGACATTTATGGAATACAAGTACTGCTTATCACTGAGCTACGTTTCGACTAGGCTTCTCTAGTCATTATCAAGCAACATCATTTAATATTCATTAGATATGCAGAGGGAGAGAAATGGGGTTTAACGTCCACTCAACACAGACTAGGTCATTTCGGGACTAACATATGGTTTAATTTTATTTCAACAATTCGCTTGCACGTAGGGGTCTTTAGCAGTGGGGGGAAACCGGAGGACCCGGAGAAAACCCAGGAGGTTGAACAGGCGACCCTACTCCTTGTCACATACAACTGGGGATTCGAAACCACGCCAGTCGACTCAATGACAGGCCTTGTGATACAGCGCACACATGCTAACCATTCGGCCATACCCCCCCCCACCATTAGATATGTAATAATAGGTGTTTAAACAAACATTTACTGTTTAATAATTATAACTTAATTGAAATAAAAGGAGGTTTCAAGTTCTTGTGTTCTGCCTTGACTTTGTTATGGCCTACTCTTATAATGAATTCCAACTTCCAGAAGTTATTTTACGTGCATGCAACATTGTACATGGGACATGTTTTTTTTTGTCCCATCCGAATGACTATACATTGTCCCTTGTCAGGTCCTTAGTCCTGACACCACTGACATGGGGAAACCACGCTGGAAAATCCAGATGAACTTTCTGGGCCAATATCAGGATCGAACACAGGTGAGCCAACAAGTTACTCACTGAGCCACTGTGGCTCCCTTAACTTAAATGAGAATATAAGGGGCGAGGCTGATTCTTCTGAGAGACATTAATATCAAAATATTACACCCTTGTTACATGTACTATATATATAAGGCATCTACAGGAGTTAAGATACTAGAAACAAAGACAGTTTTAATGATGGCCATCGTCAGAAATCGATCCTTTTCCCTATCATCAAATATATTCTTGAAATTCAGGAAACAGGAAACTGTAGATAAGTACTAGTAATGGCTATTAATTGTTTAATGTTTCAAAGACATGTGTAGGCGGTAGATTATATGGCTTCAAAATCAAACACAAAGATTGGTTAGTCTAAAGGAGAAATCGGTCATATTTCTTGGTTGATTTTGTGAGGAGGGTCTTAGAATCCTTTATTTGGGTTACACTTACTGCATCTCTATTACATGTTTGCAAAGAAATATCACTCGGCAACAGCAATGTAAAGCCTAGGACAGACGCATATATTTATTTGCCTGATTGCGGCCATTGTAATTCGCCAGCAATTTTTTTATGGCCGATCACGAACTGACACACATTTACTCTGTGAGTTAATTACGTCGATTATGTGACTCATGTGTAAACCATTTTGAGATCATGTGATATCTCCAATTGGCTTAAAAAAATGGTTCGGTTGACAATATACACTTGACATGGGCAGATAGGTGGATTTCCAGCGAATTGATTGCTGGAGTAAAATATCCTTCCGAAAATATCTAACATGCTAGATACGGACGATTGATCGGGTGAATGGTTTGTCGAGCAGAATCGTTGCCACACAGGCGATTTTTTCGAGCGATTTTACTAACCTGTGCGATTGGATGATAACCTAAGCTCGTCTGTCCTAGGCTTTAAAAAGATAGGTGGAATTGAAATTTCATCAATCTTTACTGCTCGAGCATAAGACCTCCCCATCTTTAGAGAAAGATGGGCCTAGTTCAAATCTGATTGAATCCAAGCCGAAAGACGATCTAGCGTTGGTATTTTGATTTTGTTTCCTTAATTAAATGTTAAATAATCAATCTGAGTACACGTTATTTTAGAGAAAGGCAAATGGTGGATTGGGACTTTGGAGTGACTTTTCCTTTAAGATATGGTGTCAAGCTACATATAAATAAAACTAAACTATTCTTGTTTCAATAACTGGTAAACAAACCTATTTCCTGTCTAATAAAGTGTTTACGACGAGTAATGCTGTTTGTTTCCATCATGCTTTATCACTGTGGACAAACTCGGCCAATAGTGTTTAAATGAAAATTCTAGATACTTCCATCTGCCCACTCCTTGTCATATTCTAACGACACAGAAAAACACTTTAGAAGTACATTTGAAGTATGTGAACTATAATTATTTTAAAATATGTTAAAGAGAATTCAAATACGCAAAATAAAACCCCTCTGTATTCCCAATCTAAATAAAATTGATTCTGTATTCCCAATCTGACTCAAATTGATTCAGTTTATCCAATCTAATTAAAATTGATTCTGTGTTCCCAATCTAATCAAAAGTGAGTTTGTTCATTGGCCAAGATTAGGATTTTAGTGACCAGCCAATGAAATGCTTGCATACATAAAATATTTTCGTTTAAATTTTTGTAAATTAGTTGTCAGAATTTAAATCAAATTGATTCTGCATTTCCTATCTAGTTAAAATTGGATCTTTACTTCACTCTAGGTATACTTTTAGTTGGCCTAAACTAAATGAATATCTAATTACTTCATAATCAATTCTCTGTTCTCTGAGAAGATAGTTTTCCAGCCAACTAAATGCCCACAGCAGCTAAGTCCTTCTAGCAGTCCATATAAGTTGCCATATTATGAGTAAATGGAGCAACATGAGGTTATCAATGGAAATCTGGTAAGCAGTAACATAAACAATGCATATAAATTACAAGGGAAATGAAATGAAATGAAATGTGGTTTAACGTCCTACTGTTTTGCTCCAAACTGGGCTAATGAAGATGGGCAAATGCCATACAGTGTGCTATGAGGGAAATTTTGCCTCGGACAGCGGCACTACGACCTACTCTTATATCGAATTCCAACTGTCAAGGGATCTTTTACGTGCACGCCAATGTGTACGCAGGACCTCGGTTTTTCGTATCATCCGAATGACTAGACAGCTGTCCTTGTCAGGCCCTCCGTCCTGCATCTCTGACAAGTGGGAACCATGCTGGAAAAATTACAAGGGAGATGATACCTTAGATATAACTGATAATGATCATGGGCAATACTTGAACGGTAAAAGTTATTACTGTCATGGTTTTACCAATATATACAATGCATACAATTTTTAAAAAGATTAAATATTAATTTAATCTGGAGTATATCTACAACAGGTTTGGAGCAACAGAGTGAATAAGGTGTACATGTATTTCAATAAGCTTTGAAATCAGCAGCAAAGTGAACTTTATTTCAGTATTCAGCTAATATTACTGATAGCAGGACCTAAGTTTTATTTGGTTATCATAAATTTCATTTGCTTCAATTCCAAACTTTCAAAAGATAAACTGTGAAAATTTGAACTCATAAAATTAATTAGACGTCAAGATGTCACCATCTGTAAAAAAATATTTGGAAATAAATAAAGTCGCTTCAATAGTAAACATCATGAGAGAGACATATTTTCTTGAAAGAATCCCCCACGATCTGCTAAAAAAGATCTTCTAAAATGCTAAAATACATAAAAAACTCAGGAAAGATAATGGACAGGAAATTTAAACAGTGAAAATTAAGAACAAAATACTGAAAATAGCTTGAGGCAATTTACTTAAATTATTAGTTCAAATTGTATCTTCGTCAACAATTAATTCTAACAAGTAATATATGTAGTATCATTCTGCAGATCACTCCCTATAATAAGCCGACATAATTGCGGAAGGTGATCTTAGATGTTATTTAACGCATCATCTATCAAAATACATTAATATTGATGATTCATTCAAATACATAGGAGGGGGGCGCTATAGAATTGTATAAAATACGAGAATAGTAATTTCTGTCTTACCAGAATATTCTACACGACGTCATCTTTGCAAAATAACAAGTTTCAGAGATTTAAAGATATTTTGAAGAAAGTATGTGAGATTTTTCTGGCCTTAATTTAACTCTAGGTATAGACATTTACAACAGAAAGAAATATGATTAAAGTTAGTCTCACGTTGTTGAGACAATTAAAAATGAATATATTGAAAATTTCATTCACATTACTTTATTCTGAAAATGAAGAAAGCAGGATGACTCCCTTTAAAGAAAAGAAATATGACCAGGGGTAGAGGTCTGAACAGAGTTTTAAAATTAGACTATATAGATAGAGGTGTGAATGGCGTAATAATACTTCTAACTTCACTCAGCAGATACACTCCAGTTTTATTTTCTACTCATGGTAATGTGGGCTACATGTTAAGATGTCTAAGAATACTTTTAAGTGAATATAATAACGCCTGCGTGACAAGTCTACAACTGTATTAAGGGTCCATCCAATTATCTCAAGCATTTGTGACTTATACCATCAGTGACGACTGACAAGCCTGGAATCTGTCATCTGATCAATATGCCGTCATGTCGTATTGCGTGCTGTGTAACAAAATAATAATGTCTCTACTCCAGTCACAGATCAATTGACACCAACCATTTATCGGAATCGCTTTATAGTTTTCTGATTTTCTCTACAGACATTAGGAATAATTCTACCAATAATCCGGCTTTTCAGATCACAGGTGAATATTCCATATGTTTATTTTCGAAGATTTTGTTAATATTTTGTTTATTTTTGAAGATTTTGTTTATTTTTGAAGATTTTGTTTATTGATTATTCAGTTCAAAGAATTTGTTTAAACTTACCGATTAATTTAAAGGAGCTAAACCTCTAACTTAATATTTTCCATTCGATATTAAAACACGAATCAGAAATCAATATTGGTCTATTACAAAAAATGTTGATGTTGTTATCTTGCCACGAATATCAGTACATGAGCTGTGTATTGTATAGTTTCGGGCGCCACTTGTTATGATCAAAGAAATGCAGACGTAATTAGTATTGACTGATTCACAAACGAAAAAAAACAAAACAAACATGTTTAAAATGGATTAACCGTCACTTAGTTTGGACTGTTCACATATATTATGCCGAACATAATTGATTAGAAATTACAATATTTTTTTTCCAAAAATTGAATAAAAATCACTAATATACATTCATATTATATTAATATGCACTTTTAGACCCATTTTCATCACTTCAAGTTTCTAAAGAATAGAGCCATACGCCCTTTAAATTAAATGGGGTTATACATCCTAATTTTCTGCAAAAAAACGGACTTATGAAGACAAGGTTTAATTTAAAGATTCTAATGATTGATTTTGTTTATAAGGGCATTCTCTTTAAAGATACATTATGTAAGATTTAGAGCTGGCCATTCTTGTTATAATAGTTCAAAAATAGATAATTAAAAATGAATATATTGAAAATTTCATTCAAATTACTTTATTCTGAGCGAAGTTATCAATATTAGTAGATTTGACAAGATGTGTGTATGGATTGTATTATCTTGACCACGGTGCTGGTTGCTCAAGGCTAAGCCTCGCTTCTCCATTTTTAAATCAAATCATTAAATGACCGAACCGTTCTAATTTACTTAAAATCAGAGCCATCCAATGGCATAGAGAGTTGTGTATGGTCTTGTCGTGTTAATAAATGTCTAATTAATAATTTATATAGCATTTAAGGCCTAAAGAAAGACCTGCAATAGGCATATTTAGCTCTTGAACATGCTTCTTTAATTTATTAGAAAATCCAATTCTCATTCGTTTTAAATTTGTTAGATTTTGATTTACTTGAATAATGCTTCTTTAATTTATTAGAAAATCCAATTCTCATTCATTTAAATTTGTTAGATTTTGATTTATTGGGTAACAAAAGATGAAATAAGTTATTCTGTTGTTTGAGATTACCCCCTTATATATTTCAAACTAATAATTAAAACAGATAATCAGAAGATTAAGAAATAGATAACTAAAGTATTCTAGTGTAAAATGTGATAAACAGCACTCAAATAATATTTTTTTCAAAACCATTTTCATATTCCTTTCATTTTGCAAGATGAAGTATTTTGAGTTACATGTTAAATTTGTGTGAATAAATGAGAGAATTTTGATAATCAGAAAAAATATTGTGTGTAGGATGAACAGTACCTGGTAATTTCCGAAATATGACTGCGCATTATTTGCTGATAAATGAAGTCACGCTAGACTCACGCCTGACTTGAGACCAATGGCAAATTAATCAGTGTTGAGCAAATGATAAGCTTTATTCCAAGAAATTTCCATGCTCCTTTTAAAAAATGCCTTGATGAACTCAATATACGTGAATGTTTTTTGTACCTCATTAAATCTTTATCTTTATAATCATCAAGGAACAAAAGACTAATCACAAAATTAATTTATAGTTTCATTACTGATTTTTTTAAGTAATATTATTTGTAACTCATCAGTTTAAGAAAAAAGAAAAACTAAAAAAATATCACTCATCAATTGTTTTCAAAACTCATCGCTTTAATTGCAGGAAATTATTAACCAAGCAAATAACTTTTTAACAATGTTTCGTGACAAAATTCTATTTTTCTATGGCTTACATAAAAGGCTCTATATTTCAATTAAAATTAATACATTTCTTGTTCAAGTTAACAGGAAGAAGGAAGAAAAAATATTAATCTAAAATGATCTAGTTATCTCCAAAAATAAATAAGATGCCAGAATGTTTCTCGTCATATTTGTTTCTAATTAAAGCTATATTTGTAACTTGTTCAATTCAATCAGCATCAAATGTCTGTATGCAGAGAGATTAAAGGAATATATTGACAAACTTAAAGGAGCTAAATCGCTAATATTTGGCACCTAGGAATTGACATAAATGGGTGGCAATGCATAAAATAATGTAATATGAATTATGTATATAAACTGATTTACATTCAATCGTTTCTGTTTTTACTCTAATTTCAAATCAGCTATGTTCGGCGAAATACCAGAGAAGTCTCAAACGAATGGCAATTTCTTGCATCAGGTTATTCCAGTCTACACCGATAGTATTTATTGCGCATGCTCTCCAGATAAGAATATGGCGTCACTGTTTGCATGATTGTGGAATACGTCTAGTCTCGTTCTTCTAGTCCCTTGTTACAAATGGTGCTAAAACGCATTATGGTACACGATAGCAATCTCTAGCGTCTGGGTATTCCATTCTACACCGATAGTATTTATTTCGCATGCTCTCCAGATAAGAATATGACATCACCGTTTGACACGACTTGTGGAATATGTCTAGCCTCGTTCTTCGAGTCCCTTATTACAAATGGAGCTATGCTGCATTATAGTACACGATTCGTGTACCAACGGTAAAATGTTTAAATTGTCTTAAATATCAGAAATCAGAAGCCCATATTTTCCCGGTAAGATTACAACATCAATGTTGATTTAAATTGACAAATAAATCGTGTTTTCAATGTCGAAGACTTTGGGTGATATTGAGTTAGAGACTTAGCTACTTTAAGTACATTTTAAAAAATGTTGTTTGACAATTAAATAGATGTAACAAGAGAGAAATAAGGAAACACGTGGTCTAGGCTTATATGTGACAAGGAGTAGGGTCACCTGCCCAACCTCGTGGGTTTTCTTCCGCTCCACCCATTAAAGGGACAATAACACTCTTGCTGGCTTGAAAGCTCCAGAAAAAAAATAATATCTCTATCTAAGTACTAGATGTTTAAGTGTCCTACCTGTTGTGTAAATTATCGATTATATCCTATTTTACTTGTCCAGAGGGTTCGAAAATATTCTTAAATCGAAGTTTCATTTGAAAAGGTTTACGTTAGACGTTTCAAACCATTATGTTGAATTTTTCAAAATTTTTAAATAAGGTGTGTTAAGATGAAATTTGTATCATCAATTAATTGAAATATTCTAAAATAGTACAATTTGTTGACCAGAATAAAGATTAGGACATATTATTCAGTTACGACAAGAGTGGTATTGAACCTTTAAGAAAAACAAAGAACAAATGAATTATTGTACCATATGTTCCCCAATGATCCAGTTTGTGTTGAGTGGATGTTAAACCCCATCTCTTCTCTCTTATTGCTCACATTAATTTTTACTCTGAAAGTATTTGGCAATAAATACAAAATTTTCAATAAGGAAGCTCTGCTTTAAGTGTGTTTGGTTTTGATTATAATGGTTGAATTGAACATGGCTGTATAAGGTGTTTTAACTTTGAGTCAAGTATTCTATTTCCTTTATGGTTTTTATTGTTTAAGATAAACAAAACACTAAACATTTGAAAGTACTTGACTTGCTGAATAAAATGTATATAAAATTTGTTAAATAAATAAACTTTCTCTTTTAAGAACCCGATTTTCTGCATTCTCCATTTTGTTTACAAAACACACCACCTGTATACCAGTACACTTTGAATTTCTATTGTTTCCTCCTTACACAGGTCTGAGTTTGTGAAATTTTTGTATTTCTGTGGTGCTATTATATATCTCTGTCATTGAAACCTTGTTAAGACTCGATGCAAAAATCAGAATTCTTATAAACAAGAGAACATTTGAAACTTATTATGAAACATAGATGTGACCTTACCCAGGAGCAAAGTTGTCCATTCTAAAGATAAAATCATTATCGATAAATCCCGCAGAGCAAGTTTGTAAATGCTGAATGGAAAATTTAAAAAATGCTATTAAGAAGTCTGTCCTGTATTGCAATAACAGAATTTCACAATCTGGTTAAAACACAGATCCTATTTCGTTTTGTTTTTATAGTTCAAAATTTCGTTTTACTTGTCTTTACTACACTTGGATCTGAAAGAGTTGTTATTTAACTCGTGTTCTGAATGGTGTCAGGGATAAGCCAACGAAACGGTCTGTTACGGCGAGCTTTAGGTGAGTTTTGCACGGAACTGTGGGTAATCCACTAGTAACATCAATGCTGATTGGTTAATCAAATGTCTGACATCATAGGGTCACAAGTCGGTCTTTTGACCCCTGACGTGACCTATCGCTATAACTTGTCAGATCTTCGTGTAGTGTAGGCCATCGAAAGTATAAAAACGAAACGAAATATAGATCTGTATTTTTATCAGATTGAGGATTTCATAGATTTTATAGTGAGGCGACAATTCTGTGATTTGTGTTTAACAGTCAAATTGTGAACAGAAAGATAATTCTTCAAATCTTGTTCGAAATTTACTATCCCCAAATTTTTGAAATTCAGTAGGGTTCTTCCTTAAATCCTAATGAACTATCTAAATGAGTTTGTCTTGTAAGTGTTCAAGAAATGAAATTTAAGTCTAAAATTGTTGAATAATCCTAATGAACAATCTGAATGAGCTTAAAACATTTTGTTAAGAACTTGTCTTGTAAGTGTTCAAGAAATGAAATTTAAATCTGAAATTGTTGAATAATTACCATAGTAATAAAGAACCATATGTTAGTCTCAAATTGACAAACTATTGTGTTGACAAGACATTAAATCCTACTACTTTTATAGGTGACATAAACAGTTAGAGGCATTACCCCTCTGACCAAGAAAACAAATGTAAATTTCACAAAAGTATATCCAAAATAACATTAGACACTTTTGACTGAAAAGTAAATTATTGATTGACCTCCTTAACCCTTGTTCTGCGGTACCCGGATTATTCCTGCGGTACCCGGATTATTCCGGGATCGGCACAAGCCGTCCATATACGGCACCCGGAATATTCCGAGATTACCAAATGTATTTATTTCCGGGCGTTTTAATAGAGTTAACTCCCATGTTCAATAGGCGGCTTTTCACTAAATGAAAGAAGCGCAGTCTGCTGCCATTCTTGTTGCTTTGTTTTCATTTTTTCGCTAACTTTCCGAAGATTTGGGGGATACATGACCAAAAACAAACGTGACGTTATGTCACGTCTAACTGCCTAGAAGGTGTTGGACGTATCATTTAACGATGAAGATAGTGAACTCTGTGAAAATCTGATCACAGTTTTTAACTCAGATTTCTACAGTGTCAGTGCTAAAAATCTGATTTGCAGATTCTGGCAGTTATATCATCAGTTTTAGTAGAGGCACCCAACGTCATGCATGTATTCCCAAAACAATTCAGTTGACGACGTCATATGACGTCAACAATTCAACAGCTTAAGGGTTAAAATGCATCAACAACTTTAATATTAATCTTTAAATTTGTATCTAAACAATATCATTTCACATCAAATCAAAATTATTTTTAGCAATCAATCAAAACACTCAAGGCATTAATAACACGCTCCTTTAAATTTATTAACAAATCCACCTTTCTTTGCTACTACTACAGCACGTTTATATCAATCAAACCCAGAACCGAGAATTTCAAACACAAACTTCTGTTTAATCGGTATCACGTTTAAATTGAAAACACTCAGGTATTGCAATAGAATCATAAATAACAAGAATATTGTATTCGGTTAAAAATAGCCGTTTAAACTTAAAGCCACCCATGCAATACTGACTTGTTTATGAGTTAAAACAGGCAATAAATACATGGATATGTGTTGGGTTGAATGTTTATCAGATCTGGTTAGACATTAAATACTTGATAAAATAAAAACACCCATAATATCCATCATCAATTAAAATTTTATTTCCAGACAGTATCACTTGTTTATTTGAATTCTAAAAACAACTGTTTGATTTTTAATGACTCTTTTTTTTAGCTTTTTTTACTTCAAGCTGTTTTGTTTGGTTGTGGACATAAAACGATTTTAAAAAAAAGCTTTTCTGATTATATAACAGTAGAAACTGAGGTATTTTTTTCAGTTTTAAAAGAAAGTGAGATAACATAGCTCTTAATAAAGTCATTTGACTGAAATTTTAAATACCAGTATATTCATTCTTCATTTTTTTAACTATATAGCAAGAACGGACACCTCTTTCTCTAAATCTTGGATAATATATCTTTAAATTAAATGTCGAGATATAATAGTCTGAACAGGTGACTTACGGAAACAGGTAAACAACAGGTTTTTTTTTTAGTTTTCCCACAAGTAACACCCCTGAATTACCAAAACTATATATCAAACCTGTCAAAATACTCCCCATTTCGTATTCATGTCAATCACTTTCTTGACATTAACAAATGAAACCTTTAAATTAACGGCCTAGGAGTAAGACCACATGTAGATTATTAAAAGGCGTATAGCTCTATTCCTTGGAGCCTAAAATTGACAAAAATGGGTTTAAAAGCACAATTTAATGTAATATGAGCGTTCATAAAGTGATTTGCATTCAATTTTTTATTGTAATTTCTAATTATATTCTGTGAAATATACAAAGAATTCAATTTGACTGGTGGTCGTTAGCGCCTGATTATAGTCCATTATACATGTGTTTAACAATTATTTTAATGTCTGTGAATAAGCCATTTTTAATTACTGTCTTCTAGAATATGTTTGCTAGACAATAAATCAGGAACTCTGTGTTTGAGTCCGTTCAGATAAGGAAAACTGTCATGATATACATTCAAAACTATAGAACAGAAAATGTATACAGAACAGCTAAAAGTTAAAAATCAATTTAACTCAATAGGTTCCTTCCTCCAATATTACCAATGGATAGATGGAAGAAGAGTGTGATTACAATATAATGTGGGCGTAATTGCTATCAGGTTGTCCTATCCATAATCAGATATAATCAATAATTTTAAACCACGTGTATCAGTAAATCTCTGTTACATAAAGTTATTTAGACCTTTTAGTGCATCAACATGTATCATATAACCAATAGCTGGTTATTATGTTCAGTTAATGGAATAAATTGATAATATTTCATAAGCCAAGATCAAAAAGCCTGATACAATCCCACGTAACAGCTATATAATCATGGAAGTTAATAATCTTAACAAGACAGAATGTCAGATTCTCCATTTAGAATGAAATAATTGACATGTAACTGAAAATGGATCCATTTCTAGAGCAATTTATCGTGGGGTTTAACTTCCACGCAAAACTAACCTCGTCATTTTGGAGAAGGGTGAGGTCTCTGGATCAAAGATATACTTCATACACTTATTAAATTTAAAAAAATACATTTCCATAACCAATACAAATATATTTCCATTTCGACATACTTATAAACTAATAATTTTTTTTCCATTTTGACATTGTTAACTAATAAAAATATCTTAAACATATTTTGACAAAACAGGGCCAAACACCAAAACTGTATCATAGGTTCAACATTTTTTTTTTCCATTTTGACATTGTTAACTAATAAAAATATCTTAAACATGTTTTGACAAAAGAGGACAGAACACCCAAAACTGTTCATAGGTTCAACATATTCAAACATCCCCAATTGAAGCCAAGTATAAATCTTTTAAGGAATCTTAATCTTTTATCCATTCTTTTGTTCTTTCAGGTGTACATAACTTCGAACATGATACAAGTGAAAAAAGTATGAAACACCATCAACAATTTCCAGTACAAAAACTGATTAAAGATTGAAATAATGATAAACTGATTCTGAAATATTCTGAACACTTCCGCAAATTGAAAACACATTGAGCTGTTAGTAAATTTTGTGATAAAAAGAACATCCGGCAAGACGAAAATAAACTTAGACGAGATAAAACGCATTCAGAATCTGCGCAATATTTTTTGTCGTAAACAGAAATGTTGGATTCTTAAGTTATTGACAAAATCTTGCAAGTGAATATAGGTGTGTAATCTAAAATAATTTGAGGGCAGATTTTTACCATAGCATTTTGTTCTTAATTTTCAAAGCTGTATTTAGTGATGATCAAGACTGTAGTCACAAACAAAAAGTTCCAAAGATTATGTGCCAGACTAAACATGTCATCAGGTCATCAATGAGCATTTGAAGAGAAGACTTAAAATCCAGAAATATCTAGTGACGATCAAGATATTTAGTCACAAACAAAAAGTTCCAGAGATAACGTGCCAGAATAAACACGTCATCAGCTCATAACATTTGAAGAGAAGGCTTCAAATCCAGAGATATTCACTTCTGAAAGCAACATCGTACTTAATTTGAGCTGAAATCGTTAATAAGATGCTGATAAACAATATGTGGAACAATACAATGAACATTTCAACAGACGTTCTTAATAACGATGTTACATATGAGGAGGTGGTTTCCAAGGAAGTGGTGCAGAAATTAACTGTGGTGTTTGTTATGATCTTTACACCACTGTTCGCATTTTTTGGATCCCTGGGAAATATCTTGAGTCTGGTTGTGCTAGTTCAAAATCGTATGAGAAATCCTACCAACTTTTTACTTGCTGCTTTAGCCATATCAGATTTGCTCTTTTTGATCCATAGTTTCATATTCTCATTTATATTTATTTATAAATCTCGAGATCCGATTGGTGGAGAAAATTTACGTCGATCAACGTATCCATATATAGGCGCCTTTGGAAGTATTGTTACTGGTCGCATTACAACATGGTTGACCACACTTTTAAGCTTTGAGAGATTCATAGCTGTACGTTTTCCAATGAGAGTTCGAGTCTTGTGTCGAAAACAAAACACATGTATAGCGATTGCCGTGGTTTACATTGTGACCTTGGTAGCTTTTGTCCCCTTTCCGCTGAAATATCGTATTCAGTACCAACCCAACAGTTCATTAGTGATACTAAATCGTACAGCCCTTGGATATAATTTAAAATTTTGTGCCATATATGGAACTTTGTTAAACATATTGTTCAGATTTTTGCCGATACTGCTTTTAATTCTGTTGAACATCGCAATCATATTAGCCATTAAGAAAACTTGGAATATGCGACGGCTCATCAGCAAGAACAGCAACCACTGTACAACTTATGAACAAAATCGAATAACCATGATGTTGTTAACCGTATCCATGGTATTTTTAGTCTGCATTTTACCAGGAGCTCTGAACAGTCTCGCAACAAAAGTTAAACCAGGATATTCCATATTTGGTAAACAGCGCAATCTGTATCTAAGTATTTCTACTGTGACTTACTTCCTGGAAACTGTCAATTCAGCAGTCAATTTTATCATTTACATGGCGTTCAGTAAAAAGTTCTACACCACATATAAGGAGACATTCTGTTGCAGCAGAACTGGCTCACGTGTACATAAAAGTTCATCCAAGGAGGTAATACGTTACAAATGTCGATGGCAAGGTTCGCAGTCAAGTTCTTCCGGGACTCATGAAGGGAGGCTATCCAGCTTGCTTTCAAATCGTACTCTCGTTAAAAAGGAACAACAACAACCCATTTGTTTATTACATAATACTGGAGACATTGAAATCTGTAAATTTTCTTGTCAGAAAGGTGATCGTAAAGACGTTAATGAAAAGACTGAGAGATTTAGTTAGACTGCGAATAATTCTTGAGATCATTGGGGAATCAAAGGCTTTCATCGATTCTTCATTTTAAAGGATTACTGACAGATAATTTGTGAGGAGTCAGTAACACAAAAGTAGCTAGTCAGATTAGAAATTCTTTTGTTTTAAATCCTTTATAGCAGGCCATTCTCACATGTGATTAATCAATACTGCAGCTAGATTTTAGTGTCTAAATAGGAATATAAAATTTGTTACATTTCATCTCAGGAGCTAGAGATTTACTTTTATCAAAATTTCTGTATGACTGGAGATAATATGTTACCAGTCCATCATGTGAGAGAATGCATCAACCCTGTTGAATTAAAATTCTCTAAAATTGTATAGTCAATAGTTAAATTGTACATATATACAGTCTATAGTCAAATTGTATAGTCTATTGTCAAATTGTAACAGATCTTCATGGAATCAAAGTACTTGTCTCAATCTTGAACAACTATATATATATATATCGTCTTCTTTTGCCACATGGCTTATTTTAACAGCTTAGTGAATAATCAGCAAGCTTGTTTGCTTTTTTATCGGGTTATCAAAATTACTGTTAAATGTGCTAATTACTCGGATAATAAACTACATGGCCGATTCTAACTAAGTTGGGTGACTTCTTAACAAGTAATGATTAACTCGTTGTAATTTAGCCGAAAGTAGATTGATTTATGATACAATCAGCTTTGAGTGAAATTTTGCCTAGAGAGCGTTGCTTCGGCCTTTACTCTTATATTAAATTTCAAGGGATATTTTACGGGAATGCCAATGACAATGTGTGCATGGGACCTCGTTTTTTTTTTTGTCCCATGTGAATGACTATACGTTGTCCCTTGCCAGTGCCCCTGTCCTGCATCACTAACAAGAGGGAAGAACGTCCCAATGAACTTTCTCAGCCAATGCAGGGATCCAACACAGGACCTCTAGGCTAGCGAGCCAATGTCTAACTCATTGAGACCCTCCACCGCCCGATGAATAGACCCAGGGATTAGTGGAGCAGAGAACGAAACAATACTACTGGGGATACCGAAGATGATCAGTAAATTAAAAGTCATTTGGCATGTGTAGTGATGTATTAATAGTTAGTAAACTGTCTCGAGAGGATCATAGCAATGGTTCATGTGCATATAATTATATAATGTATGTTACAGAGTATTTAAATTGTTTGTTTGTTTATTTATAGAATATATATATATATAGCGCTATTAATAAAGTTATATACATACACAATAGTTTCTTTTATATGGGGTTCACAATCATTAAAACGGTGGACACGCTAGCCGAATGATTTCGTCGCATCATTCTGCGGAAGCTATTGGTGCCGAAATTGGTGTCCAGTGTCATTCAGCCGAATGATTCACCCGAATCAAGCAAGTTTGATATATTTTATATATTCGCCTAGTGTATCTGCTATGCCGAAACATTCACCCAATTGTAGAATTCATTAGCCAATCACCACTGATATTGAGAAGTCACGTGATTGTTTGAGGACATGATCAAGGGCATGTTTAATCATGTGACGTGACTGTTGAATCAGGCGAATTTGCCTGGTGTGTCCACTCATTTGGCCGAATGAATTCAGCTGCAATTCAGAGCCGATTGATTTGGCCGAATGATTCGGCGCTATAGGCCTAGTATGTCATAAAAATGCGACACTTAACATAAGAAGTTCAAATTCATTTCATTGTCGTTCCCTCCATATAGATACCGAACATTCTTCGGCAGCCTCTGTCCATGTTTCTAGTTCTGCAGTTGCCATATTGACACAGAAATGAAATGAAATGGGGTTTAACGTCCTACTGTTCTGCTCCTACACTGGGCTAATGAAGACGGGCATACACCATACAGTGTGCTATGAGGGAAATTTTGCCCGGGCAGCGGCACTACGACCTACTCTTCTATGGAATTCCAACTGCCAAGGGATCTTTTCTTTTACGTGCACGCCAATGTGTACACGGGACCTCAATTTTTCGTCCCATCTGAAAGACTAGACAGCTGGCCTTGTCAGGCCCTCCGTCCTGCATCACTGACAAGGCGAAACCACGCTGGAAAATCTGGATGAACTTTCCGGGCCAATGCTGGGATCGAACACCATATTGACACAGTCAGATGAGAAACTGGAATAAATGTATCTTGAAAACATAGATGGACACGGACTGACCTGTTGCCAGTAACTACTGAATGTTGCCAGTTGCTTTCAAATTCGCTCAGAAATTAATTGCAACTAGCTGTACCCAGTCACTGGCTCATTCTACGCTAGGCTTTACCGAGGAAATGACAATTTTCATTTCTGTTATTACATGAACAATGCTAGAGAGAGAATTTGCCTTGTAAGCGATATTTTTACTTGCTGTTTTTTTGCCAACTTATTTTTTACATGGAACTACCAATCTATACACTGTTTTTCATCCAACTGCTACCCCCGCCACAGGGCAAAAAACATTTTTATTACTGATATATCCAGATTACCAGTTTTCTATAATGAAAATGAAGGTCCAACAAAACATGATAAATATGTTTGTAAGATGTGCTTAAACTTTGTCTATGGAGAGAGAAAACCCACCAGGTTGGACAGGCGACCGGGGAATCGAAACCAGGCCAGTTGACTCAATGACAGACCCTATGATACAGCCCATGTGCCATTCGCCCATCTAACCCTCCTTTTCTCGATAGAACATATTGCATATTATAACTTATAGGAGAAATAAATTTTATTTTCTGATGTGTTCCAGTTATTCTGAAGCAATTAAATATAATATTCCCTCAAGCATATTACATCATCACTGTTAGTGTTATTTTGTTGTGTGCTTTATTCACCCCATGTCCCACAATCGTTTCACCTCTGGCTATTTCAACACAATCTATTTTTTTATCGGGCTGTTTCATCCCCCTTGTTATTATAATAGCAGTCAATTAACTGAGTTGTACTTATTGTTAAATAAACTGTTAAACACTTACTTATTGTTAAATAAATGTATGGAATAAATAAGTTTTACTTGTTGATGGGCGTATAAAAGTTATTTTAAGTCCTATCAATTACATTCAGTGAAATATGTGAACAGTCCGAATTGAAGGACAGTCGTACAGTATACACATTTTTTTTATTTCTATTCTGTTGTTTATGACTCAGCCATTACTAATTACTTCTGCATTGTCTTGTAGGATATGTTTTTTCTTAGTTCATTACAAATGATGCCAGAAACCATAGAACACACGATTCGTGTACTGATTATAAAATGTTCATTCTGTCTTAAATATTCGATATTGGGATCCCATATTTTCACGACCTGATAACAACATCATAATTGATTGAAATGGACGAATAATGAATAGTTCATGTTTTTAATTTTGAATATTATGGATAATAGAGTTAGAGGTTTAGCTCCTTTAACATTTGTAGTAGATTGTCAGATATATTTCTATCGGTTGTTTGGACATGTTTTACAATGATGGCTATGTATTTACAACTGAGTCTGTCGAGGAGACATCTTTAATGTTTTTATCATTTTAAAATCAGTTATTGTAGATTTCCAAATTATCACAAAATCTGTTCCAGAATTCTGCATACAGAAATAAAAACACCATTACCGTAAAAAACAGGAAGTCAATCGGCAAACGTAATTGATTTCGACCAAAACATTCCATTTAGTAAATGACAGAAGCATTACATTACATCAGTTAATATGATTGGCTAATTACCTGTTAGAAATGTAAAACTATCATGGGAGTTGATAGGTCAAATCTGTCATCAATTTCTCGTGTAATGTATAATTTGATATGGTATACGATATAGAAACAGACCATTTCATGTCGTCAATAATAATAAATCTTAAAGCACCAACATGCAAGGAATAAAGGTTAAGTATCTTGTAGACCTATACTGCATGTGAACTTGAAGGTCATTCATCTGATACAGAGTTAAAAGACTTTCGCAATATCACTGTAAAACAAATTGGTAAAGATACATTCCCGCGCACAAAATGTGTGATTTGAAGATATATTTGGACTAAAAACATATTCAAAGTAATTAATCTGTCAAAATTTTGTTTCACATCCTTCTAAAAAACATCGTATTCACAAGGGAATACCCCTTCTATAAAAAATATATTAAAAGAAGTCATTTTTGTGTCACGTGACTTGGCTGACTCGGTACCTAGCAACAGGTGTGAAGCTGGAGGAGAATTTATTACATATACAAGACGATGTTGTCTTTAATCGCTGTCCATTTATCATAAATATTGAAGTCTAATTAAATTCTTGGATTATCCACTGCCCACGTTTTTTTGGTGGTTTTTATGTCAGAAACTGTTGTACGTTTAAGCTCACCATCAAGTTTATCAACTTATACATCAAGTGCTCACTAATGCTGAGACATCAATCGAGCAGACATTCTTAATCTTCAGGTTGCCGGTTAGGGAAACCATTACATTTTTGTTCTGTATGCGCTCCATGGGTGTTTTTCACGGATTCCAGTATTTTTCTAGTAAGATTGGATGTTTCTACTTTCCATATATACCAAAATTGACATACTTTTATTAGAAATACTTGTCGTAAAGTATCTTTAAACAATACTATTTTTCAGGGTACTAGTCAATAAGTTTTTCCGTGCAAATCAAGACCTTGAACTTGATTGTCATTTATATATTTTGGGAAACATCAAATTATCTACAATGTAATGATGTACTGTACTCAATTTGCTTATTTAACATCTAATTAAGTAAACAAAATCAAAATATCAATGGCAGATAATCTCTCAGCTTGGAGTTAATTGGATTATGTTAACAATATCCTATAGTCTATTGATGTATTATGCCTGCAGTAGCTGTCAAATTTTGACAAATTTTCAATTCATCATTTTGTTTTGTTAAACAGAACTGAACCATTTTTGGATGGACTTTCCTTTTAGAATATTGTGGTTTGCAAAGGATTAAAAATCAAATGATGGGAGAGAGAGTGAGGGAAATGGGGTTTAACGTCCACTTGACACAAACTAGGTCATTTCGAGACTAACATATGGTTTAATTTTATTTGAATTATTTGCTTGCAGGTAGGGTCTTTAGCAGTAGGAGGAAACCGGAGGACCCGGAGAAAACCCACGAGGTTGGACAGGCGACCCTACTCCTTGTCACGTACAACCGGGGATTCGAAAACATGCCAGTTGGCTCAATGACAGGCCTTATGATGTACAGCACGCACATGCTAACCATTCGGCCATCCAACCCCCGACCCCCCATCAAATGATGGTCAGTGGCTTTAAACATTGCATCAGCTTACATATTGATGAAGGTAAAAAAAATATGTCTAGAAACCAGGGCTCTATTCTAGGATACAAGGAATTTGACTGGCATGTATATACTTCTCAACGACATATTTAACCCCCATAAAATAAAGTACTTATTAAAAAAACATTTTGATCCAAAACTTATTCAAATCTATAAATTCTTACGTAACTGGTTTCCATTAATTTCCCGACCTTGCTTTTAACACTATATGTAGTTACATCAGTGTAAATAGAATTTCACGACCTGCTATTAACACTTGACTTAGGTAGTTTTTTCCAATTAAAAAGTTTTGAGAGTGATTTGAAGCAAACATTTGAAAAATAAATTAGTATGAAAATGTTTTTTAGTCCAAAAAATATCACCTAATCACACAGTTTCTACGTGGGAAGGCATCTTTAAAGATACATTATGTAAGATTTAGAGAAAGAGCTGGTCTTTCTTGCTATATTAGTTAAAAAAAAGATAATACGAAATGAATATATTGAAAATTTCATTTAAATTATTGGTATATTTGCGACTTTTAAGGGTTCTTTTATGTACATGCCCATGTGTATGCCAGACTTCAGTTTTTCGTGCCATCCAAACAACTATGCATTGTACCTTGCCAGGTCCTCTGTTCTGCACCACTGACCAGGGGGAATGACACTGGATGATCCAGATGAACCACCACAGCTCTGATGATTTTGAAGCAAGGATCAAGAGGTAAACAGAAATGACCTCCGGAAATCACCCACGAAATTGATGGTCAACTTCCTTCAATATTTTTATCAAATGACTGTGACCTGTTGGGCTCTTTATGGTTACACAGATTAAGATCAGCTTTATGTTCAAAATGGGATGGATTTAACATTGGGAGAGAATCACTAGTCTGGGACCAATTTCAAAATGGAGTTATCTCGTTCGTACAACCTGCATATGTTTTTTTCTCTCTAAAAATGTCTCTGAGATACAATTATTTCAGATACATGTACTCTAACATGTCCGTTCGTATTCAATAATATATCATGCTACAAGGTCATAAAGCTTCTCTGATTATCATGTCAAATAGGAAGATAATGGAAATGAACATATGATACGCTACGACATTTGTCCATTGATCACACATCTTGACCTGTGCTGGTCACATTACACAATTAAACCACAACTTTACCATCCTACGTCGTAAATAAAATATAATGGCACTCATCCATCAAGATAAAATAACAAGATAATAACCACTGCTGCACTTGTTAACAGAAATGTAATTGACAAGTGAAAATAGATTAATAAGCACTTAGAAGACGTATGCAATGTTTTTTATTACATAAATTCCCACCGTAAAGCAATAAAAATTTTGGGGCTTTTTTTTATCTGTGGGATGAAATAATATGATCATTTTCACAGAGGATTTATAACAGCATAAATATTGGTTTTTACATAAAGGTTGACTAGAAAGGTTTGGGTTATATGGCATGTCTACATGTATCTATTCCCAACGCATGAGTTATGAGCAATTATCAGCTCAATAACCATTGCTATATTTTTTATAGTAGCCTAAAGAGTTATTTTTCTGTGTCCAATTTTGTTGTCAACTCTGAGCTACAAAAAAGCAGACTTTCTTTTGAAACCAGACCTATCTCCTGTGGCTAATAATAATATCACAATAATGTCACATTGAAGCCATACTTTAATTGATTATCTTATATACATTTATGTAGCCCCATTGTTCATGAAGGAGTCATCCCGTTATGCCCCCCACTATTGTTCTCATAGGAGCAGTCAAGCATGGGGATTATCAAATACAGAAAGATTAAAACTATAGTCGACTTAACAGAAATGTGAAACAACTTTATATATAGTTTACTACATTGCCATAATTTACGTGAAATAGACAAAAGAATATCTAAAACAAATCATAAATCCACAAAATGTGAAATACATGTAGTGTTGGCATATTCAATAGCACTTTTTACTCACATCAACAGTTCAGTTCTTAGATCATTTATACAGTGTTCAAATATTCTATATTTTCACCTTAGAAATAAATTGCACATGAACTTGAGCGTTTAAAATTTTTAAAGATATGTTGTAAAACTATATTCATTGATTCATGAGTAAATTTTGAATGCAAGAGAAGTGAATAATATATAAGATACCCTGACACATGAACTTGTCTCATATATTTTGATCATTAACTAGATAAACGGTAATAATAATGAAACAGTCTATAATCCTTTATTTAAATTTTCAAACCTCTTTCGCCATAACACAGTTTGATTGGGGGGCAGTGCAGGATTAAACCTACTTTAAAAGATACTTTCCTGCATACAAACTGGGTGTTTTGAACAAAAACATATTCAAACTAATTAATCTATCAAAAATTTGCTTCAAATCCCTCTCAAATCTATGTTATCGTGGGAAGATACAACCCTCAAGCTATAAATAAACTGTTGTTAAGATGCCATGTCTTTCACCTCACTTGGGGGAGGGTCAAGTTTTCAGAATGTATTTTTTGTTACTTACTGTTCATTTACCATACATAATGAGGTCTAAGTAAATTCTTAATTATTTTCTGTCAACTTCTTTTTCCACCGTTTAATTGCAGAGTCTTTTGTACATGTACGTTGACACCCCTCAATGTTCCCAAAACCGCCTAACCCTTTGATGAAGAAATAACAACCGCTCCTTCAGTCAAGATAGCATACAATAAGCTGGCAGACAACACAGTGAGGTTGCTAGTTAGTGATACCCGGAGATTTTTGCCCAGTGCTTGCCTCATTGTTTTTTTTCGGGTAATCCAGTAATATTGGGAATCTATACTCTCCATATATACCAAATTTTCCAAATAACCACCTGATAAATACTTTCGGGACAATGTATCTTTAAACCTAATTTTAGTTGATGATAATAAAGTAATAAGTAATTTTGGGACAATGTATCTTTAAACCTAATTTTAGTTGATTATAATAAAGTAATAAGTAATTACTAAAAAAAAACCATTTAGTAAGATTTAGATAAAGGGCTGGCTGTTCTTGCTATACATGTACATGTAATAAATTAAAAATAAATATATGAAAAATGAATGTATGGAATTTTTCAGTCAATTTACTTTATTCTGAAAAAGATAATGTTGGTTTGAGGTTTTGAGGTGAAATAACTATAAACTTCATATTCTTGTAATCAACTACCATTGTCATCATAATAAACAAAGTCGTAATCTAAAAATTTTGGATTGGCCAGTCATGTACATGGATAATACAGAAGGCTTTGTTTTATCCACTCAATATCAAAGCCATCCGATGGTGTAGAGTTAATTATGGACTTGACATGTGAATAAATTTCTAATTAATAATCTATGTATTTAAGCCAGAAAAACTACTGGCAATAGGCCAATTTAGCTCTTACATAAAATGTCCTTAATATTTTATTCAATAATGGGCTTAAACTAATGTTGGCAAACATGGTTCTAGATGTTTGATTTTGATTATACTGCAATAAATATGACCTTTACTTCTAATGAACTAGTGCTGAATGTCCCATCAATCACAGTTTATACACACGATTCATTAAATACGTCCCATGTAACAAATTATTAAAGAGCACATCAAATGGCAAAACAAAATTATGTACGTATAACCAGTGGTTATTATATAAACATTACAGCAAGTTCACAACAATCTGACTAGAATTATTCGCTGAATAGATATTCAACCATTATTCCAGGAAAATTAAATCTGCGCTTATGGAATGAAAACTTTTTTTATTTGCTGAAACTACAGTTGTGTATGTAAAACAAAAGTTGTTTGTGTGATAGGGACTATTGTTAATAATGAACCATATATCAATCTTAAATGGAATAACTCTTGCCTCCAGAGAATTCACCCGATTCAACTAATTTTGGTTCTAATTATCAGAAATCATTCAAATTTGATGAGTTTATCATCCCCAGGTGTATATTTATCTTTAAGGTAACAAACCGTACAAAATAGGTTGTCTGAGCGATTTATAAAGCTTGTCAAGTAAAATGTTTTGAATTTATGAGAGTAAAAGATAGGATGCCAGGCAATGAAACATAAGTCCAGAGCAGCTAAAATGCAAGAAGTCAGAACAGTTCATAAAATTTGTTGCATTGTGATTCTTTTAGCAAAAAAAAAAGAAGGAAAATCTGTATACTGTATAACACATCATTGGTGTGTTGACAAGATTCTATGACATAATCAAGGGCAATAACTCTAAATCAATTATTAGCAAATATTGTTATTCAGCACTTGCAAATCTTGATGCTTGTTCTCGCACTGATCAGCAGTGAATATTCAATAGTCCGCTACAGTCACTGATAGGAATGACATCGATGCGACTTAATGAGCCCCAAATATTAACTTTTTTCCTTCTGCAAATTAAATTCTTGAAGAACATTTTTTTTTAAGCATTAGAAAAATAACACAGGTGTTTTGAGTATATATAGGTAAAAAATATTTCCTATTTAGTGTAAATGGGTATGTCAAATGAGTTAAAGGCACCATTCTTCCTGGTCTAGTAGCGTCATATGTAAACAATGCATGCGTTATTAAGCCAATGATTGACCCCGCGTGATGCGACGTCACATGAGGAAGCAGTCATCTTTTACAGAACTATTGGTCTTCACAATACCTCTGTGAAACAGATTGGATTGTTCTGTGCAAATATCTGAAGTTCTATGGGTTTATCAATAAATAATCAAATTCCACAGGTTATGATTGGAACTCATAGTTTATAACTTTTCAGTGACCTTTCAATATCTTAAGATACAGAGTTGCAAGAATGAACAAAACTGAAATTACAACTTACATATTTTCCAAAAAATGATCTGTTATCGCTTTGACCTCCCTTTTCTTTTTCAACTTTATCTCTATTCATTTTATCAATGTATGTCTGAGTATCAGGGCTGTAAAGAAAACAAATTATAACAGAAATACTGAGTACTTCATACAAAGGAAATGAAATGGGTTTTAAACGTCCTACTTTTTTACTCTCACTGGCATACAGTGTGCTATGAGGAGAATTTTGCTTGGAAATAGGGCTGAACGATATTTGAAATTTTTATTATTGCGAAATCCATATATATATATATCCACAATATATTGCCATTATTGCAATATTATATACTGCTTGAAGACATAGAGTCAAGCGATATATTGGATTATTGCGTTATCAAAAAATTATTGTCAATAAAATAAACATATTCTGATATATTGATTTATAAACTTAATTGTCCAGATTTAGTTAAACAAAAAACTTATGCCTTAATAGATCTCCGTCAAGTATGGTTTCATAAAGTATGAATTTTTATGTATGACCAATCTGATAATCTTTGAAAGAATATTGAAGGAACGGCGATAAGATTTGATGCAAACGTTAATTCTGGTTTCATATCCTTAAATATTAATGAACAGACAGCCGTTTGCACATAAGGCCATATTCAAAACATCCTCTTTGTTTACTGTACAATTATCTTTCATGCATTAAAGGAAGGTAACTCTAGAAAAGAATTCTAAATGGCCCCAGCTCAACAATTATTCCTACACCGTCACCAACAAAACAAGGGCAAAAACTATTTTTAGCCATTCTCCGCCGTTCTCTCCTCCCCCCGCCCTTTTGCATGGCGATCTTTGTTGACTTTTTGGTGTAGAATTAAAGAAAATGGTTTGAATATACATTACCTGCCAGGAATATTCATGTTTTTGAGGCGGAATGATACAATAGTTAAGAGGTTGGTTAGGTTGAAATATAGAGCGGAAAACTCAATGTTTACTTGTCTCTACTTCCAATTTGTGTACCTCAAGCTCTTTATAATGAACCTTGTGCTGTTCATTGAGACTGTAGTATATTCGCGTGTTCATGTTTACTTTTGTCGTGTACGGTAATTCTGGTCACTGAGCGAGCCGATCATTTTTGGAGTGTAGTTAATCGAGTCTATTTTACTTCGCGTCTGCGCATTATCACCGAAAATAAAATAAAATATAAACACGAGGAGCTGAGCGAAGTGACCAGGGTTTTCGTCGCATAATCTTTTTACCGCTACTTACTTGAAGAAAATAATAATATGGGTTAGCACCTAATACTGTGTTGTGTTTTTTCATCATTAGAAAGGTGCGCGTAAGCTATCTGGGCAGCTGACGGAACGGCCATTTGAGTTGAGACTGAGCATAAAGTACGTTTGAGAACACGTGCGCGGTCGTCTCTGTCAGCGAGACAGAACAGTAAAAAGATTGCAGAATTCCCTAGTTCCATGAGTTGTGAATAAAAAGACCTCCCTGGTTTTAAAAAAGAGCTGAGAAGAAAAGGATTGTTTCACCAACTTGGCCTGTGCGTGAGCTGTGAACAAACTTTACAAATTTTCCTGAGTTTGAGAGCTGTGAGTGTGAGAAAATGACTGCAGTGGCTACAACCATACGGAGCCGTGAATAAAACGTTTGCCGAGTTTCCTGTTTAATAACCGTGAGTAAACAGACAGAATCGACAGCCGCGAGTAAAATACATTACTGTTTAAATATAAACTATAAACTGCCTTTGAGCCATGGCAACCCCTGCAATTTCCAACAACTCTGCAGTAGAGAAAGATGACTCGCACGATGTAACCTCAAGTCACCATCCCTCATACAAGTCTATGACTAGTCGTCATACTCGTAGTTCAGAATTATCGAGCTCTGTTCAATATATTGAGACTAAAATACGTGTTGCAAGAGAGAAGTTCAGATTTGACGAGGAAATTCGCAAAATTGAGTTAGCTAGGAAGGTAGCTGAGGCAGAAACCCAATCCAAACTTGAGCAAATAAAAAATGAGCGAGAATTAGCTGTAACTGAGGCCTTGTCGTTTGGCTTCGAGACACTAAGCCATACTTCATCAAAAGTCAATTCTGTTGACCCTATTGATAATAGTTTCAATTCCACTGACCGTACTCGGCGTACTGCACAATGGATACAATCCGAGATAGGTTCTGAGATCGGAGACCTCCCACATGAGAACAACCAGGGGCCTACACCCCACGAGAAGAGCCTTACTACGATTGAGTCACATCGGCCTACTGAGCTACCTAGCCCTAGGTCCACTGAGCAAGCCCACACCAGGCATAAGGAGTTACCTTTCGAGCAGCCCCCAGAGCTATCCCTATCCAGGCCTACCGAGATCTACAGAAATGAGAACCTTACTGAGTTGTTACCAACAGCACCTGTATTTCAACCCAGGTTTGAGGGGCCTACTGAGCAATGTTTGACTAGGCCTAAAGAGTCACCTCGTGATATACATAACGAGCAATCGTCAAACACCCCCATATTTCAACCTAACCATGAGCTAACACTGAGATACACACCTAGTATGCCAACGCATGGTGACCCTAGACCATTTGGGAGCACTAATCAACAAAGCAACTTGTTTAACACTAGGCCACCCGAGCACTCTAATGACATTAGTAAGAGATTACTTGCTTCACTTGCACTACCTAAATGTGAGCCTGACGTGTTTAGTGGAGATCCCGCCTTGTTTCTTCCTTGGAGGCAAGCATTTAAAACCTTAATATGTGAAGCTGAGGCTACACCTAATCAAGAGATTACGTACTTACTGAAGTACACCAGTAGCAAACCTAAAGAGCTTGTAAATCAATTTCGCAGACGAATACATCCCGATCCCCAGGTCAAACTAAATGACCTTTGGTCAGCACTAGAAGAAAGGTTTGGACATACTGCTGAGGTAGCGAATAATTTGATTGAGACTTTACTGAAGGCTGCTAACTTTCGTTACGAAGATAAAGAGGCTCTTCAGACATTTTATGACACTTGTGAGAACTTAAATACACAAGAACCTTATTTGAAAGGCCTGAGCATCCTGAATACTTCGTATTTCATGAAAACCTTAGTTGAGAAAATACCTAAATCCATTAAAGAGAAATGGGACAGTAAAGTTACCAAACACATGGTCGATAATAGAAGTGATGATTACCCACCATTCAAATCCTTTGTTAAGCTGATCCATAACCTTTCACTAAAACAGAACCATCCATCTATTGCTAAATTACCGAGTCAAGAGAGTGAGCACAAAGGTTCGAGATACACAAGTTCGAGACCTGACAACAACCTGAGTTCAAAGCCTAATCCTTATAAGCATGGTTTTAAAGACAATAAGCCCAGTACACACACCACTAGTCTCAAGACTGACGTTAACTTAGAGCCTAAACAAGAAAAGTCGAACAGCCAATGTCCGATCCACAAAACCAACCACCATCTTTCTGAGTGTCGAACCTTCCGAGAGAAAAGTTACGACGAGAAACTGCAGTTATTAAAAGAGCTTGAGATATGTTTCCGTTGTTTAGAGGGGAAACATTTTGCCATTCACTGTACCAGGAGAGATATATCTTGTCCTAAATGTAACAGACGTCACCTATTAGTTCTGCATAAAGATGACAGAGATGAGACGAAGAAGAAAGAGTTGGCACCTTATAGTGGGGAGGCTGTAAAATCAGCATGTACCAAAATTTGTGGTGATGGGACTGTCAACATGAGAGGTAAAACCTGTGGTAAATTAATCCTTGTCGACATTTACGAATTGAGCAATCCTGAGAGAGCAGTGCGAGGATATGTCATTATAGACGACCAGTCCAACCACTCATTAGGATCAACTGAGTTATTTGAGGGCCTACAACTGTACGGGGATGAGCACGAGTTCACACTCGAGACCTGTCATGGTAAGGAATTATGTGTAGGTCGCAGAGCAGAAAATCTTTGTGTACGCACAATACGAGGAGACGAATTTCCACTTCCGAGCATAACTGAATCCAGTAACGTTCCTGATGGTACCAACGAGATTCCAAATCCTGAGCTTGTTAGACAAATACCACATCTTCAGTGTATAGCTGATTATCTTCGACCAATTGACAATAAAGCACCCTTCCTTCTTATTATTGGTCGTGACGCACCTGAGTTATTGAAAGTACGAGAGTCAATAAATGGGCCTATAGGAGCAGCATGGGCACAGCGTCTTGATTTAGGATGGACAGTGAGTGGAGTTCTGTGCTTAGATCGCCAAGGAGGAAACGTCCACATCATAGCTAGAAGAACGTCTGTTGGATTTGAAACCAAGTATGAGCCTTGTGAGAATTCCTTCATATGTAAACAATCGCCAAAAGACGACTACCTGAGTTTGAGTTTTAATGAGTTTTATACATCACCGAGAGATAACGAGATTGGTTTGAGTCATGAGGATCGACAATTCCTGTCTCTTATGGACAAGAGCTTCCATAAGAACCAGTTGGGGAATTGGGAAGCACCTCTTCCTTTTCGGAATTCTGATGTTTATATGCCCAACAACCGTATTCAAGCTGAAAAAAGGTTCCAGAGTCTATTGAGAAATTTCAACCGAAATCCACAACTTGAGACCGATTATTTCGAGTTTATGACAAAGCTGTTTAAAAAAAGCCACGCCTCACCTTCTACGAACACTGTTGAAGACGGAAGAGTTTGGTATCTCCCTCACTTTGGAGTATACCATCCACAGAAGAAGAACCAAATCCGAGTAGTTTTTGATTCATCCGCTGAGTACAAGAGCACTTCCCTCAACTCTGAGTTATTAACTGGTCCTGATCTTATGAACAGATTAATTGGAAGGCTGCATAGATTTCGACAAGAGGAGGTCGCATTTACTTGCGACGTCGAGCAAATGTTTCACTCATTTTACGTGAACCCGGAACATAGAAGTTACCTATCCTTTCTATGGTTTGAGAACAACGACCGTAAAAAGCCGGTGATCGAGTACCAAATGAACGTTCACTTGTTTGGTAATGGACCAAGTCCAGCGATCGCAACATACGGTCTACGAAGAGCGGCTGATGATGTCAAGGATAAATACGAGTTAGCAGCAAACAAGTTTATCCACGAGGAGTTTTATGTGGACGATGGTGTGTATTCTTGTTCAACACCACAAGAAGCCATTGAGTTGATTAAGACTTCACAAGCCGTATTGAACGAGTCAAACATTAAGCTTCACAAGGTAGCCTCCAACAGCCCCATGGTTATGGATGCCCTACCAGAAGAAGATCGAGCAAAGGGACTGAAGAACCTAGATTTTTCGTCTGATATATTACCAGTCCAGAGGTCATTAGGAGTTCAGTGGGACCTAGAGCGAGACGAGTTAACGTTCCAAGTGATCGACAAACAAAATCCCTACACGAGAAGAGGAGTCCTATCAATAATCCACTCTATATATGATCCGCTAGGATTCCTCGCACCATACACAATAGTTGGTAAGAGAATACTTCAGAGCCTGATTGAGTTGGGTAACGAACACAGAGGAAATCTTGCATGGGACGATCCACTACCTAACGAATTCCAGTTGGAATGGGGCATATGGAACAGAGACCTGTCATCTATTGGAGAAGTACGAGTACAGAGATGTCTTAAACCAGCCAGCTTTGGTAATGTCGAACGAGTCGAGATTCATGGTTATTGCGACGCAAGCCAAGATCAGATCGGAGCAGTCGTATATCTTCGAGTGATCAATTCAGAGAAGAGCATTTGGGTATCCTTTCTTAAAGGATGTGCCAAAGTTAAACCACTCAAACAGGTTACGATACCAAGAATGGAGCTGTCCGCAGCCGTACTACTTGTCAACACAGTGAGAGACATTAAACAAGATCTTGAGTATACAATCGATGAGGAGATCTACTATTCAGACTCCAAGGTAGTATTGGGATACATCACCAACCAAACCAAGAGGTTCTATATCTACGTAGCAAACAGAGTTCAAATCATTAGAAGTCTAACAGCCACAAACCAATGGAGATACATTGAGACCAAGTTGAATCCAGCCGATCTAGTGAGCAGAGGTTGTGGAATCCATAAACTTCTTAAGAGCGATTGGTTAAGAGGACCAGAGCATTTATGGGAATCTTTGAAAACACCAAGCTTTGAGGACTACACCAGTTCTTTGAGCGAAGAAGACGCTGAGATTAGATCCTGTAGAACAACCCTTATAGAAAAGACCTGTTCATTCTGTACGCTAATCAGTTCGTACAACAGCTGGGAGAAGCTTCTGAGAGCAGTTTGTTGTCTTAAACTGTTCACTAGATATATGAACAATGAGAAGCCCGTGGTAGAGATCAATCCTTCTTTAATACAAGAAGCCGAGACCGCAGTCGTCAGACATATTCAACAAGAGACCTTTCCTGATGAGCTTAAGATCCTAAAACATCCTGAGAAGTCCATGAAGAAAACCGAGCTGAAAACCCTTCAGCTTAGAAGTTTAGACCCCTTTATCGACAACCATGGTACTTTGAGAATTGGAGGACGTCTGAGTAGAGCAAACTATTCCAATCAAGAGAAACATCCTTGGATTATACCCAAGAAGAGTCTGATAACGCCCTTATTAATCCAGCATTACCACGACGTGAACCACCACCAAGGCCGGTCCATCACACATGGAGCAGTGAGGCAAGCTGGATTCTGGATTATCAGTGGAGCAGAGAGAGTCAATCATCAAATTAGAAACTGCATTCGCTGTAACTTCTTACGAAGACCCTTAGAGTCACCCAAGATGTCCGATCTACCAGAGCAAAGATTCGAGAACATGCCTCCTTTCACCAACGTTGGTATGGATGCATTCGGTCCTTGGGAAGTCATGACCAGAAAAACCCGTGGAGGATCAGCAAATAGCAAGAGATGGGGCATTATGTTCACTTGCCTTGTGAGTCGAGCCATACATATAGAGATTGTAGATGCTATGGACACATCAGCATTCATCAACGCCCTTCGCCGATTTATAGCAATCCGGGGACCTGTAGCACTTTTATGGTCAGATTGCGGAACCAACTTCGTCGGAGCCAGAACTGAGTTACGAGAAGCCTTAAGTGAGATTAAAGACGAATCTGTGAAGAAATTCCTGACTTCAAAGGAATGTGAGTGGAGATTTAACCCACCCCACGCCTCACACTTTGGTGGCGTGTGGGAACGCCAAATTGGTACGCTGAGAAGGGTATTAGAAGGCATGCTTCTTGGTATTGGTAAGCAGCAGCTAACCCACGACCTTTTGGTAACGCTGATGGCAGAAGCAGCAGCCATTGTAAACGCACGACCAATAACAGCCATATCAACAGATCCTGAGAATCCTGAGATTTTAGCTCCCGGCAACCTACTTACTCTTAAAACGAGACCCTATCTACCAGCACCAGGAGAATTTACCAAACCAGACCTATACTGTCGTACGCAATGGAGAAGAGTTCAGTACCTGGTGGACCAATTTTGGATCCGTTGGAGACGAGAGTATATACAGAGTCTTCAACCACGAAGAAAATGTCAGAATACCACGAGCAATATACAAGTTAACGACATAGTTTTAGTCAAAGATAAAGATGTCGTACGAGGTGAATGGAGCAAGGGAAGAGTTACTGGTGTCAAGCTGGATCCAGATGGAGTAGCAAGAGTAGCTGAGGTCACCATTTACCGAGATGAGAATCCCTTCCAACCGCGTTTAAATGGACAATACAAAACCTATAAGAGACCCATTTGTGAACTTGTATTTTTGTGCCGAATCGATAACGATAAACCTTTAGGAGAAATGTGAACAATGGTAAAAGACTTCATCTTTTAAGTGGGGAGTGTGCTGTTCATTGAGACTGTAGTATATTCGCGTGTTCATGTTTACTTTTGTCGTGTACGGTAATTCTGGTCACTGAGCGAGCCGATCATTTTTGGAGTGTAGTTAATCGAGTCTATTTTACTTCGCGTCTGCGCATTATCACCGAAAATAAAATAAAATATAAACACGAGGAGCTGAGCGAAGTGACCAGGGTTTTCGTCGCATAATCTTTTTACCGCTACTTACTTGAAGAAAATAATAATATGGGTTAGCACCTAATACTGTGTTGTGTTTTTTCATCATTAGAAAGGTGCGCGTAAGCTATCTGGGCAGCTGACGGAACGGCCATTTGAGTTGAGACTGAGCATAAAGTACGTTTGAGAACACGTGCGCGGTCGTCTCTGTCAGCGAGACAGAACAAACCTCATATGTGCTTTTGGGCAAGAGATTACCACATGTTGCTCCATTGGTGGTAGAAAGCGTTCTACTCAATGAAAATTTGGAAAAAAGTTAGGGCCAGTCTAAGAGACAAGAATTAACATAAAAGTCAATGAGGATATCGAGAGAGAGAGAGAGAGAGAGAAATGGAGTTTAACGTCCACTCGACAAAAACTAGGTCATTTTGGGACTAACATATGGTTCAATTTTATTGCAATTATTCACTTGCGCGTAAGGTGTCTTTAGCAGTGGGAGGAAACCTGAGGTCCCGGAGAAAACCCACAAAGGTGGACAGGCGACCCTACTCCTTCAATGGGGATATCACTGGTGATATGTGGCCAAATGAATTTGAAAGTGTCTAGTAGGCTCGATTATCAAGCATACAACCAATAGCAATGGACAATTCTAAATTGACTCATTGTTATCAGGAAATGGCAACTATCAATTCATCTGCTTAGTTTTCAAACATCTGTTAATTTTAAGTATTAAGTGTGTTCTATATGTAGTAATGAGAAATAAATGACTGAAATTATACTCTAAGAAGTTGACGGAAGGAGTAGCATTCACATTAGAATTATAAAATCTCTGCTTATGTTCATAGACTGAAACAATTAATTACCGGCACTGCATTTAAATGAACATACAACAGTAAAGTTTACATACATTTAGATAACATGAGAATTAGTAATTATGTAAGTGAATGCCTGTAAACAGTGATCAGAGAATTATTAAGCTGAATAGAGGGCCTGACAAGGACAACTATCTAGTAATTTGGATGGGACGACAAACCAAGGTGCCATGGTCACATTGGGGTGCACATAAAAGATCCCTTCGCAGTTTAAATTCGATATAAGAATAGGCCGTAGCATGGCATACACCTGTCTTTATTAGCGTAGTCGGAGCAGAACAGTAAGATGTTAAACCCCATTCCATTTCATCTCAGAGGTGTAATTAAATCAAGTTAAATCATCTACAGTAAATTTAACTTACACTGGACCAGAAACAGTCTGCATCACTTCAACTGTTGTTTTCCAGTCGGAAAAATTTGAGACTGGCACGTTCAAACCCACACAAATACCTGGTGTAGTGACGATAGATAAACCCAGAACTTCACCTGATTGGTCAAAGTTAATGGTCAGCTGATCATTAAGACTTGATTCATATAATGCGCACTGTAAATAAAAAAGAAATAAACTTTTAAAGACAGGTTCCCTTCAAGTTAATTAGGTCATTTAGTACAACCGGAAAACCTATCTTTAATTAAAAGTATGATATTCTTTATGATGGGGGAAAAATAAAATTAAGGACTTAAAATGAAGAAAGAAATCCTATCCTTAGCAGTGAAAGTTTTAAAATGGTTCAATCTTGCGTATTAAGCCCTAGACTAAATTTAACATTCATTAAATATTAAATCTTGAAATTTTGTAAAACATCAGTCTTAAATTATCCAAAATCATCTAATTTATAGTTGTGTCCTGTTTAAAGATGATTATTTAATATTGATTACAAGCATCCAATTTACAAGCGTTTAATTTCCCAAACCATAAACAAACCAATTGATTTTTAAAGATGCATTACATGTATGTAAGGTATAAAGAGCTGACAGTTCTCAATATACTAGTTATAAAATAGATAATGAAAAGAGAATATGCTGAAAATTTCAGTCAAATTATTTCATTCTGAGACATTAATTAAAGGACAATATTGGTGCCAGTCATTATCATATATGTGATAGAACTGGTTAAACACATTCCAAATGTTATTTTATCACAGAGATCATTGCTACGATAGCTGTGGAATCAATGTTTCAGCAATCGGAAGTGACGAACGCAAAAGGAAAACACGAGTTATCCCTCTATATAACTGATTGAAGTGACGGATGATAACAGGTACATGGGCGAATTTCTGCCCTCTAATAATTCCTTCGAAGACCAAAAGTTGTTGTGTGAGACTGTGAAAGGATATCTGACAATTCATTAAAAAAATTAAATTGACTGTTACTAGATAAGAGAACATGAAAGAAAAATAGAAAAAGGCCGTGCATTACCATGTTTTTATAAGGATAGAATGAATAAACACGCGTGAATGTACAGACTGTTTCTATTTTATTCGTGTTCTCTTATCTAATGAAATTCAATTACTTTTTTGAATTGCCAGATATACTCTTACAGTCTCATATAACAACTTTTGGTCTTCGAGGAATTATTAGTGGGCAGAAATTCGCCCATGTACCTGTTATCACCCGTCACTTCAATCAGTTATATAGAGGGATAACTCGTGTTTTCTATTTGCTTTCGTCATTCCCGATCGTTGAAGCATTGATTACGCCTCTATCGTAGCAATGATCTCTGTGATAAAATGATATTTGGTATGTGTTTAACCAGTTTTATCACATATGTGATAATGACTGGCACCAATATTGTCCTTTAACTTATCAAGACCATAATGAACTCTCGATGCCATCATTAGTCTGTGATATTAAGTAGATTTAAATACGTTTTGTGGTAGATGCTGTTACTGTAAAAATGGACAATTGAGACTTTGAGATGTTTATTATTGTGACACCCGTAGTAATGACAATCGAGGCTAGGCTATAATTGCATCGCCGATAGGTTGGCTCAGAGTGAAGTAATCTGACCGCAATTTTCGACATATTCTCTTTTCAATATCTCTTTTTTAACTATTATAGCGAGAACTGTCAGCTCTTTATCTAATCTTACCTAATGACGCTTTATCTAGCAACAATGTTAAAATCCATTGAAAATCAAAATCATCTGATGGACTAGAGCGTAGATTATTGGTTTGGCATGTGAATAAATGTCTAATAAATGATTCATTTAACATTTGCTGCCAAACAAAAGATCTGCATTAGGCAGATTTAGCTATTTAATTAGGACGTTATTTTTGAACAAAGATTTGATACTGAACGAGTGTGAAAGAAATTAGGGCTAGATTAAACGATACACAGGTCACAGCGTTAACTTTCAATAAATATTTGGATACATACCGCTGGAATGAATGTAGAAACATATTGTTGACTTCCTTCTTTAACAGGAACTCGTAACTGATATAAACCTTTCTGTGATGATGTTTTCTGAAATATTCAAAACCAAAATTCTACATAACAGCTGTATGTCAGCTCTGCCTGGCAAATTGTTAAAATATTTAAATTTTTATACAGAAAAACTGCTACTGTAAAAGTATTTATCTAAAGTTTGATGGGTTTGGCTAACACTAAGCTTTTGTTTATTCCACCACATAGAAAGAAATCACTAGCTTTCAGAAAATACATACATGTAATTTCTATACTGAAATGTGCTCTCCCAAATATTTATTTTAAAATAGTTCCTACGGTTATTTGAACTGATTTTTTTAGTATTCGTTATTAAATAATGGACTTTGGTCTGTTTTTGTCCCCTATGAAATATGTACGGATATAAATTCACTGAAATCAACTAATATCAAATAATAAACAAACAGAGAGAGATAAATATATTGACATAATAGATTTTTCTATCTACAAATTTGAAAACAAGACGATAAATTGATCATTTCAATTGAATCCTATATTTCAATAGGCCACAGGACATGTTAAAAATACATTTTCTGAAAGATTTAGTCTGTGGAAGTCTATCTGTACGGGAGATATACTGGTAAATCTTTATTAGAAACAATACCTAAACTGTAGGCTACAAACGCCACAAGATAAAGCCCAAAAATAAATTGAATTTATATGAATGAAAAACAAATTTATTATTGCCAAGTCCTTTAATAATTTGCCTTGTTCATTTTCTAAATCTGTTATATAAGCTTTCCAAAACTGAACAGTTTCACGAAACAAGTATGGTCAATTGAAAATATGACCACTACAAGTACAAATGTACAGTACAACTGAATACTACTACACCCTTTATGTTTTGTGCATTATTGGTTGATCCTCTGTGAATTATTTACCGATTATAAGCGGAAAATTGGAAGAGGATCAGGATCTTCTTACGTTGAGAATTGTAATTATAAAGGTCAACATAACCGTATTGGCAAAACTGAAGTATTAATGAAAGTGGAGCATTTTATTCTACAGGAGATTAAAGGGAGATAACTTGAATAAGCAGTAACAATGGCGGTTCTCGGACCACTTCCCAAGCTATCATGTTCCATGTATGACAGCATAAAAGGTACAATATTTGAAACCTCCAATGAACACAAATGTCAATAATACTTAATTGTTCTGGTAAGACGACTGTGAGGTTCCAACTTTTCTTAACTGTTACATGTTTAGAACAAACTATTTTGTTCTATTTTGCCTAACTTTTTCAGTGGATCTCCTATTTAATGTGGGCTGCCAGTGCCTGAAATGAGGCAAGTATTCGGCCCCCAACCCTGTTAGCACTCCCCGACTCATTTCCATCGGGCCAGGATTGAACCTCTTATACCCCCAAGCATGTGCAGGGGAAGGTTCAACATTTTTAAATATCTATTATAACAATTTCCTTTCTTTCTTTAGAAATTTTGCTCCCAGGGCAACACTTCTTAATAGCCCTGCCCATGCTATGTATGCCACTGATCAAAATTACAACATACCTTTAATAAATTGATATCCTCTCTTGTAAAATCTGAAGCTGGAGTAAAATGAGCTTTATTACCCTTTAAAGATCGGATGACAACTGTACCTCTCTTACTAAATACAGCATTACCATCTGAAAAATACATGTACATGTACATACAATATAGGGTCTCCACAGCCTATTTTAACATGGCACCCTACCGTGCATTGTGTACACCATGTCACAACAAAAATTTTAGCAAAATTATCAAATGCCACCGCAGAACATGGTTTATGATAATATGGAATCTAAAGAGTTATACTTAGAATTACCATGACAACTGCACTAGAACGAGGAGAGTCTTCTAAATTTAAAATATAACTATTCTTGTTGCTTTAAAAAGTTCCATGAAAAATATCCATATAGTTGACAATACATGCCATTTTTGCATGTCTTAACATAGAACAGGGGTGTCTTTGAAATCAAGGCCCAAACTTTAAACCTATACATATGTGTCAAAGACTTTTCTTAATTTTTCAGGATTGTTGGAGAGAGTGGCTTAAGATTAAGCCATGTGACTCTGTCTGACAATTAATGTTTAAAAGTTCAGGACCTTGATGCCATTTTCGGTATGACAAGTAAATGGCAGCTATAAAGAAAATATTTTAATAGCCAATGGCACCAGTATATAATATGGGCCACATTCTGGTCGTATATCCTGTTCATATCCGACCATCAAAAACAATTGATTGAAAGTTGTTACGACCCAAGCATAATTACTTTCCCCAATCTATTTTAATACATAGCTACAACCCAATTGAGCTAAACAACTATAAACAAAGACATCTGATAGAAGCCATATTGTACATTGATCTATTGCTCTCTTTACACGTTATTAAATGTATTGTAATATATATATACCTAATGTAAAAGAGTGTTCTAGAGTTAATGTTCTTGATCCTTCAAATTCATCATCAAGCTAAAAATATAAAAAAAATAATAACATGTAGAAAAACAAGGGTACCAGTAAGTGCATTATAGATCTCACTTAATGAGAATATGAATGCCTACATTTTTCATCATAGCATAAAATAACTAATGAACCAGTCGTCAATGCAGCTATGTCACTGCCTAATAATGGGATTAGTAAATGCACATCAGTAAAAGAAATGAAATGAAATGAAATGAAATGGAGTTTAACGTCCTACTGTTCTGCTCCTAATAAAGTTATTCTTGTCCATAATAATAAGCTCTAATCACTACCAATCCTGACAGAGATATGTGGCATGGAAAGAGAATGGAATACTGTATGGAAATGAGGCCATTATAAACAAGGTAATCACATTCATGTGGCAATCTTTATATTTTCAACACAACAAAGCCTTAAGTCACACCAATTTGAATTTTTGTTCTTCAGGAAAACAGGATAAAATTTTGCTTCTTATCTCTCCAGGAAAAAGACCAATTTAAAGACCAAAATCAATCTATAAAACAATGGGTCAATACTACCAAAAAATGAGAAAAAAGTACAATTATTTGAATAATACTTTTTTTTTGGGGGGGGGGGGTGGAAATAAATTATTTATTCAATGTTTAGCTGTTCCATTATCAGCCATACTATATATATAGACAGTTCAAAGGTTTGCACTTTTTATAGGAATTAACTCATTGATATTGAAGAATTCTGTCAGTTTGGGATATTAATAATAAGGTAGTACATGTACTGTATGTATTTTGTAGTATTGGGTTCAAATTGGGAGATAGCCTATTTGGTAATATTTGGCTAGCGTTTTTTTCAGACGCTATCAGTACTTATAATAAATAGATATTTCCAGTTTAATGTGAAATGTTGCTAATTCCGCAAATAAACTCTTTTTTATTTTTATTTTGTATAATTCAACCACTGACACTCACACTGTGACTGTGTTAGTTGTTCACAATAATGAGGCAGTACGTTGTGGTATTTGTCCCTGCGTTGACCATGAAAGTTCATTGGGATTTCCCAGCATGGTTCCCCCTTGCCAGTGGTGCAGGGCCTGCCAAGGCAAACGTATCGGTATAGTCGTTCGGAGTGGTGAACTTATTAAATAAGCAGTATAAATAATGAATTGAACGAAGGAGACGTCACATATACATGTAGGCTATCAGTATGCCCAGGTGCTGTTTCTAGATCAGACGATTCAGCAGTGAGAAATAAGTTTGGACCACCTGATCCTTATTTTTCCTGTCACCTCTTGGTGATAAACTTACGTGAACTAATCCTGATAAATCAGCGATTATCGCCAGGAAAAGGCCCACCGCGGTGTACTTAATGGGCGCAGCCATGTTTAATAATATATCCCAGGATTCACGGTCACAAACCAATCACGTTGTCTCTAATATTTGTCAACAAAATGTCCACCAATCGTGTTGATTGTAACGGAAATTCTGGTTATCTTTAATTAAACATGGCGGTCTGTTTAGGAAATGTGCCGACTGAATCAATCTAAAAAAGATTTTATCGATAAATAAGAGTGAAAACGCAGGTGCAATCTCATTTATAAGATGGAGGTGGATACGAATTTATCCCCAGACGATATTATATTCTATTCAGTATTGTACTCTAGCGTCACTGTACTTTTCGGCATGGCTGTCCTTTCCAAATTTCTTACGAATGAATTTCGGTTTGGATTTCGGTCTGTTTTGAGTTTGGTTGTGCTGTTTCTAGGCGAGCCGTTATGCCAATTTTTGGTGAAAGGTCCATGGGGTCTAACCTGTTTTGCTGTTGGTTGTTTGTTTATTTATTCCATTTTACCTGCCAGTCATCTTCCAGTTGGAAATAAAGCGGTTCTCATAACAGGTAAAACAAATTTTGAAATAGCTAGTCTAGGTTAATTTGTAGTAGGCCTTCATATATACATGTACATGTAGTTGACTGAAGGGTTTACCGGTTTGAGCGCCTGAACTATCAAACTTTATAAGTTATGTCACAAAGAAACTATCAGACATATGACAGAGGTCAGATATTTCGGATTAGTAAACAGAATAGGTTAGTAAGGGAAGCAAACACTAACAGCGAAGTTAGTGGTTCCGTTCTAGTTCTGTTTAAAGGTAAAGCTTTAGACATTGTGAGGTTGGTAGTATTTAATTAATAGTATCGGTATTGTATGTACCAAATTATGGTGTTTTGAAGAAAATTTTGGCCATTATGGTTTATGGCCGTTATACATCCCATATTGTATGGTACTATTGGCTGGTAGTATAAACTGTCCTGCTTATACATATATGTGTATGCGTCTAAAAACCTGGAGTAAAGTAATATATGAGATCTGCATTGCTCTTATAAATATAACACATGGGTGACTACAATTTGTAATCGTAAAATGGCCATTTTATTCACGAAAGATACATGTATGCGAAACATAATTGAAGTCCTGTTACAAAGATGTCAAGTTATATACATGAATTTTGACCAACCATTTGAATTGTAGATTGATAAGAATAATGTGCCTAATGAGCCATGAAATTAGATAATTAGATTAAATGGACAGTAGCCTAGGATTGAGTTCTGATTGACTCGATTGAATGAATTCAATGGAAGTACTTTTAATCACATGGAACAATGCTGTCTGTTGAATGATTAACATGATGTAACGTGCTACCCATGCAGAGCACATATTGCTCGGGTATACTGGGATGTGTATTAATATGAGTCATACAATTATGTTAAATGTATGGAAATGGGTTTCAATTGAGTCACTTCTTCTGAATTACTGTACTTTAATCATACATGTAGAGTAAGCGTACACAAATGTTTATTATTATTATAACATTATTCTTATAGTTGTATTTATATAGGTTTACTGATAAATTTTGTCTCCAGATTGCTACAAACATACTGATATCTATATTGTCTACCCCCCACAAATATACATGTAATCCAATGCATTTAGCTTTAGTTTTAAGAACCTTTGCACTGGATGACATAACGATAAGATTTCGTCTAGGTCCTTCTCCCTCCCTGCCCCGCCCCCTTATAAAAGCTTACTTCTGCCAATTAGACGGTTTGCTCACTATCTGTGACAGTGGGACTTCTCCTTTAACAATGTTTCAGAACATTTACATGTAGATTGAATATCATATACATTTATAATTGCAGGTTGTGATACAGGATTTGGTCATGCATTAGTAAAGAAATTAGATAGTATAGGTATGAGAGTGTTTGCTGGTTGTTTAGTTAAAGATGGCCCTGGTGCCATAAAATTAAAAAATAAATGCTCTGAAAGGTAAGTAAATATAATAAATACATGATATACTTTTAAAAGGCCTTCACTGCTCAGGAGTACAGCTTTGATCTTTCAAACACTGTTCCAACTCGTCAGTAATAATTCCTTCTCAGAAAAAATGTACAAAAGCTGTCAATAATTTTGATCTTAAAGGAGGAATTGTCATTTAAACCAAGAAAACAAATTTAAGTAGTTTCAAGCACTGTCATATTAAAAACAATCTTAGACTGAACTCATAATCTGTAATACAGGCTTCCAATTACTGTTATAACTACATGTTCAGGACCATACAGATCAATGAATACTTGTGGTGGATTCCCTGATCCATTCACTAGATCTAAAAGGTTTTGTTTTGTGAAGTTCTCCTGCAGATATTTTGCCAGAGCGTTCATTGTACATGAAAACCAAAACATTTTTTGGGTGGGTTTACACAGCTTGTCTAAAATTTTGAACATCAAATCATGGCGAATGAAAAACTATTATGCCTACAAATTGCCAATATGCCACTTTTGTAAGACTTTGGTCCTTAAGACCATATTGTGTCTTTGACTAATTGTTGGCTCACTCTTTCTATGAAGTCAAATCCCACGTACTAATAAAAGCGGACAACATGTTTATATATAAAAAACAGTGATATTTTGGTAAAATCCTAACCATTGTCAAAATATCCATCAAATTCTATCTGTTTATGACCAAATAAGGTAATATTCTCCCCCGTGGTCTAGGGAGAATAGGGTGTTTATTCCATATTTGAGGAGGAAATTAACACCAAGGTCAGTCTATAATGTGCAGAAATAAGGGGGTTATAGAAGAGGGTGTTGAGTGAAATTGAGCAGAACTCAACCTGATATTCCTAGCGGCTATCATTTAGGCTTTATTCAGAATGTCGAACATAGAAGCCTTGCAAGCAGTTAATAATAAAGCTGAAGAAACCATTAACCTGTAGTTTTATATTACAATCATGAAGAAAACAAACACAACAAAAAAGTCTGATATTACTACACTTTAGAGTTAAAACTGAAATGTTAATTTAACAGATTTTGTTGCAGTGATACCCAGGTTAGATATTTGTATGTATTTCAGAGTAACATTTTTACAGTTAGATTTAACAAATAATAAAGAAGTAGAATTAGCAGTAGAATATATACAACAACAAGTCTCTACAGAGGGTTTGTAGTTTACAATATTTATATAACATGTCGTAGTTTCTAATAGTAATTAAACCCTTCTAGTTATAATATATAATATACATGTATAAAACCTTTCAGATTGAAACTTGTGAAAAATGTAAGTTGTGATATTTTGCAATATATATTAAAATCATTGTATATAAAAAAAAAATGACTGTCAACTTATATAGAGTTACTTCCCTTGTTTATATTGTTTATTTCTGACCTAAGTGGCATCATGGAGAGCTAAATTTGGATATTGCTGGGCATTTTTTTTTTTTTGCTTCAAATGTTACTTTGGATGGTTTAGATATTGAGTGGATTAGACGATGTCTGCCATATCTGCACACTAATATGGCCGATGAAGCCGAAAATTTCTGGCAAGGCATGACATTACACATAGTGATTGACGATAAAAGGAAATGAAAATGAAATGAAATGGGATTTAACGTCCTCCTGTTTTGCTCCGAACTGGGCTAATGAAGACGTCCATACACCATACAGTGTGCTATGAGAGAAATTTTGCCCGGACAGCGGCACTACGGCCTATTCTTATATCGAATTCCAACTGTCAAGGGATCTTTTACGTGCACACCAATGTGTACACGGGACCTCAGTTTTTCGTCTCATTCGAATGACTAGACAGCTGTCCTTGTCAGGCCTCATGTCCTGCATAGCTGACAAGGGGAAAACACACCGGAGAAGATAAAAGGATTTACAATTAAGACTTTGTTGTTTATCATGGCACATGTATGAACTGTGGGATTCTGTTTGCCAATGATCAGCAATTGTCACAATCACTGGAGACAATTTATGGTTATTTCTTGTCAAAACATCAAACATTGATAACTTCACTCAGAATAAAGTATTGTGACTGAAATTTTCAACATATTCATTTTTATTTTTCATTATCTATTTTTGAATTATCATAGCAAGATTGTCCAGCTCCTTCTATAGATCTTGCATGATGTTTCCTTAAATCAATATTAGTGTGTGTATATCAACTTTAAAATTAGATATATTGGCCATTTTCTACTATAAATGCTTATTGCACATACAAATTTTGAGGTTCTTAGATACAGCTTTTACATTGGTGCATAGTTGTGTTTTGATAGGGAACAACAGCAGCTAGGTGGGTAAGACACTGGCTTGCTAGCCCGGAGGACCTGTGTTCATTCCCTGCATTGGACGAGAAAGTTCACTGGGATTTTCCGACGTGGTTATCCCTTGTCAGTAGTGCAGGAAGGAGGGCCTGGCAAGGACAGCTGTCTAGTTGTTAGGATGGGACAAAAAAAAACGAGGTCCCATGTATACATTGGCGTGCACGTAAAAGATCCCTTGGCAGTTGGAATTCGATATAAGAGTAAGCCATACTGTCGCTGCCCGGACAAAATTTCCCTCATAGCACACTGTATGGCGTATGCCCGTCTCCATTAGCCCAGTCAGAGCAGAACAGTAGGACATCAAACCCCATTTTATTTCATTTTGATATTTTGACCCATGTAACTCATTTAGCCGGAGCTGATCACATAATGTTCAAAATATCTTATATAGTATTCTGTATTGACTGCCATTTTACATTCTTCGCGTAGGTCTGTGGGGGTTAGTAAATAATGCTGGTGTATGGTATTGTTCCGAGCTGGAGATGACATCCGAGAAACTTATGCGCCGTGTAATGGATGTTAATCTATTTGGAGCTGTCCGTATAACGAAAGCTTGTTTACCCATGATACGAGCATCAAAGGGTAGAATTATAAATGTTTCTAGTCTATTGGGTAAGTATTTATTGTACTTTGGATGATGTTTTTATTAGGTGCATCCATATTTAGCAAACACCAAGTATGGTAATGTGATTTTCATAATCCCAGTCTTAGAATACAGAACATATTGGGATGTCCTTAGATCCCTTCATCAAGCTATATTTCCATATGTCGAGGCTGGCAATAAATGTTGCATAGTTGTTTGCATGGGACAAAAAAGCTGGAGTTCATGTTTTGACGGTTGGAAATGAAAGAAGAGGCAGAAATGCCCCATTTCTATCTCTTCCATCTTCATCTCCCTGTTACAAGATACTATTTATACTTCTCTAAGCTATAATATGTAATAATATTACTAGGCTATATTACTATTGTTTCTGATTGGAGACAGTGCCATATTTTTACCATTGACGGCCCAGTTTTCATAACACACATCTCAAAATAAATGGGAGGGTTGTAAATCATCTTGACTCGGCTAAACCCCATTTCATTTCCCTCCCTTCAGATGCCAGATAGATTTGACAGTGGAGATAGAATATATATTCGAACATGTGATTAGAGATCTTGCTGTCACAGCTGTGCATTAACAACAATGCATTGATGTATGATCATATAAATTTTATAACTTATGATAGTTACCTCCCTTGTCCATCTGTTTTAGACAGTAAAATCTGCAATTTAAAATTCACGGACCAATTGTTTCCAGGGTATAAAGCTTATACCGATTGTCTCATCTTATTAATTAAAGATACATTATGGAAGATTAGATAAAGAGCTGTCAGATTTCGCTATAATAGTTAAAAACTAGATAATGTAAAGGGAATATGCTGAAAATTTCAGTCAAATTGCTCCAGTCTGAACCGAGATATTGGGTTTGAATTTTAGACCTAGTCTCGATCATCATTACTAAAGTCGGTTGATAAAAAAAACATAGTCTTGATTATCCATTTTTGGATTGGATTAAATCATCAATGAGCATTGAGCAGCAAATTGGATTCAAATTCAAAGAAAATCTGACACATAAGATGGCATCGAGAGTTGATCAAGGTCTTTTCATGTTAATAAATGTCTAATTAATAGTTTATATAACATTTCAGGCTTAAAGAAAGACCTGCAATAGGCAGATTTAGCTCTTGCATAATGTATGTTTAACATTTATATTTTAGGTCGTGTAACATTAGAAGGTAATGGTGCATATTCTATGTCGAAACATGCTCTTGTAGCTTATACAGATACTCTACGACAAGAGATGAGAAAATGGGGAGTTCAAGTAGCTCTAATAGAACCAACAGGTTTTTATACTGGTAAATACAACTTTATTTTATTAGACAAAGTGCTATGTATAACAACTACTCCATCAACATATTTCTTTGATTTTAACCCGTTAAGCGTGACGTTTTGAAACGTTAGCTACTCCCTATTGTGTAATTAATTTGACTTAGTGACGAAGAACTATGTACTATGTTCTAAGAATAGGTTGGGGAAAATACCTCCAAGGCGTTATATTACGCCCTACACACAGTGAGTGGAAGTTGTCCAGGACGTAATATAACGTCCTACACATTCTGCGATCGCGGGGGAATTCCCACAAGTGACGAACTATGTTCTAAGAATAGGTTGGGGAAAATACCTCCAGGCGTTATATTACGCCCTACACACAGTGAGTGGCAGTTGTCCAGGACGTTATATAACGACCTATGCACTTAATGGGTTAATGAAGATTTTATGGAGAACAAGTACTCCAACCCCAGCTTTCTTCCATGTTAGGTTTAATTAAGTATTACTGCTTTTAATTTATAAAGTCTTATTTTATTATGTACTCTTCAAAAAAGGTAGGGGATATTGAAATGCAAAAAGGTAGGGGATATTGAAATGCAAATACCTATGCAGGTTGTGATATGATAAATTGTCATGGACACTTGACATTCTTTGAGAGTATGTTCACAGATGAAGAACTTATCGCCCCAACAGAACCACTGAGCTGTATGTGCGACACGCAATAGCACCATACATGTGTGAGGGGTTCATTGTCAAATTTGACACTTCAAGGAAGGGTTAATGAAAACTGCGCTTGCTGGTTTATCCTATCCATGTTTGTTTTCCTATCAGTTCTTGCATGAGATTTACTGTTTAGCGTATCTTTGCTTTAGTGTGTTACGTTTAATTTGATCGGGAGACGTGTTCGTCAACGTCAACCGAAAGCACTGCAAGAATTGGCAGTGGCACTGCAATAGGAGTGTGTCAGATTGCCCCAAATCGTGATTGGACGGTTGATTAGGAGCATGCCACGATGAATTGCTGGATGTCTGAGGATTGGTGGAGCAATTACTCATTATTAAGACAAAGATCAAAAACGTCCATTTTCACATTTGACAGTGTATCTCTTTGCGAGTGAAATGGGGCCGTTAGATAAGCCGCCCATATGAACTGTTTATGTTCAAGTGTAGGCAATTGGCCTGTTATTAAAATAGGCCTACACTGGTTACCTCTAATAAAAACAGCAGTGCATTTCCGCAGTTTTGTATTGTTTCTGAATATCCCCTACTTTTTTTTAAGTGTATATTATGCGGGAGTACCCCCTCTGCCTGTTCATTCACATCTCTTGTAAACATTCCATATTTTTAGATGTCTTTTTTAAAATCTTGTTGGTTTTGTTCAGTATTTGCAGACAATATTTCACAGAGTTACTCTCCCTGGCACTAAAACGCTCTCCTTTTATGAGAGTTTGCGATTTTTTTTTTCAATATTACTGGTATTGTTCAGCCAGTTCAAAGCATAAACTTTATTGAAATTTGGACTCACTCATTTACTTCTTTTCGTCAGAATTTTTGTCAGAATTTTTGTCAGAATTGTATTGAAATTCATGGTCGACCATCAATTTTATGTATCATATATATATTTCCTCTGACCCAGAAATCTTGATATACACACCCTTCGAAACATTGCTAGTGGGCATCTATTTGTTGTCTGGCAAAGTCTGTATTATTAACTTGATAAGTCTATATCATTAACTTGATAAAACTGTTGATAAAACTGATAGAACCATTGTGAAAACATTGCTTTGAATGAATTCTATGGTTGTTATACTTAGTGTTTTGTAGCAGTTTTTGTCATTTAATAAATATTGATAAAATGTTGGACACTCTTTTTTCCAGGAGGGCAAATCTGAAAAACTCCATCCCAAGTACTGTCCCCTTTTTACCTGTTTCTATTTAAAAAAAAATAATATTTTTTATTTTTCAGGCAACATGCAGGAGCATGTGATCAGAAGTCGTAAAGAGGAGGTCTGGGATACTTTAGATGAGGCGACAAAAGATACGTACGGAAGAGAGTATCTGGATCAGATATGTTCACACATTATAGATGGTACTCCACGATTTTCAAGAGATCTTACACCTGTTATACGCTGTATGCGTAGTAGCTTATTGTCCAAACGACCACGTGAAAGATACCCATGTGGTGCAGGTGCTGAACTATTAATAACTTTATATCCATTACTTCCTGTCTGGTTAGCAGACAAGTTAATGGCTGCCATATCTTTAATTCCTAGAAATATCACGCCCGCCAGTTTACAAAGCTAGTCAGCCGAATTTCATGTTTTCAAGAGATATATTTTATTTTCTTATTATAGCTTTTTAAGTTGTTGACTATGAAGTTGTTTGTGTTTGTGTGTGAATAATTGAAATCTTGTTTTTGTATGTCGTTCAGAAATCCTGTCTCTTTGGGGTGCTGGGTTTAAAATCAGTTTTGTTACTTATTATATTGATGTACAGCTAAGACCACATTCCACATACATCATGTTGAACTTATATTTGGCCAATTCTTGGTGGATCACCAGTTGAGAATCAGTAGTTCTTCTAGTTTCAATCTTAAAGGGGCATTAGGTAAAGAGCTGACAGTTCTCGGTATAATGGTTAAAAAAAAAATAGATAATGAACAAGCAATTTGTTGAAATTACTTTCCTCTGAGCCTAGTTATCGGTATGTTAACACTTTAGCCTTGATTGTCATTGCTACCATTGTTTCGATAATAAACAAAGTCTAGATTATCCATTTTTACGGTTATTTCATCAACCACAAAACATATTCAAATCTACTAAATATCTAAGCCATTTGATGGCATCGACAGTTGATTATGGTCTTCGTAAGTTAGTTATTGTCCAATTAATAATTTATATAACATTTAAGGTCTAAAGAAAGACCTGCAATAGGCTGATTTAGTTCATGCATAATGTCTGTTTAATTATGTAAATAATTTTGACACAGGTTTAAGCCACTAATCATGATTTCAGGGATCTTGGATCCTGTGTAAACTACAATATTGTGAATATTTAGTGCTTAAAAGCAAATTCAGTACAATAATGGCTCAAGCCCATTCAATATTCTCTAAGATATGATGAATTGAAAATTTGGCAACATTTAGCATATTCTGAAGGCAATAATAAATAAGCTAACGATAGCTACTGTATGTGTTGGTTAAAATATTTTGATGGGCCTCTTTTTAATCAGATTGAAATCAAGATATTTTGGTTTTGTTTTCTCAATTAAACTTTAAATAATCAATTTGTGTCCTTTTTAACCTGGATTAAGATGTGAAAAATTGGATATTGTCTGAAAAATGCAAATAATGATTAGCATCTTTAGAGGGCCAATCTCGATTATATTTTGTAGAATAAAACTGCTTAATTTTGTGTTAAAAGACCTTAAAATCCTCTACCTTAGGGCCGAGCAACTAACTCAATATACGTGATACATTTTCAAACAATTTAAACCTGTTAGTCTTCATCTGGAAATGGAGTTCGGTGTCCTAAGCTGTATTATACAGTGTCTGGATAAAACCAGACTTTTATTTTATAAAAATAACATGTAGATGAAATTTACCTTTCATTATCAAGTACAGCACATGGGTCATTCACTGTATAGACCTCTAAAGGAATGGCAATAGATTATCAGGTCACCCAACGAAAAAATTGACCCGAAATCTTAAAACGGTTACGTGTCCGGATAAGCAGTTTTGACGTTCACATCCAAACGACTCAATATTTTGATCTGAAATTTTGAGACAAGGTAAATACACCATTCCTCTATATTTTGGTGTTTAAATTTCATACGTACACAGACTTTTATTTCTGAGACTCTGTTAAATTCGGGATGGTCCCTTTACGGGATGGTCCCTTTAAAAATGTCTGATAAAAGTGTAGGCAACCTGATATAAATGTATTTCAGTGTTGTGGTTTGTGGCTCTGGATGTGTTTACAACTATTCATCAGATCTTATGCTGACAAATGGCCACTAATTGTTATATTATTACTGTAAAACCTAAAAAAAAACGTAACTAAATGAATACCTAAGGTAATTAATACATAATTTTTTGACTATTGGAATATATGTGAACTATCTGGCTTGTTGGGCCCTTAAGATACTTGCTAACCAGACTTAAGGCCTTTGCAGTATGGAAATCAATAGCAAAAAACCCCAATGATTGACCTGGAGACGATGAGATTACAAATGTGTTTACTTGTTTATATATATATTATGTGTCTATGTAAGTGTGAAAGTGTTGTTACGAGGGCATTTTCTTTTTTTTCTTCATTGACATTCAATATTAGAATTAGAATTTTTTATATGGCATTTAAAAAGTCTAGAGTAAATGAAAAAGTTTGTGAAAATAACCAAAGAATGAAATTTTATGATTTTAAAATTTTATTTTGAAGAATGCTTTAATTTTAATAAACATGAAATAGAAATAAGAATTATTGATTGTAAGTTTAACCCTTTGAACCTGAGACGTCTCACTTGTTTGTGGCATACATTAGAGATAAACTTAGAAAGCTGGATTTCTATACTTGTTTATGTCAGACATCTAGGCAATAACTGTCTCAGCAACTCATTGTATTGACTGCAAAACGTTCAGGGACTCGGCGCTCTAAGGGTTAATAATAAATATGTTTTATAAAAATGACATGTTAGATTGTGCCTATTTCTTTTTGAAGCTGGTATTAGGTTTGATTTTGACTTTTTTATCAAAAATGCTTGAAATTTTAATTAATGTATATTCAACTGTATTTGTATGTAACCAAGATTTTCAAACTAGTATAATTTCTAATCAAAATATTTGTTAATATGATGTGTTATCGTATTGTTAATGATAGTAGGAAGATTAGTTTTATTTGGAGTTATGGTCCATACTTCATCTTTTTCTATTGAAAGGATTCATTGTGTGTCAGTATATATTTATAGAGAAGTACAGATATAGGTAAAGCCTGATTCCTGCCGTCATCAATCACCTAAAATATCTGTGTTTTGTGTAAATTCTACTAGATTGAAGATGACTGAACAAGAACGGGGGTGGATGGCCGAATGGTTAGCATGTGTGCGCTGTATCATAAAGTCTGTCATTGAATCAACTGGTGTGGTTTCGTTTCCCTGGTTGTACATAACAAGGAGTACGGTCACCTGTCCAACCTCAAGGGTTTTCTCTGAATTCTTGGGTTTCCTCCTACGCACAAGCGAATTATTGAAATAAAATTGACAAAATGACCAAGTTTGTGTGGAGTGGATGTTAAACCCCATCTCTCTCTCTCTGGTTTCCTTCCTCTTCTAAAAGAACCCTGTGCACATGCGACTTATTGCATTGACTCTATACCATAGTTAGTCTCTACATTTATATTTTTGAGTGTTGATTGTAATGTTATTGAAATGGCCTGGTTAACTCTCTCTCTCTCTCTCTCTCTCTCTCTCTGTCTCTTTGAATGAGAACATGATTGGTTAAACTGTAATTGTCTTTAGATCCAGTGAATTTTGATTTAATCATACAAAGGTCTGAATGTATTGATTGATCAAACTATAAATTGCTTTGTATTTTATGACAATTCAAAGTCTGTTATTATACAATGAAGACAATTGTTTTTTTTATGGGAACATCCGAAAAGAATAACATGATGTGTCCTTATGATCACTTAAATGTGATCAAAGGAGATATCGTTTGGACTGAAACCTTTATGGAAGCAGTAAAAGTAGTGTATGATTTTTCAGGAATATCATTTGATTGAAACTAAATTCTATACAATTGATGTCGGTAGGAATCAGGCTATGATATTATTAGTAACAATAAGAGTTTTCATATCTAGTTGGCAGCAATACAGCATGCTATTTACTCTTTTACATTTTAATGCTCAGTTTTACATAGTTATACTTTAATATTGAACTCCTATCTCTTTATCTATCAAAGTTTATATGGACATTAATTAGCTAACACCTGGCAGTATTAACCTAACAGGGTAGAAGCTCTGGTTAAAATTTAAATGTCTTCTACAACCAAGAAGGCCCTTTCACTTCCCATTTTCAGTATTATGTAAGATTTAAATAAAGAACTGACCATTCTTGCTTTCATAGTTAAAATATAGATAATGAAAAATGAATATATTGAAAATATTGTTAAATTACTTTATTCTGAGCAAAGTTATGAATGTTTGAAATTTTGACAAAATGTAGTCTATGTGAACATAGTCTTGATTCTCAAGTACCATGTGACAATAATTAACAAAGTCTTGATTATTGATTTCAACGTTAAATTATTAAATAGCACGGCTATTCTAATCCATTTAGTATCTTGACCATCTGATACCCTAGAGAGTAGATTATAAGCTTGTCATGTGAATAAATGTCTAAATATTGATTGATATAACATTTGAAGCCAGAGACAAAAAGATCTCTAATAGGCTGATTTAGCACTCGCGTAACACTTCTTTTAGAACATATTTGGCATTATAAAATGGTTAGTGTAAAATGGTTAGTGTATATAAGTTTTCTATAATCATGAGTAAATTGTTATTAAAGATATTTGTTTTTATAAAGATGGATGATGATGAGATAATTTATGTGAGTTATTTATTTAATATGTTAATTGAAATCATCTCATTATACATCATACATTATTATTTATTATTTGTCATTTATCTTTTGAATGAAATCAGTTTGTGCCATTAAATTTGTTAAGTCAGTAAATTATGTCACATGGGCCAGTCATGTTAATTTCATTAAAGTTTTCTGGGGTAATTTATTATGTAGCAATATAGATGTAGTTTAGTTAATGCATGTTTTTAAAAGTGAGAGAAGGGCTGATCCAAGTTGAGTTCTCTTTTTTATCCAGATTTAAAAACTAAATGTGTAAAAGTAATAAAATCAAAAATATAACAATTTACCTCCCCACATGGCAAAAATAAATGAACTCTCTCTGCGCAGTTTATAGAAAGAGTGCTCTTTTGGGATCCATTTCCGTCATTGGCTTGCTCTCGACTATTAGTAATTAGATGAAGAAAAATCTTTTTCAAAATTTTGCATCATCTGTTAACCATTTTTCAGGTTACTCATTAAATCGCAAATATTACGAGCGCTCTGTAACGGAACCCAGGCAGTTCTTTTTATTTACATTGTTTACATGTGCATCTAGAAACTTCCAAATTTATTTTTAGAAAAATTAAAAATGTAAAAGTTGAGCAATGTTAAATAGTGACATGTATTATTTCCAAGCTACATGTCGTACTGTGTATATTTGTTAATTGGTGCAGTTTATTTTATTATTTATGTTTAGTTGGTAAATATTGCTATTTTTAGAAATACTATTTTATGCTTAATTTGTTATATATTGTTTGTATACATTAAAAAAGAAAAAAAATAGATAAAAAGAAACATTATTATTTAAATTGAAGATCATTGTATGCCTTCAGGTGTTAAATGCGAAAACATCAATGTATTTGGAGTACCGGTATATATACATACATGCAAACAGTACACATTTATTAGCCATCTCCCAAACAGAGTTGTCTTCCCTTGCAGTCCACACTGGATAGCGAGACTTGTGTGGATAATGTGGTAAATGGGAGTAAGATGGTGACTCGCTAACATGGAGGTCCTGTGTTCAAGGCCTCTGTTCATCAGGATTTTCCAGCATTGTTCCCCTTCGTCAGTGGTGCAGGACAGGGGGCCTGGCAAGGAACAACGTATAGTTGTTTGTATGGGATGATAAACTGAGGTTCCACATGCATGTTAAAGAACCTTTAACAGTTGGAACTCGATATAAGATTAGGCCGTAGTGCCGCTGTTCAGGCAAAATTTCCCTCATAGAACACTGTATGGCATATGCAGATTTGTAAATAGTTAGGCCTATGCTCCCCCTTATGATTAGCCAAACAATCCCAGCAAGTCTGAAAAAAACTCGGAACTGGTGTGGGCTTACAAGAGCATACATGCTGGTGTGACGACAGTGACCGAATAAAGAGATAACCATCTACCATCTGGGGCCGGTTTCACGAAATTTTAGTAATTTGATTGGATAATATTAGATTGATATTAGTGGTCAGCCAATCAAAACTGAAGTATCTACTAAAATATGGATTTTATCTTTAGTAAAGATTTCGAGAAAAAGGGCCCAGGAGTTTAGCTCTTTATACGTCCATATTTTAGGTGAAAATATTTTGTCACACCGATGTATAGTTGTTCGGATGGGACGAAAAACCGAGGTTCACATTGGCGTGCACGTAAAAGATCCCTTGGCAGTTGGAATTCGATATGAATAGGCCGTAACAATTTATGTACCAACAGAACCGTGTCTGCGATATCACCTGGTTGGAACCAAATGAAGTAACGTATATTTAGTAAAGCTGTCTCTATTGCATTAAGTAGTATTAGTGTACCTGTAGATAAGTTATCATACACACACTAGTAAAGTTGATACTAGAACGCGTAAATGTTTCAATAGATAACTACATGTAGTTACTAAAAGAATCGACCATGCTATCATTACGTGACAAATTAATTATACCAATTAAAGGGATACTCCCATATATTTAGCCTCTGTTACATTCGTGAGCAATAAACATTGTTTCGCTCCGGAATGTTCCGCAACAACATGAATAAACATTTGTGCCGCTTTGAAAACCGAACCTGTTATTTCTCCGTGTTGGCCAAGAAAGTTCATCGAGATTTTCCGGCGTGGTTTCCCCTTGTCAAACGAAGGGCCTAACAAGGACAGCTGCCTAGTCGTTCGGATAGGACGAAATTCCGAGGTATTTGGAATTCGATATAAGAGTAGGCCGTAGCAAAGTGCATAGCGTATGTCCGCCTTCATTAGTCCAGTCGGAGCAGAACAGTAGGACGTTAAACTCCATTTCATTTCATTAAATATTTTGGAAAAATGTACCCGAAACCAGTTTTAATGATGCAGAGTAGTCCTTGGCTGGCTTATAATTCAGTAACAGAGTAGCAACAACCTGCTAGCCTAGGGTGGCATCGTAGATAATCGATATATTATAAAAAATACAGCTTACTTGGATCAAAAATTTTGATACCCCAGCTCAAATCCTACCGTTTGGACAATTTGAATGTTTGTTGTGGTAGAAATTCCCGTTTCTATACTCTATTTAATTGACAATTGGACGACCACGGATGCAAGTGACAACAATATACGTCCATATTAAATGTGGGCGTATTAAATGGCTATTTTCTTTATAAAGGTTTCAAATTTATTTATTTGCATAAGCAAATAAATAAATTTGAAACCTTTATAAAGAAAATGCAAATCGGCGGTTGGCAGTTGCATAGCCTTCTCTTTTAATGGAATTTAATAAAACAAAGAACTATCAATGAAAACAAATCTCTCAGATTATTTCAAAAGACTAGAGCGCTCTCCCCCAATTTTAAAGATATTGTCTAGAGTTCATCCCATAATCAACTGGAAGATTTGTTTTATATCGAAACGGACGAAGCCCTGTCCGTCCCTATTATAAGCTGCGATATGAAAATACAAGTTTACCCCGACCGCTGCTCGATTTCTTAGGATTTTGAATAGCAAAATTCCACTTGAATGTAGTGTTGGGTTATTATAAAGGGTCGGAGGACGTCGTCCGTTCAGTGACCGTTCCAAAGGGAACCTCTGGAACAGTGGAAGAGAAGCAATTGACCTAATCGGTTAAAAGACCACAGTTTTTTTTCAGTATGCTAGAAACTTATCACCAAATACATTTCTTTGGATATGGAATCTTGTTCCGGCACCAGGGACTTTTGACTACTTCGGTTTAACCTGTAGAATTTTGAACATCTGTGGCCTCCCCTGGAACAAATCGGATGTCGTGGATGCCCTTGTGAGTGGTGTGTAGATTTGGACTGGGTCGACTTTGAATTTTTGTGGCCTCACCTGGAAGAACTCGAATATATTGGGTGCGCTGGTGAGTAATGTCTAGATTTGGACTGAGTCGATTTTGAATTCTTGTGGCCTCACCTGGAAAAACTCGAATATCTTGGGTGCGCTTTTGAGGGATGTCTAGATTTGGACTGTGTGGATTAACTCAGAATTGTCATAGTGCGCCATTCGACTACTTCCTCTTTTGGACTGTAAAGGTTGCAGTAAAATGATTTCTTTATTTATCAATAAAATGTACAGGTGTGGTATAAAAGACGAAGAATTATTCAATGATAATAAATAGGTGAACGATATTTGACAATAAATTATCAATAGAAATAGCTTACATTAAACATGTAGGCCTTATCTTATTATTGAATTAAAAGATAAATAAAAACTCATCTACCGTGGCCCAACCTTATTAAAGGAACAACACACTAGGTCCAATAAAGAATGGGCTGGCTTGTAAGGAACACAATTATTATTACTATATTGACTAATACGAAACAATAGAAACCGATGTAAACTTAATATGATCATAACTTTAGTTAGAACTGATAGGTTTAATTAATTATTGGTCCAAAATGTTTTTGTTGGCAAAGATAATTTTAATGGTATATATAATATTTATTCTGGCATGTTGGGGCTTTAAAGGTCTTCACTAAAATACAAAACGCAAGAGTGAACAACAGTAATAAACGGTGATTTTGTTTAGATCGGGAGGTGCTAATCCGGATGGGGAGGTTCGGGTATTTCCGGAGTGCACAATGGCTGCTTCATATAAAAGAGTATTTTGGGGAATACTAACCCTAGCTCTAACCCTTTTGATAAGACTGAACTTGGATCCAATTTACCCTTTACCCCCCTGAAAGGGATTAGGGTTAGTGTTAGTATTCCCCAAAAAACTCATTTATATAAAGCGGACATTGTGGACTCCGGAAATTCCCGAACCTCCTTAACCGACCTACAATTAGCATCTCCCGTTTAGATCAACTATTTTGTAAGAGTACATTGATTGGTCTTTTATTCTGATGCATTGTTTCTAATACCCGATACATCAATTCAAACACCATTAGCAACCGTAGAGTTGTCTCTATCATAGTGTCGTCCATACAGAGTAGCAGACAAAAGCGGTCTTTCCTTTCCCCGATTCACGAACTCAATTCGATTATGAAGATACTTCCAATGTTCGTGTTCAAGTCTTAATTTTCCGTCATGCGACACAAGTACTTCGGGGAAGACGTATTCAGTTGTGAAGGTTCCCCAAAGTTTTAAATATTCAAAATGTCCAGCAGCGGTCTTGGTTGGTTGCCCACAACTAGTAATGTCGGTAAATTCACATTTTAAGAGAACACAAACTTGAGTGTACCAACCCAGTCCTTCAATCTGATGTAATCCATCGAAAACGCCCAAAGCATACAATTCGTCATTTGACGCATTTTGTTTCTGGTAATCTAAATAACAACAGACTTCATTTTGGCAGATCTTTACTTTCGCTTTCGGCTCTGTTAAAGGGAGGTACTGATAATTATCTTGATCGGCCATAATGGTTGCCCAACCTTTCTCAACCATATGCCGATTGAGTCTATGAAGATGAGCGTGGTTATGGATACGATTTCTGATGCTCCTGTGAGTCAATGGTCCAAGGTCATTGTTAAGATGGACGTCACTAGCCTGCTCAGCCAAATGGTGTGAAATAATTCCATTTCGAGAGAGAGTATTGGGATGACCTTCGTTCCTTCTACTTTGGGCGTTCACTTCCTCTGTATCTTGTCCATGTCCAAGAGACGTCCCTAAACTGTTGCCTCCCCGGAACCCATGCGTATCAGGAACAACTTGGTGTCGTCTGTAATGTGTCGGGCTTGACTTTACGTCTGCTATCACCAGTTTTCCGGGACTAAAAAGACCATCATTGTAGTAGTAAGCTTCTGTTCTTCGTGGAGAATAAATTCCGCTACCATGGAAATTGAAGAGTGGAAAATGTAAATTGGCGGCTAGTAAATTTACTTTAAACAATTTGGCAAAAGCTGAATGAAATTGGATAGCTGACAACAGTGGCAAGGAGTCCATCCAAGCGGTTGGGAAAATTACGTTCTTTATTCCCAAATCCTCCACAAGATCAACGGCAGGAGATTTAAACAAAATGTCAAAACAAGTCATGATGCCGAATTTCCCAAAAGGAGTATCAAAGGTGACCCTTTCGACCGTAGAGGGTGTATCAAACTGTGCCTCAAAGTATAAATGTTGCTTGTGATACCGAGCTACTAAATTCCCCTGTGGATCAAATACCACGTCGGTGTTGTATTGACGTTGTCCATCATCCGGGCAAATCGAATCTGCATCACAAACCTTTTTATCACCCATATTTGCTACGACGTAGATACCGTTATTTCGGGCCATACAGCTTAAAGTTATCTGTACCTCCACGCCATTGGCATACTCTGATTGGTTGCAGGGGTTCCAAATAAATTCTTTTGGATCTGGGATATCCTCCAAATAAGGCTTGATAGTGTCTCTGTTAAAGTTCAATCCATAAATACCATCCTCTGGAAACACTATTATATCAACATTCTGAAATTTAGAATTTTAGAATTAATAGTAAAAATAGTGATACAGTAAAAAGTCCCCCCCCCCACCAAAACAAAAAACAACACAACAGCATAAAATATTCACTTTCTGATCCTTGCAATGATCGGTTTACGCTCTATACAATATCTAAACAATTATCACGAAGGTAGAGCTACCTTAATCTTACTAGTACCGAGGTAAACCGATTAGATCTGAAAATTCTAGTTCATTATACATACACTGCTGAATTAATCAATCAGACCCTTTTCGGAAAGCTAAATATGTCTGCAATTCCATACTATCGCTTCTAAGATGTGGACTGCGAGGAAATTTGCAGTTGGAAAATAAACTGATTTTTGCGACTAAACGAGTTCGTCTTTAAACTGTCGGAGGAATTTATAAAAAATGGCTCCAGTGGATTTCAAAACAAAATTTCAAAGAGAAGTCCTTTAAACAAGATCCAGTTTTTAAAATTTGTTCATATTTTCTTAAATTTAAGGGTCTTTAGGGGAACAGGCCTGTAACTAGAGGGCGCGGGGGAGGGGCTTTGCAAAAAGTTTCGCCCCCCTGCCCCTACCGCCCTGTGAAAACATTTTCGAGCATAAAAACAATAGATATACATTGTCCGTCAATTTTACAACACCCCTGAGAACACTTCCCGCCCCCTCGTTGCTCGGAGCTAGTTACGGTCCTGTTGGGGAAAGATAATACGATTCAGATTATAAACAAATGAAATTCATGGACTCACGATATCCACAATGACATTCAAATATAAACTATTTGGAGCCGTGGTGGCTCAGTTAGTAAGACGTGTTCGATCCCGGTGTCGGCCCAGAAAGTTCACCTTGATTTTCTGGCGTGCTTCCCACTTTTTTGTGATGCAGGACAGAGGACATGGCAAGTGAGAACGTAAAAGAACCCCTGGCAGTTGGAATTCGATATAGGATTAGGTCGCAGCGCCGCTGTTCGGGCAAAATTCCCGCGTATGACGTATGTCGTCTTCTCTAGTCCAGTCGGTGCAGAACAGCAGGACGTTAATCCCCATTTCATTTCATTTGTATAAATTAAACTTACCTCAGAAGATGCTATTCTTGTTTGTTCTGCATAAATATCCAGGTTCTTTTTCATATCTCTTAATGCTTGGTTCCTGGAGACTGAGCGGAAGTGGGTCGGTTGAAAAAGAGCATGTTCGTAAACTGCGGCTCGATAGGAAGGGCGATAACCCTTTGCTAAACCCAAACAAGCATATATGGTCACGGCAAACAGCAACGTAATTCTATACATTATTTAGTCCTGATGTTGCTATTACTGGGTTCTTTCTTTGACCCCAAAACCCGTGAAAATTATGGCGAGCTATATACTATGCCGAGAAAAAACTCGTATTGTGTCTTTAGTGTCCAGTATCCTCCAACAAATCACTATTTATTCAATGTGGCAGTTACGAGATTTTACAGTGGTTTAAAAAGTCAGTCCTGTTAATTCTTGAAAGCTTAATAGTGATTGATTCTATGCTGTTAAACATCCGATTGACAATTCGTCGTTTTTCTATTAATGCCCAACCCCTTTTCAAAAGACCAATCAACACTGGACTAACTGCTTATACGATAGTCAATTACAATAATTCAGCCAAAAATTACAGTTCCAAACTACAAGATGTGCCCTTTCAACTAAATATCAAGAATGACTTTAGTATAACAAATGACACCGAAGCTTCTGTTTGGGAACGCTTTGTTGAAAGATGTTTCAACAGTGACAACACGTATGATGTTTATTCAGTGATGTTTGCAGATTATGTATGGCATTTTAAGGAGTAAATTGATCAAACACGTAGTATCAGATAATAAGATAACAAAACGTCAGTAATTGGGTCTTGAGATATCGCACGATTAACCCGAGGTGGTCACACCAATCAGTTCCAATATGCGTAGCAATATGACCTTCAGATCACACCACATTCCCACACGGAGAGTATGGAAATGGGTTTAACCGTCCGCTTAACAAAACCAACGAGCTTAGGCAGGCAACTATAATTCTTATTACGTTCAAGCCCGGGTCAAGGCCATGCCTTTTGATACAGTGACAGACCTTATGATCTAAAGTCCACGCCTTAGATCACCATATCATCACCACCACCAATCCCTGTGCGTTTGGACATGGGGCGTCTCATGTCTTAGTGCATCGACATTTTCTGACCTTAAATTTGAATTTTCATCAGTGAGTTAGGCACTGGCGCGCTAACTAGAGGGTCTCGGGTTCATTCGGATGGGACAAAACCCGTGGTCTCGAGTACACCTTGGCGTGCACGTCAAATAACCCTTGACCGTTGGAATTCGAAATAAGAGTAAGTCGTAGTGCAGCAGTAGGCAAAATTTCCCCATGGCGTATGCCCGTCTTCCATAGTCCAGTCGGAGCAGAACAGTAGGACGTTAAATAAAGCAACATTTAACAATATTTTTTGTATCCACGGTTTTGATTGGTAGATCGATCTGTAGTCGACCAATCACAATATGCGCATCACTGATCGCGTTTTTTAAAGGACAATAAAGAAGTCTGAATTTCGTCACAGAATGCTCTAAAATTCTAATAAATGACACATATAGGATAGTGTGGAAGCCTATAACTGCGACTCACAGTTTCTACTTTTTACCCCTTCCGAACGCAAAAGTCGATAAGAAGAAGCATCGCTAGAAATACTAGACTATATCACACATACGATTTTGTTAACGCGAATTGCAGGTATTCAGTTGTGATCTGGAATGTAGATACCAGAGCAGCAACTTCCGAGGCAAAACTCAAAAAGCAGAAATTATGATAGTTATAGGCTTCCATAGAATGGAGCTAAATCATTCAAACCAAGTATTGATTGATTAAAATGAAGATGGTGACCTTTTAGTTGTAAGTGTGTACTTACTAATATATAGTTTATCTTATAGTATTTACAAGTAAATAGTTGATACGAGGTAATCAAGTGGTAATTGTTATATCACTGTTTTCTATATGTAATAAACACATGTGATATACACGATAAACTATCAGATATATTTATATCTATATGTAACTTGTATATTTATAATAAACAGATATATAGATAATCTACATAGATAAAATGATAGCACGGGCATCACGCCATTCTTTTTTTTATCATTGTTTATCAATCACTCAAATCTTAATTAACTATTCATTACTGCAAGATCATTCATCAAAAAAAAAAAAAAAAAAAAAAAAAAAAATTAAATAAATAAATAAATAAATAAAAATTCAATTCAATGCCAAATAACTTCTGTTATCTTAAAGGAGAACTCCAACTGTGTTATTCATTATCTATTCATAAAATAATTTCCACAATTCAGAACCCGAACTTTCGTTCTATTTGCACAAACGAGACTAATGCCCCCCCCCCCCCACTACTCTTCATCGAATCCCAATGTAAAGGGTTCTAGTAAGTACACACCAACTAGTATATAGGTAGACCTCCGTTTTTGATCCCATCCGAACAACTAGACATTTATTCCTTACCTGACGGCAGTAACAAAGTGCTGACAGCAGTTATTATAGAACGAGCATGTGGTTTTATTGATAAATAAAGACTGACAGTTACTCTGATGAAATCAAACACGGTGTCTTAATCTGCTAATTAAAGTCGAACTGTTTTAGAACTTTTTTGGATTAGATGAATAAAATATAAACAAATAACAGTGACTAGAATTACCCTTGGTGGTTAGGTTGTGAAATATTTAAATATTAATAACTTAAGAATACAGCATGCACACTAATCGACGAGTCTGAGTTACTAAACGATTAAAGGCGATAATTTTAAAGGATCAATACCACTCTTGTTGTAACTGAATAATATGTCCCAATCTTTATTCTGGTCAACAAATTGTACTATTTTAGAATATTTCAATTAATTGATGATACAAATTTCATCTTAACACACCTTATTTAAAAATTTTGAAAAATTCAACATAATGGTTTGAAACGTTTAACGTAAACCTTTTCAAATGAAACTTCGATTTAAAAATATTTTCGAACCCTCTGGACAAGTAAAATAGGATGTAATGGATAATTTACACAACAGGTACGTAGGACACTTAAACATCTAGTACTTAGATAGAGATATTATTTATTTTCTGGAGCTTTCAAGCCAGCAAGAGTGTTATTGTACCTTTAAGCATTAAGTTGGAAGTGGGTAGAAATATGAAACCTGGCGCTTTCCAAACCCAAAGATAACAATTTTCGTTGTACTTTTGTATATCACACACAACTAAACTGAACGACCTATACGATAATCTGAATTGTGTAGAAAGTACACGACTTTTAGCGTAATTATCTTTGGTCGGTATTTAGAGCAATACTTACTACGGCGATATATTTAAAGCCAACCGCACAATACTAATTATTTTTTTATATTTAAATGGGGTTTAACGTACTACTGTTCTGCACCAATTGGGCTAATGAAGACGGACATACGCCATACAGTGTGCTATGAGGGAAATTGTGCCCGGACAGCGGCGCTGCGGCTTACTCTTATATCGAATTCCAACCGCCAAGAGATCCTTTACGTGCACGCCAGTGTGCAAACGGGGCCTCGGTTGGTCGTACCACCCTAAAAACTAGACAGCTCTAATTGTCACCGCTGAAAAGGGGAACCCGCGCCGGAAAATCCCAATAAATTATCTCGACCAACACCAGAATCGAACCCGCGACCCCAAGTATACTATTTATTTAAAAGACGCGTGATAAACATAAACACATAACATAGAAACAGAGGCGTATCCGTGAAATATATATGGGGGGGGGGGTCCGCAAATGAAATTATATAAAATGTTGACAATTTGTGACGCCGGAGGCAGGAGGCTGCGCAGCCGATGTAGCGCGATAGGGAGAGTGTGGGAGGACTGGAGTTTCATGAACTACAGTTTCAGTCTTCTGTAAACACTGTTTTGGCATATTTTACGGGGTTAAACTAAAACATCACACCAATACAATGTTTATCATGTTTAAGTCAGGGGGTGCCGTATTCATATTTTTTCATGACTTTTACATATTGAATGTTACTCTTGAGAATTTTTATGAAGAGGATCCAAATGAAACAAAACTGAGTTAGGGCCAACTATGTAGGTTTTTTTTCGGGGGGGGGGGGGGGCAAGTAGATTCAGACCCACTTCTCATATATTATATTTAGGAAGTTAACATAGTCTACAATATTATGTACTTTTGTCCAGAAGGTGAGATTCATGTTTAGAATTTGTACTTCTATGTTCTATTATACTCCCAAATTTTATTCGTGTATCAAATTTATACTCACGGATTATATTCGTGTATCAAATTTATACTTGCAGATTTTATTCGCCCCCCCCCCCCCCCGGATCCTCTCCCCCCCATGTGTGACGCCCATGCATAGAAGTATATGAATATCAATAGAAACCATGTGAAACACCCAGAAGATCCTTCTTGGTTCACACCGTGATGAAATACTCCGATAACATTCTATATATGAATGTTTACGGTGGGCTTAATTATCATCTCTACTATAGTTCTTATTTAAGGAAGATATTTCTATGCCGGTTCTCTGTTAATTATATTTGTGAAAAGCCTTTGATGATGTTTGGTACAAAACCATCAAAATATCACCCCTTCATCTTATTACTAAACACTTCTTGTTACCATAGCAACCACTTCCTGCAGCTTTTTAAAAGAGACTAATGTTGTGTTTTATGATTGATAGAGTGAGTCTTCCTCTGGTTGCCCTTGCAATTTAATTACATGTAATTAATGACTTGATGTTGTGATATTTATACAAGCTTATACTAATTACAATAATCTGCAATCTGCGCTTTCGAACTTGATACACGAATATCATCCGTGAGTATAAATTTTATACACGAATAAAATTTGAAAGTATAAATTTGATACACGAATATAATCCGTGAGTATAAATTTGATAAACGAATAAAATCTGGGAGTGTAATAGAACATATAAGTAAAATTCTAAACATCAATCTCGCCTGGTGATCTGGACTAAAGTTCCTAAATATATGAGAAATGGTATCTGGTAAATCCAGCCCTGTTCAAGATACCATAGTCGTTCGGATGGAACGAAAAACCAAGGTCCCGTGTACACAGTGGCGAGTACGTAAAATATCCATTGACAGTTGGAATTCGATATAAGAGTAGGCCGTAGCAGAACAGTAGGAAATGAAATGAAATGGGATTTAACGTCCTACTGTTCTGCCCTGACTGGGCTAATGAAGACGGGCATACACCATACAGTGTGCTGTGAGGGAAATTTTGCCCGGACAGCGGTACTACGGCCAACTCTTATATCGAAATTCATCTGCTAAGGGATCTTTTTACGTGCACGCCAATGTATACACGGGACCTCAAACGACTAGATAGATCTTGTCAGGCCCTCCGCCCTGTGTCACTAATAAGGGGAAATCCCGATGAACTGTCTCGGCCAATGCAGGGATCGAACACGCGACCTCTAGACTATAGTGTCCACTTATCCACCGTGGCTCTCAGAACAGTAGGACGTTAAACCCTGTTTCATTTCACAAGATTTCCAACACAGCACTTTTGCAATATGCCCCATACCATTATAACCAATTCTTAAAAGGCAGTTCCAAATTTATCAGGTTGAGTATGCAATTCAAACGCTAAAATGTGAAGATATAGCTATAGACATTGTTCGTAATTTGTGTAAACAAAAATATTAACCTAAACTTTATTCCCAGTTAGTTTACAGTCTAAGAATACGGCCAGGTACATTTCACACATAGGCTAATCATAGGGATATTATATGTAACATCTCTTTGCATTCTGGAGCCACGGTGGCTAGGTGGTTAAGACGCTGGCTCGCTAGCCTGGAGGTCGGGTGTTCGAGAAAGTTCATCCCTATTTTCCGACGTGGTTTCCCCTTGTCAGTGGTGCAGAACGGAGGGCCTGACAAGGACAGCTGTCTAGTAGTTCGGATGACACGAAAAACCGAGGTCCCGTGTATACATTGGAATGTACGTAAAATATCCCTTGGCAGTTGGAATTCGATATAAGAGTAGGCGATAGTGTTGCTGCCCGGGCAAAATTTCCCTCATAGCACACTGTATGGCGTATGCCCGTCTTCATTAGCCCTGTATAGGAGCAGAACAGTAGGACGTTAAACCCCATTTCATTTCATTTCTTTGCATTCTAACTCGTATGCTTTCAAAGGCACAAGCAGGTGCCACGTTTTAAAATGTCAAAAGTCAAATTCTTCATAACAGTTGATTAAATTAATGCCTGCCAAATCTGTGGAAATAAAAGCTGATTTTTTTCAGATAAATTCTCGAGTTAAAAGTAAATCTAAAAATATTTAACACAGAAAAAATGTAATTATTCAGAATAATTTATAATCCGATATCCTTACAAATCTTGATAAGCCAAATCTTCTCTTTAAAGAATTTAACGTTGAAAGAAATCCATCTACCTCTGTCAGTAATGCTGATCAATAAAAATAAAACTTGCCACGTCGATGTCGCTTTTACTGCAAAATCCATAGATTAACAAATACACGGGTTTATTAGGTATATCGGTTGCTATGACAGCCAGGCATTTTGGCAGAGTAAATAATCAACCGTGAACACAAAATATAAGTATACTATGCTATACCATAATGTAAAAAAAAAACCCCAAAAACGTAATGCCATGCAAAATGTACAGTTATCTTAAATGCAATGTTATGTAAAATGCATTTCTTTGTTATGTAAAATGCATTTCTTTGTGATGTAAAATGCATTTCTTTGTTATGTAAAGTTATGAAAAATATAATTTTAAAATTTCAAATTTCGATTCTATGAGAAGTACTTTCATGGACCTTATAATAGAGTCCATGGTACTTTGCTATGCAAATTGCAATATTATTTAAATTTTAATGTCAATATCATTTAAAATTTAATATTATTCTAGATGTAATTTATATAAACTATCATTAGAAATATCAACTAAATATGGGATAGATGACCGGATTATTCTCGATGGAACACATTAAACACAGCGCACATTAATCATCATTTTTCGATTATATTTTGACAAGTGTGAGACGACTTTTGATTCCGAGAAATTATCGCAAAAATGTCTTTGTACTTGATTCGCGATGATAAATTTCACGACAAAACAAGAAATACCTTTTGAAAAACAGAGGACTGGGTCTTACTTAAATCTATCGCGACACGATGTAACCATTTCATTTTCGAGGCTTGCCTTTTGCCTTTAAGCGTTGGGTAAATTGCGCTCACAGAACAAGCCAGTTTTCGATCCATCAGTCCAATACAGCGGATGATGTTTCATTGAGATACAGCTAAGACTACATAAATACTATTTATATCCCTTCACAGCAGGTAATAAAACTAATAGCTGAAAACATACAAGATAAACACTAAGATATATTTCAACATAGTCAGTTATCCCAAGGAAAATGAATTCGAGACTACGGACCCGAAGAGTGTTATGTCTCGACACAATTCATACTCAATTTTTACTCAAATTTCAATCGCTAATTATTGAATATGCTCAAAACTAACGGCTGAAGATCAAATGAATATTTTCGTGTTGACGTGTTACGCCTACCCTGTCTAAAAATTGGTCCAGGCCATTGTATTTTAGGCATGCCATGAGTTACAAATTTGAGAAAGTCTTAAAGCACCACTGTGTTAGAGGGTTAACAGTCATATTCCTTGTTTAACCGATCTAGGTGTTATTTAGATAGTAATCTAAACGATTAATTTAAAAGTTAGACGTTGCCATATTGAAATTGATATTCAGCGATAGAAACGGGTTATTCTTCACTCTGAGGGTCGTTCTAAAGATGGCGTCACGAAATCAAAATGAAGTAATGGGAAATTTAGGCTGCGTTAACTCACGTTAGGATTACTCGATTTAGATATGCTTTTTGGGAAGACCTCTGTGTATGGACTGAAAGTCTAATTTGTCATTTAGTCTGGAATGTTGTTCCTTTAAATAGAAAATTTCAGCGGGAAGAATCTTAAGACTCTCTAACCCGGTTCCCTTTCGTCAGTATGACTCCGACTCAGCTGAAAAAAGAAAGTGATGACTAGACGTTCGGATGGGCCGAAAATTAGAGATCCACCCACGTATGCACATTGACTTGCACACCAAACTAAATAGTTAGATTTTGATGGAAATGCTTTGTACTATACAAGCGACCATTGGACGTTAAAAAAAATAAATAAAAAAAAATAAATGTTAACTTTAAAATGACCGAATTATTGTGTTGACGAGACTTTGTATTCCAGTAACAGTACAAATTTGTAACAGTACAAATTACAATATTATGTTACTCTTAAAATGATCGAAGAATTGTGGTCACGATTGGCAACGGACGTATATAGTTGTTCGGATGAGACGAAAACCGTGGTCCTGTGTACACATTGGCCTGTACGTAAAAGATCCCCTGGCAGCTGGAATTCGATATGAGAAGAAGCCGTTGCACCGCTGTCCGGGCAAAATTTCGCACTACAGCACACTGTATGGCGTATGCTGTTTTACAAGCCTAGTCGGAGCAGAACAGTGGGACTTGAAACCCCATTTCATCTTAGTTTCTGTGTTTTACGTTTATAAAAGAAAAGGATAAAAACAATTGATAAGAATTATTTCGATTGATTTAACATGAGTTACTCCAGATCAATCTACAATTTAGACTATACACTTGTGACTGGATTCAAATATTTAACACATGAATTGAAAGTTTGTTAGCATCTGTGACTGGAATCAAATATTTAACACATGAATTGAAAGTTTGTTGGCATCGCTTTAACACAAATAGCAAACTTCTAACAAAACAGGCGTGATTCCTGATAGTCAAGAGGTAAGCTTGGTTCGTATAAGTCATAACAGGACAAAGTTAACCAGCTCGGTAATCTCCGTCATACAGCACGTGCCAGGTATTCGACGGAGATTACCGAAGATTAAGTTACATGCCGGTCGTTGAGTTACTTGTTCAGTTGAGGAATATGGCAAACTGTCGATGCTAGCTGTAGTGTTTTAGGTGTATATATAATTTTCTGTATAAATATCTGTGAAAATGGGACCCATTTTATATTTATTTATTTTAGGACTAGCAACTTGTAAAGGTAGGTTTTCTCTTATTCATAAAAAATTCAAATTATATTTTTAAAAACTTTGTTATTGAGAAAATTGATATTTTGCTTGTTATCTCATTTATCTTTCAAAAAAACTAACCGGTTCCGTTTTTGGCAATTTTGCAAAAAGTTCTGATTATGTTTACAGTTTCTATTTCATAAGATTTAGGAATTTCGAAATCAGTTTTATGGTATATAAATATGGCATTGCTGAAACCATTGAAGGTCTGATTGTAGAATTCATCTATTTATTTTTTTATCTCAAATTAATTGTCCTAATTGTTGTTACAACAAAGTCTATTGCGACCTTGTTTTGAAACTCGGTTTAAATAAATAAGAAAAATTGTTGCATTGATAGATAATGCAAAGCATATGTATTTCTAAAGAGAAAAAAACAGCAAGAGAAAAACAGTTAACGCCCAGTGGTGTCAGTCTTCACATAGTATACTTTTTTTCAGATAATTCTAACTGAATATTTTTGATTTTTGTTAGGAGTAATTATAATGACATTATGCCTTGTGTTTTACTGATTAAAAATCAGAAAATTAATAAAAACTTCAAACATGTTTATTTTCCTTTTGAAAGTTATGAGCTATTTGGTGTTATGCGATGAAACTTTCTGATAGAGAGCGGGATCGGTCGTGAGACATGATATGCTTACTCTTCCTAGAAAACCCGATGCTGCTCCACTTCACTTGCATAGCTAACAGTTCTAATGTTTCACAGCGTAGGTAACTCAAAATATAACACGACAGCTGAAATTCGTGAAACAATAAATAGAACTACCCTTTAGACCTGGAAATATAGATCAAATCACAGTTTCATCTTGTAGTCGAGTGGTAGGGCACTGGCCTCTCGTTTAGATGGTCTCAAATCAGACAAGGGTGGCGCATGTGGGGTTGACAAGGAAAGTGTTTACAGTCCTTCGGATGGTACGGACGCAAAAGAGCCCCTGGCAGTTGGGATCCACTGTCTGGGCAAAATTCTTAATCATAGAACTGCAGAATATTACCATAGGTTAGTCTAAAATGGACGGAATTATTATATTGATTAGACTTTAAACCCCCATGCTATTCCATTCTTGTAAACTCTAACATGATTTTGTGAGGCTGTTTTCACGTAAAAAGGTCGTAATCAGCGTTTATACAACTTGGATCGAACGTATCACTTCTCTCATGCTGAACTATGTATATTGACGACGCATGAAATCCAGCGGGACGGACTGGCAATGGACGGGAGCCTCGACTTTAGTGGGAAGGTTGTGCTGTGGCGGGGTGGTGTTTATGTGCAAGAAACTTTGAAAAAAAAAATGACTATAAGTGGGGCTTTCTAGAGTATATCCTGAGAATGAAACCCTCAGAGACTGCAACCCATATCTGATATAACAAATGGCAATCTGACCAATTCATCAAAAACGACTTAAATTCTACATCAATAATGTCCCCCAAACAACGTGAGAACTTTTATTAGGGGCCTCCGAGCCTTTCAGCCCATCCCTGCAATTTACTATATTAGTATAAATGCATGAACGTTTTCCATTTAGCGGAAACATCTCTTGATAGCTTTACCAGTTTACTCATAAACTACTAGTTTGACTGAAGTCAAGTACACCCATGTGTGATGTATGCTAATGGCGAATATTCTTGAACAGCCAGAAAACATTACCAATGACCCTTAGCACAGTAAGTTCAAAACCGCCCAAATGCAGCAAAGAAGTTACAGCATTTTCATCCGCATATCCATTTTATCTTTTATATTATAGCAAGTTTATCAATTTTTTTTAAACATTTAAGAATTGTTTTAAAATTCCACAGAGGAAAAAAGAACCTCGAAATGTTATGTTTAAAAAAAGTTCTTATCAAATTGAACATTTAATTTGACATTAGAAGGTAAAGACCCTGTAATAAATCTATCTAATTTATCATTCAGAACCGCAGCCTTTCTAAACAATGGTCTGTGTTTTAAAGTTTGGAACCATGTGATGATGCCATGTATACACCCACTGCAAACTTAGCAGGTTTTTGCAGAACACTAATATGTTAAAATCATGACTTGGATTGGGTGTGGTGCTATGATTACATATCTGATGACGTAAAAACAAACTAAAGTTCACGTAACTCATCAGCGACTGAATAGAAACTTTGGCGATGAAAATGCACCTGGATTATTTCCGACAAACTGCCAACTTTGAAAACGTGTTTAGAATAATTATTGTCTGGACAACGGTGATTCTGTCTACTCGTCTTCGGATTCATTGGTTCTATTAAGTGTACACTAATGTGGACCGCTGATTTTTGTCCCACCGAACGGCTACGCATAGCCTACTTGTTTTGCCAGATTCTGTTTGGTCCGGTTCGCAAATGGTACAAGTGAAAACATTGAACTATAATAGTGTTTGTTTACGCGGCTGAAGGTGCTAGCTGGTCCAAAATAATATTGCTAGGATTACCAAACAAGCACACGGCTGTTTACGGTTAATTCCTGTGGCTGGACCACCAGAATTTGACTAAATAACGTCTGGGCATGTCAGTCGTTCAGGCCCGATTTGGATGATAGCTACAACCGTGGTTGATGTATTGCACGCTGTAGAATTATGCTTATCCTTTTCAGAATGCCCAATGCCACTTGTCACTGGGGCTTACCCTAGCGAGAGGGTTGACGTAGCCAACCGCTTGACACAATAGTCTAACAATATAGTAGTTTAAGATATTTTGTGTTTCTCATAAAAAATCTGCAAAGACTATCATCTGCGTTTAATAAATAATTATATTAGTTGTTTATTATTGTTTATATAAACATCAATCTAAATCATGTTAATCTTTATTACGTCATTTATTAATGTCGAGTTGACATAATATACTAGTATAATATGTACTACTGAAACATAAGGCATAATACCAAGGCAGAAGAACGATTAAGGAGGTCGTATACTTTATTCACAAAAAAAGACTCCCTTAAGAAACTTTACCAATATATATATAAATGTCACAAGAGAACCTCGCCATGTGATTTCGGTAAATGGGACTGTGTACAATATGCCATTAGATAAACTTGTTCGTTTAGTATGCAACCAGTATGTGTGAAGTGAAAGATCATACAATATTATCACAGATGGGGAAAATGGAGGGGGGGGGGCGGCTAATACAATATATGTCTCAGAGGAATCTCATTATTATAGTATGTCACAGTGGGGACTCATAAGAGACTAGGGGACTCATACAATATATCACAGATGGGACTCATACGATGTGTCACAGAGGAGACTCATATACAGTATGTCACAGGGGAGACACGGGGCCTCATATAAATTTTACAAAGTCTATTCATACGATATGTCATAGGGCAGGTTCTTACAATAAGTCACGTTCGAGATTCATACAATATGCTACTGGGGTGGGAATCCCATATTTCTAAAGTGTTTATAATATTTCCATTTCACAGCTCAATTTAGTGATGAAGGTCAATGACACACGGTGCTTATGATTTAATAGCATATGTAAATACACGTTTATGGACTCTCATTCTGGTCAGATTCATTATTATAAAGCTATAGTGATTGAGTATTCTGTCACCTTATATTTGACATTCGGAAGGATATGCTGTATTCATAAACTCTGGCTAGATTTGGCCCCATAACTACAAGTTGTGTGACGTAAATGCTTACTCTTACCAGAACACCGATGCTACTTGCCACTGGGTTCATCTGCAAAAATCCCGGGTCTCTTCCCCTGGTGGGACATTGACCTTGAGTATTAGTTTTGATCTTTGTGCTTTATTGTTATGCAGGTTTCTCGTATAGTCTACATACACAAATAATAACAATATGAATAGTATATATAATATAGTTTATATCTGCAGTAAGTTAAAAAATATGATACTGGATATGTATATAGTGTCGTGTATTATTATACGAAAGATGTTCATACTTTCACGATAAGTTATTCCTGTATTCGAGATAATTATTATACCATCAGTAAGCATATAACAGCTACCTGCAGGCATGGTGCCAATATTTATAAACTCGCTACCGTCAGCTAAATTATGTCAAACTCCTGTCGAGTAGTTTACTAATACCAAATGGTTAAGTGATCTCCTTCATGAAATAGAAACTTTCAGCTGCATATATTCTTGATTATATATCCTAAGTTAATTTCAAAATACGAAACCAAAATATCCCAGTTTTTCTGCTAATAAACATTTCGTTATTTAAATTTAACAAAGCGTGTGCTGAACGGTGTTCTTTAAATAGTAGGCTAATTTAGATAACACAAAAAAACTGAGGTTAGACGCAATCTTGGCATCGATGTGCATGGACATAAATTACCGTTCAGTGAAATGCTTTTGAGTAGAACGACTATTTATGTTGTTTATGGCCTGGAATATTGGGAGTTTCTAGTGACATTATTGCGCTTTTCACCGAATAATAGCAAACTAATTTTCACTTGAATGTGAATGGACTACACAGTTACATCGGTCATGTTGAAGTAAGATTGTATGCGAAATCTGAGACAAATAATATATGCACGAAAGCGATAATACATATTTAGCAATTGGAATTATTTAATAATTACCATTAGAGGATGCGTGTTTTAGTTTAATAATTATTATTAGTATCTGTGTTCTTAATTCAATAAGTATCATTGTTATCTGTGTTCTTAATTCAATAAGTATCATTGGTATCTATGTTCATAATTCAATAAATATCATTAGTATCTATGTTTTAGTTTAAGAGCTATCATTAGTATCTGCGTTTTAGTTTAAAAGTTATCATTAGTATCTACGTTTATACTTTAATAAATATCATTAGTATCTACGTTTATACTTTAATAAATATCATTAGCATCTATGTTTTAGTTTAAGAGCTATCATTAGTATCTGCGTTTTAGTTTAAGAGTTATCCTTAGTATCTGCGTTTATACTTTAATAAATATCATTAGTATCCACGTTTATACTTTAATAAATATCATTAGTATCTATGTTTTATTTTCTTAAAAAATCCAAAATCTAATCGTCCCTCAGTAATGTATGGGTTAGATATAAATGATACCAACTTATAGAATATTTGTATAAGCTATTTATACACCAACCCATGTCCCACCTGATCTATTAACTATATTGGATATAAAGTCGACATTCTCCCAACAATAACATTCCTCACCAGTCTCTATACATCTAACATTTAATCATATTACACAGCAACATAACTTCACATGTTTATAGGCCAACAAAGTTTTACTTGGGTTGGTATTAAACTAGAAAGGAATGGGGTGTTGGCAATTTATCTAGGACATTATTTAACACTAAACATGATTATTCTTATTTGGTGCTGTGCGGGGCAGGATGATTTTTTCCGGCTGTATCGTATACTTTTATTGGAATTCTGTTAATGTATAGACATATAGACCCCTGTTTTCCGTTTAACCCGAGCGACTATCACTTCAATCATTCTATTTGTTTAAAGATTTCGGCCCAAAACAAAAATCAAACTGTCTAAAATAGATAGATTGTCCTTCATATTAAATACGACCACCCTACTGTCCATAAAAAGCCGTGCATACTAGAAAACAAATTACTCCTGCTTTAAATTTAATACTGGTACTGCGATGCCCGATCAGAAGGCAATTGCCAACAGGAAAACACCCAATTTGAATGAACGACAAATATTCATTATACTTTTAAATTGGGCAAAAGACCCAGGATTTTCGTTCCACTTGAATGTTGAAAATATACCCCAATTTCAGGCACGCAATTTGTTCATTTTATTGCCATCCACGCCATGAATAATTCTATAAAACAAACGTGAGCCATCTTGGCACAGCGTTAAGTTATAGATATTATGTAAGCTATGCAGCAGTATGGAATACGAGGCTATATGTAATGAATGTCAGCGAGATAAAGTAAAGCGTGAACGTACATCTGATAATCTTCTACTCCTTCTAAAATACACAAACCAACAGTCCATTACATACTATAAAGGCGACCTATGTCCATTCTTTTAAAATACACCAACCAACAGTCCATTACATACTAGATGACCTATGTCCATTCTTATAAAATACACCAACCAACAGTCCATTAATACTAGGCGACATATGTCCTTTATTTTAAAATACATCAACCAACAGTCCATAACATAATAGGAGACCTATGTCCATTCTGTTAAATTGGACGAGTGCACGTAAAAGAACCCTTCACAGTTAGAATTCTAAATATGTCATTAGCAGTGCCGGACTGGTGGGCCGAAGGCCCACCTGTCTGGTCATTGACCAAGGCCCGCACAAGTACCCGCCGAAGGCGTGTCACGAGTGCGGTCCGCGGGGGAAGGGGGGTCTTTGGGGCTCTCCCCCCAGGGAAATTTTGAAAATTGACAACCGCAAACCCATTTTCCAAGCATTTCAGACCAAAGCAGAAGAAGGCAAATGTTTGATTTCCTGATACAATTAGATAACAGAATGACCTAAGAGCACTATCATTAGATGAATTTGAGAATTCTAGTACACTTCTTTTTTTGTGTTGTTTGTCAGTTTTGTCCTATCTTTTCTTTCTCCTGTCCTGTCCTCTCCTTCCTTCTTCTTTTCTTTCCTCCCCTCCCCTTTCTTTCTTTTTTTCTTTTTTCTTTATAGGCTTAGGCCCACTTTTTTTTTAATGCGCTTAGGCCCACCTGTCACGGACAGGTGGACAGGTGGGCCCAGTCCGGCACTGGTCATTAGATAAAATTGTTCTCTTGGAAGACGCACACGTCATACAATATGTTACAGGGGCATTTTAGGGCAAACTTTCCGTCATAGTACACTATATGGCGTAAATCCGTTCTCATTACATAAGTCGGTACATATAAGTAGGACGCTGAATCCCATGCCATTTAATTTGGACTATTACTGATTGGCACAAAAAGGATTAACTAGCACCGATAATTAAAGAATAATACATAAAGGTTCGTCTCTATTATAACACCATGATGAACACCGACACCCGTAACGTCTAATTTCCACGAAGCGAAATTTTTTGTTCGAGCGAAAATACGCGAGAGTAAAACGGAACTGATTTCCAGGAGGACAAAAATTTGAAAGAGTTTTTCCATGTTACATGCGCCGTGTTTCGAGCGACAAATTCGGCCTCGTGAAATAGGACTATAGATGCACACAGACGTCAAAACATGTCTCTCAGGTGAAATAGTTTCACCCATCAGGAATAACTAAGTGTAAGACGCTGGCTCGCTAGCCTGGAGGTCGGGTGTTCAATCCCTGCATTGGCCGAGAAAGTTTATCCAGATTTTCCGGCGTGGTTTCCCCCTTGTCAGTGATGCAGGACGGAGGGCCTGACAAGGACGGCTGTCCAGTCGTTCGGATGGGACGAAAAACCGAGGTATATCGTGTACATATTGGCGTGCACATAAAAGATCCCTTGGCAGTTGGAATTCGGTATAAGAGTAGGCCGTAGCGACGCTGCCCGGGCAAAATTTCCCTCATAGCACACTTTGTGGCGTATGCCCGTCTTCATTAGCCCAGTTTAGAAAGCAGAACAGTAGGACGTTAAACCACATTTCATTTATTTCATTTCATTTGTCAAACAAAATTATATATCTAACACGTTATCGTACATCAAAGAACAAATATTGGTTCAAATATTTCTAAATACAAAATTGGATATATTCCACCACTCCATGTTAACGCATGCATGTCATATCGGGTATCATAGGTGGGTATGATTAAATCTATTTGTTAAGGCCAGCTAAATTTTTGTCACGGTCGCTGAGATATAAATAAGGTTAGGGCACGTGATTGTTGACGAGATTGTAGCTGGCCTTATCATTTAGCACTAACCGGTGAGTATCATTGGTGGAAATAAAATTCATTTAGATTATCCAGTCTTGAATCCAGTGCTGTCATTCCCTGCAGGGAACATGGACACAAGTCTTTCCAGACAGCTCTCTCGTGTGTTGGCGGCTGATCATTCAAATTTGACTGGAAGAGTTTTCCGATTACGTACCTTGTGATACAATTTAGATGAATATTTGCCGCCCACTTCATGCGAGGGTTTTTGTCTTAAAAGCCATATAACGAAAATGCTGAAAGGCATGGCTAATATTATATATGAGTGTGTAGGTATATTCAAACTGAATCATTAGGTATAGACATGTAGATATAAATAGTAATATATTTTAACGACTATTGGCTGTATATCAAAGGTGGTGGGAGGAAATATCACATTTCACAGCTCTAATACCCAGGTTGATTCTACCGGCTGTCAATCTATTTATAGATGATTGATGACTGAGACTAGCATTAATTACATATTTAAAGAGAGCCTTGACAGGGTTCGTGCGCAGAGAATCCATGCTTTCCATTTTCAATAAAATGAAATGGAGTTTAAAGTCGTACATTTCCTCACCGACTGGGCTAATAAAGACGGACACATGCAGCCTACTCTTATTTCGAATTCCATCTGGAAAGAATCCGTTTACGTGTACACCAACGTGTACATGGGGCCTCGGTTTTACGTTCCATCCGAACTACTAGATAAGGGGAAAGAACGCTTGATAATCTCTGAGATATATCTCGACCAACGCCAGGATCGAATCCCAGATCTCCAGGTTACTGAGCCAGCGCCTTACCCACTGAGCCATTGTTGTCATCATGACAACATTCAGATTATACCCCGACATCTTTTTTGCACATTTGGCCTCTTTTATAATTAGTAGTAGATTTTAAAGAGTTTTGCCTGCACTTTCCGGTGCTTCTTTAGGAATATATTAAAATAGAAAACGTCCGAAAATAATAAGGATATGCTAAACGGGAAGTTGTCACAACAACCATGTCACTTGCCTAATCTGACACCAAGGTATCAGTAACGTTATAGTATTGTGTAAAATTAAACTTAATGGAGGAAAACCTCTTTTGTTCTGGTGACTTTCACCTTAAGGCACTTCGACGATATATTGCCCCCCCCCCCTCCACCCACACACGAGCTCTCCACAGCTGTACCCCTAACAGCACTTCAATTTATAACATAAACAAAACACGTTCCCAATTAACAGCCAATATTAAAGGTGAGTCCAGGATGTGCAACTCAATTGGGTACAAACCATATACACATAAGCCAACAGTAACAATCAAATGTGTAGCTTGAAAATTATCTTTATTTTGAAACATAACATTGTATTGCAAGATCTTCCCTATATGCCATTGTGATTCTTTCATCGCACCAACATCAACTCATTTTATTTCACTAAGAGGTGTGTCCACACTGGTAGCGCCCCAGCCTCAGCGTATAATCAATATTATTCTTTCGATATCATACACGTATCTGCATTATCTTTCCGGTTTATTATTTTATCTATATTATGCTTGAGTATCATGTGTATGTGTATCAGAAATGACAGTGTATAATATATTATGCCTGTATCATGTTTCAGTATCATGTGTATCAGAAAGAGCCGTGTATATATAATATATTATATCTACATATATTATGTTTCATTATCATACGCAATTGTATTAGAAAGAACAGTGTGTAATGTATTTGTCTGTATTATCTTTCAGTATAATGTATATCAGAAAGAACAGTGTATAGTGTATTGTATCCGTTATCTTTCAGTATCATGTGTATCAGAAAGAACGTTGTATAATGTATTACATGTATATTATGTTTCATCATCATGTCTATCAGAAAGAACAGTATGTAGTGTATTATATCTATACATTATCTTTCAGTATCATGTGTATCAGACAGAACAGTGTATTATATCTATATTATGTTTCAGTATCATATGCAAGTGTATTAGAAAGGACAGCAGCTAATATATTAAATGGCTATATTAAAGAAGTGAGACCACACAATGCTGATGGACCCGTTATAATTAAAGTCGGTCTAACAGTTACACAGCTTCTTCATGTGGTGAGTGCATTTACATATCCGAAACATAAACCAATTATATAAGTCTTATAAAAATGATTGTGACATATGATGCCGTCTTGGATACCATTATTTATCACAGACTTTTCCAGGCCAAAGCGAATGCCTAAAAATGCTGGGCCTAAATGTCAACATTATTTAAAAATATATACAGATTTCTGGACCATCTGAAAGCCTTAAAGATGATTGCTTTCAAAATTGACATTCAGAAAGTTAAAATTTTGAAATTTGAAGATTTGACAATATTCGAAATGTTAGAATCGAAACATTGGCACAAGAAAGCGGGTAAATATTGGAGCTACAATATTTTGGTTGAAAAGCTTGATATTATTCAGAATAATTGCAAAGTTAGGCTTTTTGTTTTTTGGCAGAAGATTGTGTCTTTCTTGACCTTTAAGTGAATTATTTGTAGTAGAATGTATATTTGTATATTTACATTGTCAAGAGAATATTTATCATTCTTATCCTATTATTTCTAGTCTTATCTGTAGAGATCTGTGAAAATTGATCTTCTAACTACCTAGTCGACATTTTAATCGAAGGTGAAAGTTGGGAGCAAATGTAACTATATGACCACCAATTGTGGAATTCCCTGCCTTCCATATCCCAACACTTTAGATCGTCTCACTTCTTATACTGACTTAATCAAAGTAATGCTGTTTTGGAGGTATGATGGCAGGCCGTAACTAGCTCAGAGCAACGAGGGGGCGGGAAGTGTTCTCAGGGTTGCTGTCAAATTGACGGACAATGTTTATCTTTGGTCGACAATTTTTTCATTGGGGGGGGGGGGTCGACCCCTCCCCCTGCGCCCCCCCTCCAGTTACGGCCCTGTATGATAGACACCGCTACGTCTTTGGCGCATATTGACTGTACAAATCGTTGACATTTCAATCTGTGCTTTTAAAGAAAGCCAAACAAATATATTATATAAGATAATTAATCAAATATCAAACGAAATGAATAAAATGGGCTTTAGAGTCCTACTTTTCTGCACCTACTTTTCATGCAAAGGGTTCGTTTACATGCACGCCAACGTGTACACGGGGCCCCGGATTTTCGTCCGTTACGAACGACTAGATAGTGTTCCTGGCAAGGTCTCTTGAAGTACTTTGAACTTAGAGAGAGTGCTCCCCTATACTCCCCTTGAATTACTTTAAACTGTGAGGGGCTACTCCCCATTAATCCCTTTAAATTCTTTAAGCTGTGAGAGGATTCTCCCCTATACTCCCTTAAAATTATACTTTAAAAAGCATTAGACTGTGAGAGGATACTTTCCCATAAACCTTTAGAGGGGCTCCCCTATAATCCCCATTAAGTACCTTAAACTGTCAGTGGGGTTCACCCCCTCCCCAATATTCCACCATACTTTAAATGGCGAGAATATACTGCCTATACTCGTTTTGTACAATTTTCAATACTACTTTGCATATAGGAAACAGACAGGTTTATGTGATTTGAAGACATCGGTATCACATATATCATAGTAACGTTTTACACTGCAGGCCATATGTTGCTATTGTTGTATAGTTAAACAAACCTTACCGTGTTTACAATAATAACACAACACATATTTAATACTATACATCAAAGTAAAAGTAAAAGACCCAATAATTCTACTACTATTCTTTAACATTTCAACTGACATTTAAAACTACTGCAAAATGCATTGAACTAAATAACATCATCAATTCACATAACAAATTGCACCTGGGGGTGGGTGGGTGTGTGTAGAAGGTTGAAACTGTTAAACGGAATTTAAAGAAAGACTTCGACCAGTACAACATTTGTGTGTTTAAATTTAACAAAAATAAGACCTGGAAGTATTTTTAGATATCTCCTCAAAGAAAAAAAGAAACATGATATATACCTTTTTGCTATCGATGTTCTTGGAAAGTAACGTGAACTTTATATGACGATAAAGTTTTGTACCGATATGTATATTTTGAAAATTTAAGCCTTTAAAAGTAAAGCACAAACACACACTTTACTGGTTAAGTTTGTGAAATTACTAAATATTAAGCACAGGCACATTGGGCGTTTTCGTTTCATATTGTGAAAATGTTCAATTTTTATTTACAGAACGAGAAAAGTCAAACGCTGAGACTAGACGGTCGTCTGTTGATGAACTGGCATGATTCGAGATTGATGTGGGATTCCACTCAATACAATGGTACCAGATCCCTGAGACTTCCTGCCGAGAGTCTCTGGCAGCCTGATATTACTCTTTACAACAGGTAAATTACTCTTGTCCGTTTTCACCACGGCTATTATTATTACTGGATCTATTCTTGTATTCTCGAATATGACTCTATTACCAATACCCCCCTCGACCCAACATTAACGGAAATATGAATTTTACTGATGATAATATGGAGAACTTCTTGGACCTTTAATATGTCCAGAAAGGACAAGTGGAAATTTGCCCAATAAATACATCTCCATAGATATGGTTTTGATATATTACATGTTTCAAAAGTCATCTGCTAATGAATTAGGCTAATTTAGCGTTGCCTTTTCATTGATTCCGCCAATCCGATTTTAAAATACATATTGCTTGGTTGGTCGGAACTATATAATATACTAGCTTCTTGTGGACAAAATGTGTTTATACAACTCAAAAGTTTAAAAACTTCGTATTACCTGGTTAGTCGAGACTATCTTTACTCGCGTCTAGGCAAAATTTGTTGATCAAACGCGAAAGAGTTCCCATACTATATCACCTCGGTGCCTTAGATTTTCCGAAGCAAACGGAGATTCCCGGGTACAACAGATAATCTCTTTGAGATCCCACTGTGACATGAAAGGATATTCATCTAGTCGGCCAGGAACATTGTTATCTAGTGAATTTTAAAGACACCCGGGCAGTTGAAATTCCGGGAAGACTAGTGAAAACGTCGCTTATCTGGAAAATGCCCATATCCATCTTCTCTCTTGCACCTCCTTGGTCGTTTCCTTGGTTAATAAATCCATGTCAGTTAATCATTAATGGGATATTATTTTTTTCAGTGGAGGCAACATGGAGCTAGACAATTTACGATTAACCATTTTCTCTAATGGTATGGTGTCTTACTCTCCTAAACTTATTGTTGAAAGCCCTTGTACTGTAGATCAGTGGGGTTCCTTTATGGTCTGCCATTTTAAAATGGGATCATGGGCCTATGATGGATATAGTCTTGACATAAGAGACTACTATGGTAAGGGGGTGGTCAGTCTAGACGATTATACGGACAGCACTGACTGGAATATAGTCAATACGACCATTAGACGTAACGAAAAGTTTTACCAGTGTTGTAGTGAACCGTATCCAGATTTGACCTTCACCGTGACATTGAGGAGGCGAGAATGCAGTGATTGTTTGATAGATTTGGACGTTCTACCCATCGTCCTTGTCGCCATTTTGGTTCCAATCCAATTCCTTATTCCAGTAGCCACCCGAGAAAGAGCCACATTCAGTAAGTACAGATATACCTTTAAAATATACTAAGTCACAATACTGGTTCTAGTTTCCGAGTGTTTTGGGGAATATCGTTACAGATGCCCCTGTAACACCTTAAATTATACATCTAGGGCCTGTTTCACGAACTTTTAACTAAGATTAAATTCTAATTTTAGTAATTTGATTGGATATTATTAGATTGATTTTAGTGCTTAGCCAATTAAAATTAAAGTATCTACTAAAATTTTATCTTTAAGTTAAGATTTCGAGAAACAGGGCCCTGCTAGTAATAATTTACTTTTCTAAAAATGCATCTCTTCAGATATACAATTCGAAATCGACAGTCTCTGTAGCTTTGTAACCTGTTTAAGTCTATTCTCAATTTCTGTATTAACATATTCCTGATGACGGAACCTTTGAAATAAGATATGCAGATAAAATTGTAATCCGCATGAAATTTGTGTCTGACAATGGTCAAAGAATTTCGTTTTATGTACTTACGGGCATTTTAAGTTCTGCGAAATTTCTTTTGTGTGTTTCAGCTGGTTTATTGTTTGTTGCTGGTATTTTGGTTCATCTGAGTCTTCAACAGAGTATGGCCATCGCTCAACGAGTCTGGCAAACTGATATTAGTAAGTATTTCAATACCATTAATAATGCATTTAATATAAAAAAAGATCAATGAACATATACAGACCCAATTCTCTGTATTTAAAATGTCATAATGGTAGTAACATTTTGGTAAATCGGTTTGAAGGAAGTCTGCATTTGATTTTACATAACAAACCCATACTCCTTGCAGTGTTTCGTTTGGTTAGAGGATTTATCGGACCTTTGCTTCAGTAATATATTGCAAACCCGACCTTCTAAGTAATATGAATTGTAATTTGTAACATATTCCAAATAGCACAAAAATCCACAAATTATTTATTTACGATTAGACGTGAAAATGCATTATAATCTTTCGTTCGTTCGTTCCTTTCTGGTCGTTTAACGTCCACTTCTACCTAAGGTGATATCGTAGACAATACAATCTTTCAAATTCATTGTCTATTTATATGCCCACAACTGCTTATAGTAAATACACAATTTTTATTTATCTATTTAATATGTGGAGAGAACTTATATATTCTGCCTTTTGTCTACTGTTCAACTGGCGAGTGAATTTATTCAGTAAAATGTTGCTTAAACTGGGTTTCTATCTCATAGAAGGCTACGTTGTGCAACTTATATCTTTAAAACACCCAGCAATGTTAATGAGGATGTATAATTTCAATCAATTGTAGAAGCATTTTACTTTTAAATGATGTTTCGGCTGCTTTTTTGTTCTGTACATTGTCTTGTTTTGCAAGTTTTAGTCTGTTTTTGTTATAGATAGAGTATACAATTTGTTAGTCCAATCCCCTCGTTATATCACTATATATGCATCTCATAGTTATTCCAAAGTATACCTCTATCCGACTGAATCATATGTTGTAGCAGGGCAGAAATCAAGACGAATCTATATAGACAGAAGAAACAAAGAACTTCAGCAACGTTTATGACGATGTCGTAAAATTACAAAGTATATGTTGGCTTTAAAGCTAAAAAATATAAGGGTTATGTGGGCAGAAACTGTAGTCCCCGTATCCCTATTGCCAGTGTCATAAGCAAGTGGAAATATCGGTGGCACATAAACTATTTGGTTAAAGTAAAGGCCAGACTCAGTATGAAAGAAGCAATTTGGTTAAAGGTCATGTTCGGCATGACAGAAACAATTTGGTCCAAGATCATGTGTAGCACAGTGGGCCTTCTGTCCGACGTGGAAAGCGGGGATCAGAAACCGGTCGCCACATCCTACATACGACCCATGCATCTTTTCTTACTACATATTTCTGTAGCCTTGTGATCGTCTAGAATTTGTCTCTAGCTGTTTTTACTTCTGCTTCACGTTGTGTATTTACTTCTTACTGGTTTCTTAAGACGTTTGTCTTACTAGAAATAACAATACAACAGTTCACTTCTACATTTTTTATATATAGCTGCTTACATGGATACAAGCATAATAGATAACAATACTAGCTAAAACCATTTCTCCACCTTAGCCAGCCTCGCGACTGTCTAGGAACTCAGATGGAACCTCTCTGGAATCTAATGAAGTCTGCTTGAAAGTTTCAAATAGATATCTTATATAGCACTCACGTATATCACGCATAACAGAGCGTGTTCAAGCCCCGAACTTGTGTAATTAACAACATGATTGGTTAAATTAAACCCAATGACGCAATAGTACTTTTCCTTGCACACGTGCTCTCTGTGGTATTTTATAGACACATGTTTTGGCTAAATAACTCTTTTTTATATAACAATATGTCATTTATACCCTAATCTGATTTAGTACACACTATATATAATATATATGTGAATATGTGTGAAACTATTAATTTGCCAAATATATTAATTAATGAAATAAAAAGTCATCTTATTTCTCTATTCTTTGTCTATAAATTTAAAAACAATGTCGCCACGACTCTATTGCTACACATGTTCGGTCTTTTTGGCTCAATAAGATCCTATAGTTTCACCACGAATCCGCTTTATAGTCACCCCAAGCACGGTTACCCCCCCTTTAGATGATTACCTCCCCTTAGAACTGTATCTATGTCATGTTTTGCTTATTTTTACACTACAGAGACTTACTACAACTCTACCTTGGTTCTTATAGTGATATCTGTCATAGTGTCGTTGTTCAACATACAACTCTGTAGTACTGATAGAAAGAGAAGCAAAATACCAGCTATTGTAAAGAAGGTAAGTAGGCAAGCACGGTTATCCCCACTTTACATGAAGTTTGAAATAAATCCTTAACAAAATGTGTGAGAATTAACAATGAAAGCAAAGGAATCAATCAGTTTATAATTGCTTGGAATTGTCAGGATATCTAAGGTTAAGATGTGTTTGATTGAAGGGGGGGGGGGGGCAGACCATTGAGCCCCTTGCTTTCTGTTCAGATTTCGAAAAGAATCTAGACCTCCTTTCTTTATTAATCTAACGTTAACATATGACAAATTCAGGCATGGACGTGAAGTGACAGGATAGCCAAGTGGTACAGGACGAATTGGACTAGCGTAACTTGTGTGCAGATCGAATTCGATGAAGATTATGCGAACACGGTGCTTTCTGGACAAATTTCCCCTCGTAGCACTTTGTGTGGCATATTACATGGCCATTTCATTTCATTTCATTTTATTTGTATTCAAGGTTATTTTGAACTTCAATTCTCTTGGCAATCGGTCGGGGGTTGGATGACCGATTGGTTAGCACGGGCGCGATATATCATAAAATCTGTCATGGAGTCAACTGGCGTGGTTTCGATTTCCCGGTTGTACGTGACAAGGAGTAGGGTCGCTTGTCCAACCGCGTGGGTTTTCTCCGGGTCTCCCAACGTCCCCCTACGCGCAAGCGAATTATTGAAATAAATTTGAATCACATGTTAGTCCCGAAATGACCTAGTTTATGTCGAATGGACGTTAAAACATCTTTCTCTGTCTGTCTGTCTGTCTGTCTGTCACTCTCTCTCTCTCTCTCTCTCTCTCGTATTATATTTCAATATGCTACTTTTTGTTTCAGATTTTCTTGAGTGGTTTGAACTATCTGGTATTGGTAAGATCTCCCTGGACTTCTCAACTCCCAGAAACCCTGGATGTCAAAGTTATTCCAGGTGACGAATTAGCTACGGAAAATGCCTCCCGTCTTGAACGACAGGTGGAACATCTCATCCGGCTCGTCCAATCACTTGTCTCGTCTGACAATGGACGCCAAAGAGATCGTGACGTTGGAGCACGCGAGGAATGGCGCGCGTTGTCATTGGTGATTGACCGTCTGAGTGCCATCATTTTCTTCATAATCTTTGTTCTTTACACCGCCGATTTAATGGGATAAATGTAAAACTAATTAGGACGGGATTGTACAAAAAATGAAGATGGTTTCGCAACGAATAGTTCTGTAAATGTGAGTCACGATTATATTTGGTTACGATTATATTTGGTTTGAAGATATCTCAAGGCAAGAAAAGTCCAATCTGTTTGAGAAACAAATTAATTTTAGGTTAAGTGAAGAAACGTATTTCCGTAACAAGTCACAAATTTGGGGAATATAGTCACTTTCTTCAATTGATGTATTTCGAATTATATCTAGAATAATAAATTAATATTGATCATATTAATATTTATGTTTAATCGCATTACTGTCCATAACATTGTTTACAACAGAGGTCTTTCGTGGTTTAAATATTGTTGTGAAAAAAAAATATATTAGATTTGAAATGAGAATAGTTTCATTTGAATGAATTTATATTTTGGATATTTATAGACTCGGGTCTTTAAAACAGTAGAATCAAGATTACAGTTTCGTTTCATTAATGTTTTCTGATTTTTGACTTAATAAAATAAAACGAAACGAAATTTATACCATACTAAGATCCAACTGTTATATCGTATACGAATTGATGTATATTCTTTTGTGATAATAATCACTCTGTTCTTTCGTAGCATAGTATCTGTATAACCTTATGTAATTATTTTGTATCGCTGTTACGTACATATACAAACTTCTTATAAGTTATATATATTTTGTGCTTGTTAATATCACTGGAACAAATTCAATGCGTTATGCAATGAATACTATAAAAAAGCACAATATTTAAAATGGAAACGTTCCACAATAACTCGATATTCCAGTTTATCCAGATGAACTGGGAACCCCGAAACTTTCATGGTTACAGAGAAAAATAATATATGTGTTATTTTATTGTGTTTCAATATTTATTAATCTAAAATATTAGAATTGTACTATTTTTGTAAACACTATAGTTAATAGATACAATGACATCGAAAAATAATATGTGTGTTATTTTATTGTGTTTCAATATTTATTAATCTAGAATATTAGAATTTTACTATTTTCGTAAAAACTGTAGTTAATAGATACAATAAAATTGAAAAATTACTCTTATTGATGATGTACTTTGAACTGTAGTTGGTGCTTGCATTAACCATGAACACGGTCTATGCATGAAAAAACTTCTGATGTCCAAATTTTAAAATCCATTGTTAAATGTATATTAAATCTTTGTCTTTCATCTAGGTATTTTATATTTTATTATTGCTTAACTTCCATAATTTATTTATCAAATTAAATGTGCCATTATATAGTTTATATCCTAATTATATTTAATTAATATTATGAAATAAGTATTATTTAAACCAATATAAATTGTGTGTGCGTGTATATATATATGTCTTATGTTAGAAAGATCTACACTGTGACCAATAATATCTGTTTATTTTACAATAGAGGTACTAATCTAATAAAGTCTTAAGGGTAAAATCTAAAAATAGAAACGTATAATAAAAATAACTTCGATAAAAGTTGGTGTGCAAACTGTGCATTTAGAATCTACTGGAATACCCAGAGTTACTGGTAAGATTCGCACAGTTATATTTCCACGATACTTCACATTATGAAGTATCGTGGAAATGTTCTCATTGGAACACATTGATTACACACAGTAGAACTTATCGGAAGCGTATGGAAGTGTATCCAGGTTATATTCCCACAAGAATACGTAGATTACAATTCATATGATCTATCGTATGTACATGACTTTGCCCTTTATTAATTCTCCTCGGAACTATTGTTGTTGAGACAAACTTAATGATGGGCCAGAAACGTCAATGTACTTATGTCCGTCTGTTGTAAAATAATGGATATATTTCACAGTGTATTGTAATATTATAATAGTATGCTCAAACTAGAAAGGAATGTTTTTTTAACCGCTCATTATGTTTCTTGTTGTAATTAACTTCTTCAATGGTCGATTCTAAATCCTATCCTAGTCAGCAGATAATAATGTATACAGAGTTAAGGCTTGTGGGTCATTCAAACGTATCCTGGTCAGCTGATTTGATAGGAAAGAGAGGCATATTAATACAGTCCCTTGTGTACTTAACAAATTTTTGTTTTGTGTGTTTTGTGTATGATGAGCTGCATATAAATTACGTAAAATGTATAATGACAAAAGAAATAAAAATATTAATACATGTCAAATAGCCTTCCTAAATTTTGCATTTAATAGACGAAGTCTTCAGCTCTCAAAATGCACAATTCAATGGCGGAATTGGTAAATATTAATAATCTGTATTTAAACAATCGGTCATTAAAGATTGTATTTCGGTCCATTATTCTATTGTCATTTAGACTGAAGGTGAAGTTCCAGTTTAAAGTAGCTAAGTCTCTAACTCAATATCATTGAAAGTCTTCGGCATTGAAAACACGAATTATTTGTCAATTTAAATCAAAATTAACGTTGTGATCTTACTGAGAAAAGATGGGCTTCTGATATCCAATATTTAAGACAAAATAAACATTTTACCATTGGCACACGCATCGTGTACCATAATGCGTTTCAGTGCCATTTGTAACAAGGGACTCGAAGAACGAGGCTAGACATATTCCACAAGTCATGTCAAACGGTGACCTCATATTCTGGAGAGCATGCACAATAAATATTATCGGTGTAGACTGGAATAACCAGACGCTAGAGATTACCATTCGATTGAGACTTCTGACGTATTTCGCCGAACATAACTGATTTGAAATTAGAGTGAAACGACAACGATTGTTATAAATCACTTTATATTATACATTCATATTATATTATTATATGCGTTACGACGCATTTGTGTCAATTTCTAGGTCCCAAATATTAGCGATTTAGCTCCTTCAAACTGAATGTCGGATGAAAAAACAATGAGCAACTCAAATGTCACAATGTTCAGAAATAGTCTTTTTATCTCTCAGTTTTCTTTGAGTATTCTTATAAACGAGGTTATTTTATACAGTCTGTAAACTTTTGCAAGTAAAAACCTGAAATATTATATTACCCGAAGGAAGTTGTTATCCCACACGAGTCCCGAGTTATAGACAGGTTTATCCATGTCAAGGTGATTGCTATAGTGAACTGAAGCGCGCCTTAAGTTCCATCGGACAAATTGATAATCGTTTATGTATTTGTGAAAGTATGACATAGATCCAGCTAGTAGTATGTGACTAAATGTAGCATTAACCAGTTGTGTTCACTGAAATATATCTGGAAGTTCTAGTTTAAATATTTGTCCAACCTCAAAGTATCCTTGACCTATTTTATGCAATGGCAGCAAGTATCGTAAATTCTACGACTTGTAAGAATACTAAAATGCAAATTATGCCCCTGCAAGGAACGGGACCATTCCTTTATCTATTGGCTGTTCTTCGTCTATAGAAATGTATGACTAAAAGGGGGCGACACAATTTCAGATAAGTTATTAGTTCTTGACGGACTGAAAGTTCCATATCAAGTATCCTTTCTGATTCTAGGAATGGACAATTAAAGGGAAGTAACAACATTTCAAATTAGTTATATTTAGCTAGTTGTAAAACTTTTATCGATTTTGAATATGTAGTCATGGCCTATACATAACCTGGTGAATAATTCACTAGTGTTTCGGCTTCCTTCTACTACTGAAAACACCGCCGAAAGTAATGACCAGCCCCCATCGGGGGCTCCCAAGTCAGTAGCGTAATATGCAGTGAATGTTGGTTTGATGAGATCGGGTGTCGTCCAGGCTGCTGTCCCTCAAGTGCCGGACTGGGCCCACATGTCCACCTGTCCTTGACAGGTGGGTCTAAGCTCATTAAAAAAAGTGGGCCTAAGCCTATAAAGAAAAACGAAAAACGAAAAAAGAAAAAAAGAGAAAGAAAGAAAAAGAAAAAAAGAGAAAGAAAGGAGAGGGGGGGGGGTGAAAGAAAAGAAAGAAGGAAGGAGAGGACAGGACACAGGACAAGAGAAAGAAAAGATAGGAAAAAAATGACTGACAAACAACACAAAAAAAGAAGTGTACTACAAGGAAAGAACTTTATGAGTTTGACCTCATTATACTGAGAACGTGTAATGCATCTTTTAACCTGTTTTGACACTGAAGAGATTTCTCAAATTCATCAAATGATAGTGCTCTTAGGTCATTCTGTTATCTAATTGTATCAGGAAATCAAAAATTTGCCTTCTTTTGCTTTGGTATGAAATGTTTGGAAAATGGGTTTGCGATTGTCAATTTTCAAAATTTTCACGGGGTAGTACCCCCCCCCCCCACACACACACACACCCTCGGACGCTCGCGCGCCTTCGGCGCGTACTTGTGTGAGCCTTGGTCAATAACCTGACAGGTGGGCCTTCGACACACCAGTCCGGCACTAGTCCCTTCATAAGCATTTCTTAACAAACCCCTCCATGTTTTTTTTTTCATTCATTGGCAAGGGACGGATAACATTTGTTAATATGAAATGTGATGGAGCCCCCACAGACGGTTAATCCGGCCTTGCACCCAGTCAACATTAATCTCCACATCCGCCATTCATATGCAGGCTTTCTCAAAGACAACAGAACTATTGAGGTCAGTTTTGTTATTTAGATATGTTTGTTGATCTGTATAAAAGTCGGTTAATCAGCCATCATCCTGGCGGAAAACCGATCTCAGTGTGAAGGTTTTTATGTAGGAAATGTTTTGTTAAGTAGTGACGAACTCATGCTTTTAGTTTTAATGAACCGATCGATATTTCAGTTTTCCGAGTTTATAAATAATCTCACTACACTTGTTTATCAGCAATTATCTTATCTCGTATTATCTTAAAGGTGTATTCCCACCATGTCACAATGAATTCTGTGAAATACAATTACTGCTTATTATTGAGCGACGTTTCAACAAGGCTTCTCTAGTCTTTATCTGATCGAAACGTCACTTAATAATAAGCAGTAATTGTATTCCATAGAATTGTGATCTGTATACTCTAGTTCAATTACTAAATGCCATTGAGACAATTTAAGGTGCATTCGGTGTAAAACACTGTACTCCGAATGAACTGGGGATTTCTGCACCTACTTAAAGGCATACATGCAGTGTGCTATAAGAGAAATTTTGTCCGGGCAGCTATGTTTCTGCCTACTCTTCCTCTATTTACAATTACTATGAAGGGTTCTTTTACGGTTTTCGTCCCATCCGAACGACTGGACACTGTTTTTTTTTTACCATGACAAGTCCTGCACCACTGATAAGGGGAAACCGGGATCGAACCTAGGACCCCATGGTTAGTGAGTCTACGCCTTAAATCACTTGGCCACTATTCAAAATACATGTAGTCGAAAGATATAATCAATTAAACCAACATTCTGAAATTTTACTCCATTTGAGTTGACATCACTCCCTTTAATATCGTCTTTAATAGCAACATGTATGGTCTATTATCGAATCTATAGTTTATTGTCTGCCATATTGGATATTTTAAGACTCGGTTAGGAAGAATTCAGCTAACATCTTTCACCGGTAATGTATGCCTGGTCGAACTTAGCTAATGTTAAGCCTAGCTTGCTTCTTGTCGACACCCCCCCCCCCCCTCCCACTGTCCCTCTCCCACTCACCCCCTCTCACCGACCATGTTAAAACCAATATGCTGTCAGAAATGAAAGAATGAGTCGCATAAATATATGTAGTATATCGTATACCATATGGCGGAACGATGATTCATTTTCCTCCATAATGCCAGCGTGACATCTAACCTATCTTATTCCGTATTTTTATTCAATATATATAGTAGAATAGTAGAGGCTTGCTAAATGATATTAACTCATAAATAAAATTTCACATTCGTCTGTATTTTAATTAAACATTATACATATATAAACAATACTCCATAAAGTCTAGAGGCGATTTTCTTAATTGCAAAGTTTAGAGTTATCTTTAACAGCCTCCATGTAAATGATATGGCAGGTTTATACTATGTAAACATTATTGTAATACTCGATAAAGTCTTGACCCTTTTCTCTTAAGCCTAGTGCACACAGGCGATGTTCTTAATAAATGTGCAATCAATTTTTAATTGAAATTTAGAGTTATCTTTACAGATTCCATGTAAATGATATGGTAAATGATATATCTTCGTTTGCATTTTTCGGTTTATATCTGTTTTTTCACTGTTTGATCCCCAAGAAATCATACTCAAATTGATTATTTAACATAAAAAATAATATCAACGGTAGATAACTCCCAGCTTGGATTCATTCGAATATAAAAAGACCCATACTGAAGGCTTATAGGCCTTACTAACTAGTTGGTAATTCAACGACAGCTTGCACCGTATTGATATTGCAGACACGCATACGTGGCGCTGGTTTGTTTATATCACCTGAAGAGGATAATGAATGCTGCGAAATTGTTCCCGTCTATATAAATACGAGACGGAAATGAACCAAATTTGGAGTGATACCCCTTTTAGAAATTTAACTTTTGACAATACTGTAGTTTGTGGCGTATTCAAAATTCTTCAAACGACGATTAAAGGTTTAATGGAATTCTACTCTTTTCATTAATGCATTTTAAAAACCTTCCTATTTGATAAGTGGGGTTGGATGGCCGAATTGAGTCAACTGGTGCGGTTTCGATTCAACGCTTGTACGTGACAATGAGTAGGGTCGCCTGTCCAACATTTTGGGTTTTCTCGGGGTCTTCTGGTTTCCTGCCACTGCTAAAGACCCCTACGCGCAAGCGAATTAATGAAATAAAATTGAACCATATTATATTAGTCCTGAAATGACCTAGTTTGTGTCGAGTGGACGTTAAATGATTTATAATGTTCATTGTACTATAGTATATAGTCGTTATCAATTAGAAATTGCTAACTCATTTTCATCTAATTACTTGGCATGTGAACATCATGAGTAAAGAGGAAACAACCGGAGTGAAATAGATTTTAACATCAGGTCAAAACATCACTACTTTTTTTTCCGGGACTAACATATGGTTAATTATTGTGTTATGGTCACGTGTGTCAGACAACCACTGCTGTTATCTTCTAAATCCGATTAAAATCACGTGTCAATTACTCTCCATTTTTGTATGTTGTGCTACATTACTATATGACATATTCTCTTTGAAGACAGTGTTATTGTGCGGGTCCCAGTAAAATAATTTCACAATTGTCAAAAATCGAAATGAAATGAAATGGGGTTTAACGTCCTACTCTTCTGCTCCGAATTGGGCTAATGAAGACGACCATACGCCATACAGTGTGCTATGAGGGAAATTGTGCCCGGACAGCGGCACTACGACCTACTCGTATATCGAATTATAATTGTCAAGGGATCTTTTACGTGCACGCCAATGTGTACACGAGACCTCCGTTTTCGTACCATCAGAACGACTAGACAGCTGTCCTTGTCAGGCCCTCCGTCTTGCATCTCGTCCAATGCAGGGATCAAACACCCGACCTACAGACTCGCGAGCCAGCGTCTTACCCACTTAGCCACCGTGACCTCCATCAAAAATCGAAGCACATAATATGGATGTGTATGGATTAAAAGTTAAATCCTGTGTAAGTGATAGATTATGGAAGTATAACGTTGCCAATATTATTTCATTGTTCACGGTGCAAACTGCAAATGTCACTAGTTCAAAATACCTATTTTAGTTTTACAATTTGCAAGTTCCATTGCTTAACAATACCAATGCCACGGTGTTAAAATACAGAATACACTTTTCAATAATACAAAATACAGTTGAATAGTTATTTTGCACATTACACTTCTGCATTCTGCATAATAGACAAATGCATAATAGAACCTTGCAAAGTAGAACATATACCTTATATGGGATGTACGACGTACGTCATTTGCATACGGAAAAAAGTCCGGACTATGACGGAAATTAATGATTCACGCGATAAAGCCATAAGGTCACCTGGATACGAAATGAAGTTAGCACAAATATTCCTAGCGCCAATAAAAACCTAGATATAATTATCACGAAAATAATTGTTACCTTTATATTAGAAAACGACATATTAATGCAAAGTATAATAGACCCCCCCCCCCCCCACACACACACCATGAAAAAAATATATACTATTACCGTAAACATACTAAAATATCGCACACTAGGCTAACTGAGCACGCAGAAAAGGGGTGCGTCCACGCTGCATCAAAACGCACTGAAACCAGCTTTGGTGGCAAAAGGTTTTTTTGTTTCATGGAATCAAGGGATGAATAAACTACTAGAACACAAATTTTCAGAAGCTTCCTAAACTGGCTTTTAGAGAAATATCTCCGTAAACAATACTAAAACCATAGGGGGAATCGAGTTAGTGTAGGCTCATCGCGCACGCAATAACTTATAAAATAGCTTTGGTGGCTCCAAGATCTTTATTTCACCAAATCAACAGATGGATAAGATATGAACAGGGCAATTTTCATTTACATTCTATGTTGGCGTATCGAGTTATACCACCGCAAAGTTCCCAGCACCTGGATTCGAGGCGGGGTTCGCGGGTGCAATAAACAAGGGGTGCGTCCACACTGCACCAAAAAGCACCCCAAACTGACTTTGGTGGCAAAATGTTTTGTATTTCACAGGGATGAATAACTACTAGAATACAAAAATCCAGAAGCCTCCTATGCTGGCTTTTAGAGATATATTACCGTAAACGTACTAAATATGTGAGTGAATCGGGATAGGGTAGGCTCGCTGCGCACACAATAACTTCTAAATTAGCTTTGGTGGCTCCAAGATCTTTATTTCACCAAATCGACAGATGCATAAGGTGTGAACATGCCAAATGTCGTTAACTTTCTATGTTGGCGTATCGAGATATACCACCGCAAAGTACCTAGCACCCGGATTCGAGACGGGGTTCCTGGGTTCAATAAATAACGGGTACGTCCACGCTGGATCAAAAAGCACCCAAACCAGCTTTGGTGGCAAACTGTTTTGTATTTCACAGAGTCAAGGCTTGAATAAACTACTAGAATATAAAAATCCAGAAGGCTCCTATTCTGGCTTTTTGAGATATATTACCGTAAACATACTAAAAATATGGGGGAATCGTGTTAGGGTAGACTCACTGCGCACGCAATAACTTCTAAACTAGTTTTGGTGGCTCCAAGATCTTTATTTCATCAAATCGACAGATGCATAAGGTGTGAACATGCCAAATTTCATTAACTTTCTATGTTCGGGTATCGAGTTATACCACCGAAAAGTTCCCAGCACCAGATTCGAGGCGGGGTTCGTGGGTACAATAAACAAGGGGTACGCCCACGTTTCATCAAAAAGCACCCGAACCAGCTTTGGTGGCAACATGTTTTGTATTTCACAGAGTCAAGGGATGAATAAACTACGAGAATACAAAAATCCAGAAGCCTTCTATGCTGGCTTTTGGAGATATATTATATTACCGTAAACGTACTAAATATGTGGGGAATCGAGTTAGGGTAGGCTCACTGCGTACACACACAAATTTCTTTGGGGGGAGGGGGGGGTGTCTATTACATATTATTATATACTTTGCATTAATATGTCTTAAAATGTTATTTTCTAATATAAAGGTAACAATTATTTTCGTGATAATTATATCTAGGTTTTTATTGGCGCTAGGAATATGTGTGCTAACTTCATTTCGAATCCGAGTGCTGGAATACGGATGAGAGATTCCGCTCGGTTACTATAAGATTCTTTAACCTTACCCAAAAAAAGGGTTTTAGAGACCTGTCAATTAAATAAAATATTCAATTTAATTTTTAACAAGAAATTGATTCACTTGAAATATCTGTTTTTTTTTACCGATGAGAACAAATAAGAATAGTCTCGTTAAGCCAGACTATTATCTTTCAGAATCCTCTAATCGTCGAACTGATTACATTATAGAGCCTGGACGTTGAAGACTAACAAAATCGAGTACTGCCCCCTTCTAATGACCTCAGCCTTATGGCTTTATCGCGTAAATCATTAATTTCCGTCATAGTCCGGATTTTTTTCCGTATGCAAATGACGTACTTCGTACATCCCATATAAGGTATATGTTCTACTATGCAAGGTTCTATTATGCATTTGTCTATTATGCAAAATGCAGAATGCAGAAGTGTAATGTGCAAAATAACTATTATATTGTATTTTGTATTATTGAAAAGTGTATTCTGTATTTCAACACCGTGACATTGGTATTGTTGAGCAATGGAAATTGTAAACTGTAAAACTAAAATACGTATTGTGAACTAGTGACATTTGCAGTTTGCACCGTGAACAATGAAATAATATTGGCAACGTTATTCTTCCATAATAGATTGGCAGATTAGGCTCAAAATGGTAATAAACTTGGCAGTTAGCATTCGAAGAAGAAGAGTGAGCGGAATCGCCACTGTCCGGGCAAAATTCTCAATAGAAATTACCGTAATAGTCTCAAAGTATACACGAGACTCTATATCTCATGTCATCTCGTGCCCTTTCACCATTTATAAAAGTCCATTCGTAATAAATTCATTGAACTTGTTTCTATTCGGAAAACAAGCCATTGAACATATATTATTACACATCCGGCAGTCAGCAATATGTTCCGTTAAAATAAGTGTTAACCATGCTAAAATAACTTTATTCTAAAGATAACAGTATTAATACATGTACATGTACTGAATTAAACAGAGTCGATTGAACATGGACATGTGACCCCTCTGTCTACTTATCAATGTTTATTCATTTTAGATATTGTGCATCTAATTTCATAATAGTCAGTGGTATATAATAGTTTATGGAGAATCTCACAGGAAACAGATGATTATTCAGTATATTTTAGACGCTTGAGAATCTTCATAGCTGGTATATATATATATACTTATAGAATATATGGCAGTTATAGTGAGTTATGAATCCCCTTTATTTAAAGGGTGAATGGTGTTGAAAGGACCAAAGTTAATTTTTAGGTAAGTTACTCATATATCATTGTCTTAGAATGTTGGGTATTGTCAGGTCATGTTGAGACTAACACCTAGTTTTATACTTATACATGCCTCAACACAGGCTTTGCAGGACCCTTTATGTGTTTTTCTTTGGGTGTGGGGTTGGGGGAATGGAGGTAAGCTTTATTAAAAACTCTGTTCATTGCCCCCCAAAAAACGTATTTGTTTTGAAAGTGATAGTTGTTTGATTAATGCAGCTATCCCGGACCTGAAACGCAAATAGGTCTAAAATCAGAATGTCAACAAACAATAAATATTAACTTTTATTGATATCATAAATGCACAATGTAAACATAGTCTGTGAGTATTTGCAATTATAAATAAAGACACGTTAAAAATAAACAAATTTCACGTTGACAAAATAAGTTATAGTTTTAATAAAAAGCTGGGTTATAATAAGTTATTTACACATATTGATCCATGGGAATAATATGAATAAAGTGTGAATAAGGATTTAACACCTTTACCTGTACACTGCTGGTATCACAGCTACTGTGTTATATGTAAACGTAGATATTGTAATGTAAATATTACCCATACAAACTGGCGTGTATAAAAAGAGGACCCGTGTGTCTTTACTGGTTCGCGAATAAATTGTATTGAAAAGCATTATTGATATATAAACAGAGACGGACCTATTTATGGACCCTGCAGCTTGAACTGTTGTGACAGGGCTGTCTTGACAGCATTATAGGCCCCCGGGCAAAGCAATGCACTGGGATCCCTACTTACTATTTATGGCTTAGTATAGGTTATTATTTATTTATTGACAGTCACAATATATATATATATAGATTAGCATGGGGACCCTATGCTCGTGGGCCCCACCGGGAAACTGCCAACCGTGCACATGCGTTAAGTCGGTCTTGTGTTATGGGACTCCTCGCAACCATAGCAACGGTGTCTAGGCAACCACTCCTGATGAACGTCGATAAGAAATTAAGCATCTTTTATTTTTTCTACTAATCAGGAAATATGCCTGAAATTCAATTAATGTAAGTCAGTCGATAATTAAGCAAAGTACCATTTTGTATTAATAAGAGATGTTTAACTCCATTTCATGTTCTAAATATTTTTAAGGGGACGTAATTAGTTTTGTCACTGTATGGACAGCCATAAAAATAGATGTTAAATCTTTGTTAGATCTCCATCAGGACCTTTATTTCACGAATCACTGGTTTTGCGGGTAGTGTAATTTTTTTTTGTACTAAATTTAGGCTTAGAGTACATGTGGACTTATAGGTATTGGTTTTAAAGTCAGTAAATCAGCTAGGCCTATACATATTTTTTTTCTATCAGAAGTATAGCTTTGACTGGTGAGAAGTGGAGCCCAGGAACGTTTCATTCGAAAGGAGACGTATAAAAAAGAAAGGTAGTGTTGACATTTTTTTTTATTTAAAATATAACCGTGGAATGTATAACACGCTTATAAGATGTCAACTCCATTTTGAATATTTTGCGACTAAAAAGTCATTTTTAACAAGTGAAAGGTGAAAGCGGCCACAGTGAGGCCGAAGGGGGTGTTTTCAAGAATAACGTAGTAATAGTATTATTTTATTTATATGTGACAAGAGGTATTTTGCACAGGTAGTGGAATTTCTGTCTACACGTCTACACGTCTTCGAGTTTTAAATGGCAAATGAATTTTTATTGCATCCCGAAGGATTGGTTTCGATATCTCGCCTTGTATGCGACAAGGGGGGGGGGGGGGGCTTACCAACCCCACAGGCAAATCCTTGAAATAAAATTGCACCATATGTTGTTCTCGAATAACCTGGTTTGTATCGAGTGGACGTTAGACACCCCCCCCCCCTCTCTCTCTTAACTCACTAGGCAATATGGCATACATCCACCAAATTTGGTGAAATCGACAGTCCAGTTCCTTTTAACAGGGCTTGACTGTACAGTTCTATTTAAAGGAGCTAAATCGCTAATATTTGGGACCTAAAAATTGACACAAATGGGTCGCAACGCATTTAATAATGTAATATGAATGTATATAAACTGATTTATATTCAATCGTTTCCGTATTTACACTAATTTCAAATCATATGTTCGGCGACATACGCCAGAAGTGTCAATCGAATGGCTATCTCAAGCGTCTGGTTATTCCAGTCTACACCGATAGTATTTATCGCGCATGCTCTCCAGATAAGAATATGGCTTCACCGTTTAACATGACTTGTGGAATAAAATGTCTAGCCTTGTTCTTCGAGTCCCCTATTACAAATGGCACTGAAACGCATTATGGTACACGATTCGTGTATCAATGGTAAAATGTTTATTTTGTCTTAAATATTGGATATCAGATGTCCATCTTTTCAAGATACGATAACATCACCAATGTTGATTTAAATTGACAAATAATTCGTGTTTTCGATGTCGAAGACTTTGGATGATACTGAGTTAGAGACTTAGCTACTTTAATATGACTTGACTGTCCATTTCCATTTAATGTGCCTTGTTCTTCCGCAGATAACTGTTATACAATCACCGGACCGGCTTCTTGCCAAATACTGCATTTAATAGACTAACCAGGAGAAACCGGGTTTGATGGCCGACAAATCTCTTCGGAATTTTCCAACTTTGTTTCCCCTTGTCTGTGGTACAGGCTTTGGGGGTCTGGCGACGAGGTCTGTCTGCGTACTCGTAAACCCTTACAATTGGACTGCGACGATGTGTAGTCTGGTGCAGAAAAGTAGGACGCATTTAATTCCATTTCATTCCGACTGTATCTAATTGTTGCACCACAGTACAACAAAGTCACAGTACAGTCACGTGACATTAGGTAGTTAAGAGTCCCCGGGGCAAATTAAAGAGAGAGAGAGAAATGGGTTTTAACGTCCACTCAACACAAACTAGGTCATTTCGGGACTAACATATGGTTCAATTTTAATTTCATAATTCGCTTGCGCGTAGGGGTCTTTAGCAGTGGGAGGAAACCGGAGGACCCGGAGAAAACCCACGAGGTTGGAGGCAAATTAAAGACGTATTATGTTAGATTTAGATAAAGGGCTGGTCGTTCTTGCTATAATAGGTTAAAATAGATAATGCAAAATGGATATATTGAAAATTTCATTCAAATTACTCGTTTCTAAGTTACATTGTTACGATAATAAACAAAATATCGATTATACATTTTTAAATTAAATCATTAAATGACGATTGTTTTTCAATCCACTGAAAATCGCGACCTCTCGATCGGCCAGAGATTTTATTATGGGCTTGTTATGTGAATAAATATCTTATTAATGATTTATACAACGTTTGAGGCCAAAAGAAGGCCCTGCAATAGGAAGATTTAGCTCTTGCATAATGCATCTTTAATACATGAAAAAACGGTGAATAGGCCCTATTTAGGTTTTACTATTGGAGTGATACCACACTACATTGTATTACAATATTCGCCTCAGTTGAAACTACAGGTAAATATGTTTCTGCGATACAATTTCCGAAAAAAAGTCTATTGCTAAGCTATATGTTAGCTTAAATGAAATGAAATGAAATGGTGTTCAACTGGTCTAATTAAGACGGACATACGCTATATAGTGTGCAATGAGGAAAAGTTTGCCCGGACAGCGACTCTACGGCATATCTGATATTGAATTCCAACTGTCAATGTGTACACGGGAACGACTATACGTTGTCCCTTGCCAAGCTCTCCGTCCTGCACAACTGATCAATGCACAGATTGAACACAGGAGATCCAAGCACTATCGCCTACTCTTATATCGAATTCCAACTGCCAAGGGATCTTTTACGTGCATTCCAATGTATACACGGGACCTCGGTTTTTCGTCTCATCCGATGGACTAGACAGCTGTCCTTGTCAGGCCCTCCGTTCTGCACCACTGACAAGGGGAAACCATGTCGGAAAATCCAGATGAACTTTCTCGGCCAATGCACGTCTTACTCACTTTATATGTTAGCTTAATGTGTTTTGAAAGAAACAAGATGACAATTTACCTATTTAAACATGTTTCATAGACTGCTGTCCCAACCCCCCCCCTCTCCCGTGACAAAGGGGCAGGGGGATGCCCGTGACAACATGTCGTGTTCATGACTTATGTATTTTCTTTTCACAGTACTGAGTTACGGTACATCAAAATGGCAGATTTAGAAGGAATGCGATCTTCTCTGGACAATGACGAACACCAAACTCTATTGGTAAGTATATTTAAAGGGGATCACTATGGGCAATCTAGGCAAAGCGTGTTATCTAGAAATGGTTCCACTACTGGTAACTTTGCCTCAGCCACAGCAGTGGATGGTTCTAAGGATTTCCTTTATGCAGTTTTTGTAAGCATATGACTCCCTTATTTTCAATTAATCTGACCCAAAAATGTACCACACACTGCTTAACATATAATTAACTAATCAACATTGAAATAAACGTAAAACCTTATCGTATAAATGTATTATTTTGAAAAATACGACGTCTACTCGAGATGGGTAACGCCATGACCAGTTGTGTGCATAAACAATGTTGCTTCGAAACTGTAAAACCCATTACCACAAAGAGAAATCTTTCGGTGATTAATTTAATGATTCATACTTCATTATTTGTGATTTATTTCAATACAAATTATGATGATATATATATTCATCAATTAAGTCTCATATTCATGAAATTACATTGAGATTTGCCCTACCTGTAACGAACATGTGTAATGTATATGTAATGTAATTATATATCCCCATTCCAGTCATTAAAGCCTGCAGGCGCACACTATAACGCGACAACTTGAGCGACGACTTTGGAGACAATAATGTTTCGGCAATTTAAGTGAAGTGAGCACACTACACGACGACTGTCACGTACTTCGTCATGTGACACCGTTAATCCAACCATTAAAGCCTGGCGCACACTGCGCGACAACTTAAGCGACGAGTTTGCAGACTAATATCGCCCCAATTTAAGCACACTACACGACGACTTTGGCGATCACAAAAAATACGTGCCTCGTCATGTAACACCTCTAATTGAATGTCTGTTGTGAGCGCGTCGAATACTTCAATTAAAGCTAGCCGCACGTGCACACTACGCGACAGCATAAGCTACTAGTTTGGCGATAAATATCGCCGCAGTTTAAGTGGAGTGAACACACTTGCCAGAATTGCAAACCTAATTTCAGTTAGTCAGTTAAGCCTAATTCAAATTACCCGAGTCACTTATACATCCAACAGGAAAATATTATGTGAACCTCGTTTGTCCGTAGTCACATGAGAATGATTGGTTTAAAAGGTGATTTTATATCCTTGGTTGTCGATTAACTTGTCACCAAGGTGAGCACTTTATACGAGCCGTTGCCGACGAAGCGACAACATGTCAGACATCGGTCGCTAGCGATCGGCAGCGCACACTGGGCGAGTTTTTGATTTTTCGTCGTTAGCGACCGAAATCGACTATGTCGTCGCGTAGTGTCGTCGTTTAAGCGCACACTGTGATAATTTACATGCTGCCCACCCCCCTCCTCCTCGATGCCCACGGAGTGAAATTATCAGAACACTCTTCCTCTATGATTCTTTACGTAAATTACATAATTAAATAATTATCTGTGGATGTAAGTGTTAGTTGAACTAACGCAGAACCTTAGCGTTTGTTTTGAACATGCTCAATACAAACACCGTGACTCGGCGATCATCGGTGACCACAGTACGATACCTGGCGTTTCTACCACGCTTATGGCGACCTTGACGCGCTCTAAAACCAATTTCCATCGCCGTAGCAACGCAGTAGCAACACAGTAAGGACACCACCCCGGTCTGACAGGGGTGTAAGTGCTAGTTTACACCAATAGAACAAGAAACAACTAAAGACGCTAAATTCACCACCATTTGAAGAGTTGAACAAATAGATGTGATAGGTTTAGGCTTTATGTTATTTAAATTTTAATTCAATATTTCTTAATAATGAAAAAGCAATTCAAAAGCAAGTGAACCGAAATATATGTGTGCTTATTCCAGTGTTTTCATAAACACGTCATTACGATCAGCATTACAAATAGGCCAACCAAATAACTATCCTTGCAGTTATAAAAAGAATATTTGAGTGTTTTGTTGTGATCCATATATGCATAATGTTCTGATTTACAATCAGTCCTTTTTTACAACGGAAAGTGAAGACCCTCGCCTTGTTTAACTGCCTGTTAAACTATATTAAACTGAACCCATTCATGTCAAGGATTTCTTTATTGCTGTTGTAAATGGGCTGTAACATGTACCTGTAGTGTTTTCATGTATTTGGCAGGCCATTTTCTGCTTATTCGTTGCAATTTATTAGATATGGAGGCCCGATTTGACCATAGTCCTATTTACACTATGTCCTACTTATCCCGTCTAAATGAAGAGAGAAAACAAGAGATAAAATATACGGTCGAACCGTCTTCATTTGCCCAGTCAGCGCAGAACAGTAGGACGTTGAACCCCATTTTATTTCCCTGTACTTATAGCTAATAGAGCGATATTGACGACAATAATCACGTGATAATGTCGCAAGTTTAATTTGTCGTGTCTTCGTCTTAATACTGTTAAGTACAAACCTATAATAAAGCCTCTAGACCATTGGACGGCCGTCATTTTACGTGGATAAGAACACCTGGGAGATATAAAAACTGGATCATCGACGTTGACAATTGCTACGATAATAAACAGTATACGCCTCATCTTCAAGCACTCATAAATTCGCTCGGAATAAAGTAATTTGATTGAAATTTTCCATAGATCGATATCCATTTTTCGTTATCTTTTTTTAAAAACTATTATAGCAAGAACGGTTAGCTCTTTATATAAATCGTAGATAATACATCTTTAAAGAGCTTCCATCCCCTGCATGTGACAGGTAGTAAGTATCTAAATGTAAAGAACAAGCAAACACACAACGACCATTTATATGGAATACAACTACTGTTCTGTCATTCATATAAAGTGGTGTTTTATAGTTTTCAAGTGTTTTAATGTGCTCAATCGCTAATATAAATGCCACCCAAGTACTACAGTTTGCCCGAAAAGTGGAAGAAAGTGTGTGTGCTTGACTTACAACGCATTCACCCATGCGCGAAATTATTCCTTCGTATTCTAAGTGGTATTTATTGAACAATGCTTTCATTGATGATAAGAAAAAGAATGATATTCTGATAACCGTGTTTATATATATTACATTCTATACTTCTTTACACTTAAACGATTACCATTTGAATAAATAAGACCGTTTAAAAGTAACTACGGAAGAAACGCACTACACACGGGCAACACTCATAACACAAACCTGCGCACAAGACGTACAGACACTGCAAGCGAGAGAGAGAGAGAGAGAGAGAGAGAGCTTAACGTCTACGCGACACAAACTAGGCCATTTCGGGATTAACATATGGTTCAATTTTATTTCAATAATGCGCGTAGGGGTCTTTCGCAGTGGGAGGAAACCGGAAGACCCGGGGAAATCCCACTAGGTTGGACGGGCGACGCTACTCCTTGTAATGTACAACCGGGGAATCGTAATCACACCAGTTGACTCAGTGACAGACCTTATGATACGGCGCGCACGCGCTAACCATTCGGCCATCCAATTCCCCCAACACTGCAAGCAATAAACAACAAAATGAAATGGGTTTTAACATCCTACTCTTCTGGTTCTACTCGGCTAATGAGGATGGCCATACATAATACGTCGCGATGGTCTCCTCTTATTATGAATTCCAACTGACAAGGGTTCTTTTACGTGCCTGTCATTGTGTACACGGGTTTTTCGTCCGATCGAACGTTCTACTCACTGAGCCCCCCCCCCCCCCCCCCCACACACACAATAAACAACAACCATATATATCAAACTAAGTGAATGGATCAGGGGGTCAGCCATAAGGGTGTACTGCGTTGTACAATCTGTAACTTAAATGCATCGTCTTAGACGATAGCTTTTTTATCTACCTACATCTACGAAGGCTTGTTTATTTAGTACGCAAAATGAATTTCAAGGAACCCAAACCGCCTATACTGGGATTCACCTCGTCTCTCGATTAACAAAACTAAAACATGTATTGGTAATGTCCATTATTTGTTTTATAAAACCCATATTGGTTCAAAATTGATTTAATCCGATTAAAATAATAACTTCAGTTTTGGTCAACTAAATTCCCATTTTACTCCATATCTTAAGGCTCAAGAATAGATCTCTGTCCTGAATGGCCGCCATATCAAATAATTAGTATACTGTTTTGTAATGTGGTTCTATTTCGTTTTACATGTTTCAAACACACGAAGTCTAAATAAACCTTTTAATTCCATTAAATGCAAGCAGAATAAAAACCTCTTAAAAGTAAGAGTTTTCGACTAAAATCGTCGATTTAGGACCTAAAATGTCGGTCGACTAGCTTAGTGTCTGTTCTCTAGCGGAGCTAACTGTAAACAGACAGCCTAAGTTTAGTATACTAAATTCCATGTTACTTTTTATTGATTTCACATAGCCATCTTTCATTTCTGTCTCAATTCCTTTAAAGTACAGAAATAGTTTAAAACAAGAGCATAGTGTAATAGTGCAAAGTTCTATTCACCTATGTTCTATGTCATATAAATATTTCTACACTTGTTCATTGTATCAATTTACTCCATTTTCTAATAAATAAAGGGGTATCGTTTTACTCTTAACGACCTTAATATCAACAGGCAAAACATGGCTAAAAATGAAATAAATCTTACTGGGGTTTTAATATACTTATAACGATATTGTATTTTACAAGTCCGTAAAATAAACTGGAAATGCAATGGCCTTTAACGTCCAACTTCTCTACTCCATCCCGACTAATGAAAACAATATGATTTTGCAATTTTGACTCGGTGGGTAGGGCGTTGGCTCGCTAACCTGGAGGTCTCTTGTTCGATCCCTGCGTTGGCCGAGAAAGTTAATCGGGATTTTCCGGCGTGGTTCCTCATTGTTAGTGGTGTAGGACTGAAGGCCTGGTAAGGGACAACGCATAGTCGTTCGGATGGGACGGAAAACCGAGGTCCCGTGAACACATTTTCGTTCAGCTAAAAGAACCTTTGACAGTCGGAATTTGAAATAAAAGTAGGCCAGAGCATAGCACACAGCATGGCGTATGCCAGTCTTCATTAACCAAGTAGGAGCAAAACAGTAGGACATTAAACCACAGTTCATTTCCATTTGCAGAGTA